CAAAAAAACCGTCATCATATACGAAGTGAACAGCGGTTGTCTATTGATCCTTGAACTAGTACTAGGAATATTCTCTTTCCAGACGCCAGGCAAGATGATGTCGTGGTCTCCTAGGCCCACTAAAAGGATGGCGCTAACTGGTGCCAAGACCTTGACTAACCCAGAAGAGCCGGTGTCGTCACCAATGTGAGCTCCTCCAACTCAGCGCAAATATTTCATCGCCCTCACATCAATTGGGGTTCCATAACTCAGTTGGTTAGAGTGTGGTGCTAATAACGCCAAAGTCGAGGGTTCGACCCCCTCTGGGACCATTTGAATCTCTTTTTGGTCTTTCACCTGTTAGAGCTGAATTTTTGGCTCTGGAATAGTGTTGCAGGACTCCTACGTTACGGACTGAAGTTTCAGGCAGAAGAAATCCTATACCTCGGTTGACGAACATTTGTGCCCTTTGTCAGAAGCTGCCAATGTTATTATCCTTATCTGTCAGAAAAAGGCTTCATATTGTCAAAATCTCCGCAAATTTCCGTCAACCAGATCTAATAGTCTAGTCGGTTAACGGTTCCATAACTCAGTTGGTTAGAGTGTGGTGCTAATAACGCCAAAGTCGAGGGTTCGACCCCCTCTGGGACCATTTCCTTTTTGTCTTTTTCTTAGTTCTACGCAGATAACCTATGACTGGAACTTTCCAATTATTTCATCATTTTTTGGCTGCTTCTTGCAATTGAAAATTGAATGCGCTTGTCAAATTTATCTCTGTGGCCTTTTTAGCGACATTTCGAATGTTCAAACCCAACATATCAAGAGGTTGGTTAGTGGAATGGTAGATAGGCTTGGTGCATGGCCAAAATATATTTCTGGTCCGAACCATAGTCAAAACACTATGACTTGCACCATAACATCCACCCAGGCAGAGGAATGATTGCGAAAAACCCGCGACGATAGTACCAATTGGAAAATTACCACTTTGTGCTATTGGCTCTATTGACGGTCCCAATGTAATTAGACTCCTGTCCGTATGCGAGCGCTAATTCCGAAAGTACACTTTGAGCAAATAACCTATTACGTGTGCTACCTACTCATGTCAGTTTTTGCAGTGAATGCTATCCTGTAAACTTCAAATGGCACAATTCGAAATTTCAAAGAGAGAGAGGGGAAAAGAGGTACTGGATGGTCAAGTTTGAGCCTACCCTATTCCTTCAAATATCAGCCTTCTCGCGCAGAGGTATGCGATCTCCATAAACCGCTAGGATAATAGACACGTAAGCTTTGATCAAATTAGTCCAGGAAGGAGACAACAACGCACTACTCTGTCTTAAAATACATTTACGATGGCACTATACCTAGAAAGGGAATCTAATACAGTAATACAGTGGTGTTGCATAAGTCTTCGTCCACGTGGTGATGACATAATATTCTGCCCGTCAAATAATTTCTCCATTTCCTACCTCATCCGCTCATAATTTATGTTTTCAAGCAGGTAGATAGATTCTCATGCTCAAGTTGAATGGAAGATATCTTGAAATAATATGAAGTCTCTCCTATGGTCGATTAGAGACCATAGGAGCTCGGACTGAGAGCGGAAGACTAGGCGGTAGAGTGAGGGAGGACGAAGACTCTAGGAACACCACTGTACACCACCCAAACCACTTCTCACATGTTTAGGGGCGAAAAAACTCGCACAGCGCACAAAGTTCAACCTCAGAACCTGTATCCACCACCTTGCCTGAACGAACGCAGGATTAGAAATTAGGACTAGGACTGCAGGTCTAGTGCGACGATCTAGTCACTTCCTTGTCTCCAGTCATGGCCCCTCCTACCGGGGAACCGCCCCGCTTTTTCTGGGTAAACCATGAACAGGACAAATCTCAGAAAAAGGCCCTTGAGCGCTATAAGCATTCATTTCTGAAGAATAAACATTACGAGGCGCGGAAGAATCGAAGTATGCAGCATTTGATATCCCGGTGCCAAGAAAGGCATTCCCACTATGATCGTTTGCAGTGGGATGGTGATGTGGTCAATCAAGCGAGCGAGGATGACAATAAGGATCAGACCGACAGCAGCCAGAAGAAAATCGATGATAACACCGGCTCTACCTTCTCTTTTTCAGAGATTGTACTATCTAGACCACCGACAATAAGAGTAATTGATAATCTCCCCTCATCCCCGGACTGTCGGGCCGACAAATCTGATATCTATTTTCACCATTGTGAGTGAACCTCTTTTGAGCACCAAAATAATGGGCAAGAATCGCGCAGATTGAGGAGCATCCACTCACACAGCCTAGACCGTTTCCAGACATCTAGATCGAGCTGGCCTATTGATTTCCACGGGATGTCAACATGGTTCTGGCAGAAGACTCATGACCATCCCGCGTTGGGACATGTTATTCTATCGACCAGCGCATCGCAACTAGCATCGACACTACGACTTCAAAATGCCTCTCCAACAGCTATAGGCAATGCAACCAAGGATTCATTGCTCTTCCGGTCGCAAAGTATCAGATTACTACAACAGATGCTGGATGACATGCCTCAGATCTCTCTTGAATCGACCATATTGATTGTTGCTCACCTAACTTGCGTAGAGGTACCGTCTATCCTGCAACTCCCTTTTTTATAGATATAGAACTGGCTAATAAAGAACCACCAGGCAGCCGAGGCTAATACAGTGGCAGTCGATGCACATATGCATGGCCTCAAAAAATTGGTGGATATGGCTGGCGGACTGGATATACTAGGGAGCAAAACTATCTCTACAGTTTATTGGTAGGTTCTACAATGAATTTCTTTCATCAGCTACACTTCGCCTAACCGTTTTTGTATCTAGTTGCGAAGTGATGAGAGGTGTTATCTCCTACCCTCAGCCCGTATTTCATATTTCTAGGCCCTGGGCGGCCAGGGTATTCTCGCAGTGGACTCTCCTCGCAACGACCGATCTATCAACGGTTCTTCCCTTACTTGGAACTCGATTCTTTAATTCGCCGTGGTCTTGTAACATCCATCCAGAGCTGATATCGATACTTCAATCACTCCAGGAATTTATCAACTACTACGAAAACCAACTCTTTAAAGGCTCCGCATGGCATTCAATTGGCAACGATTACCTCATTATTCTGATGCTCCGATTATACAAACCAGTCACTGAATGCTCTCATATTGCATTTCAAGAATCCATTCGGCTATCGACGATAGTCTATTGCATGATTCGGATATGGACCTCTCAAGGATTCCCATGTCTTGCAGTTCTTTCAAACAAATTTCGCCAGAGCTTGGACTATAGTTATCCTGAACTTCACTCGACGGCCCCCGACTTGCTTTTCTGGATCTTGTTCACAGGGGCACTAGCATCTCAGACACCCCCAATCTCGTCCCACAATTGGTTTTTGGAGCGCCTTTCAGAATTGGCTGATGAACTATATTTGGCACACTGGGATAACGCAGTCCACCTACTTCAGGGGTATTTCTTTCCTCGTTCTCATGACACCCAGGCGAAATGTTTGTGGGAATCTGTCACTCGGCACAGAAAATGAACACGACAAAGAAAACGTATCAGGCTTAGTAAATCTCCTTGAGGCCGAGTCTACTGCCCAATTTGTGACTCTATAACCGAATCGCTTACGACATTCTGTCGAGAGGAAGGAGACTTACAGTACTGCGTAGACTCACATGAGTCCACATAAGTCAGACCATTGCAGGAATACCCGAATTCCCCATTGTTTCGCATGGTAAACCACTGCATTGAATCACCGATTCTCATTGATTGATCGGTTTACTAGCCCATACCAATTCCCACCAATCCGAAAGATCCAACCTGTAGGAAAAGGCTTAATTCTGGAGGCCGTCATCTTGGAATGTCCATAACTGTTAGTCCTTTCAGCCGCAATCTCAATGACGCCGTTTCGCTTACAAGGCACATTGACCAGAATAGGTAGAGGTGCCCTGTGCACCGTTAATTCCAGCGTCGAGGCGGGGCAAATGATAAGACTACGTTAATCCACACTTGCCCGAAATAGGTAATCGTGCTCCGTGCGTTTCAGAGCCATGTATGGGCACCACGAGCCTTGTGATCACTAGGGACTGTCCATAACATCCATCAACACATAAATGGCGCCAAGTGTCGCTCAGATAGAACGCAACAATCCAAGCAAGTATTTCGCATTTTCAAACGATTTCTCATTCAGCCCAAGGCAGCAGCTCTTATCGCAATGGAAGGTATTGTGGCTCAGGTCCAGTCATTGGCCCAGGGAGTTGATGGGGAGACCCACAACTCTATTCTCCAGAGCCTCCGTGAGCTCTATCTTTCGCTTGAAACCCGCCAGGATACAATGCAAAGAATATCTTATGCGGTAGGTCACTGTTGTTCCCTCTTCTTATCTCTTCAAATTTGCTTCAAAAGATACGAGCTGATAGAATTGTCAATCCTCATTTCTAGCACCTAGAGCCGATCCTGGTTAAAATTGGACTAGACTTGAACCTATTCAACATCTTAGTCGAAAGCAAAACACCTTTGACTATTGCTCAGCTTTGTGATCGAACTGCTGCTGCGTCGGATTTAATAGGTTCGGGGCTACCACAAAAAAAATCTTTAAGCGACCCCTCCTGCGTTCCTTATCCTAATCATCCCAATATAGGACGGATTCTACGTTACTTAGCCTCAGTTGGGGCTATAAAAGAGACGGGCGAAGACACATTTACGGCCAACAACATCACCAAGCATCTGAGCGATCTAGGAGTGCAGAGTGCAGTCTATCATAAGTTGGTTCCCCGCTCTCACTTTGCTTGACAGCCCTGGTCATCGAATGCTAATCAGTCGACCGCTGCAGCATTCAGAGCTTAGCCCCGGCACTACTTGCATTGCCCGAGTTCTTAGCTCAAACCAAGTACCAAGATATTACGTCTCCGGTCAATACTCCGCTTCAAAAAGCCTTCAACACCGATTTGCCGGGCTTTCTTTGGGCGCAAACACAGCCAGATGTTTTCCGGCACTTCAATCAGTTCATGATGGCTCAACACGCAGATATGCCGCATTGGCTCGATTCGTATCCAATTGAGCAGAGGTCTCAAGATCTGGCACCAGAGCAACCCCTGTTTGTCGATATTGGCGGTGGAATTGGCCACCAATGCATCGCGCTGAGGGAGCGTCTACCAGCAGTAAAAAACAAGGTCATCCTACAAGATTTGGATGTTGTTGTTGCCCAGGCAATCAAACATGAAGGAGTCGAGGCAATGTCTTATGACTTCTGGCAGCTTCAGCCAATCAAGGGTAACTAAATCCCTTTTCCTCTCTACATGCTCTCTGGGATTATGGTCTGACCGAAAATGATGGCAGGCTGTCGATTCTACTACATGCGCAACATTATGCATGACTACCCGGAGGAGAAAGCAGTTATCATTTTGAAGAATGTTATCTCTTCCCTTGGCCCTGACTCGGTCATTCTGATTGATGATATGGTCCTACCCGGAAGCGGAGTTCATTTTCACGCTACCCAAATCGATATCACCATGATGTCTGTACTAGCCTCCCATGAGCGTACGATAACACAGTGGTATGCTCTTACGGAGAAAGCAGGCCTTAAGATCAAGCAAATCTATACCTACAACACCAGATATGATTCGGTCTTGGAGTGTGTTCCTGCTGAGTGAATATAATTTCCAAGCAATTTGAATGGTCACTTTCTCGCTGATATAGCCTTTATTTTCAAGTTGGTTTTATAAAGCATACTTTCCATTAATCTGAGATTGATAGATAGCGTACATATAGGTGAAATAGCTCTACATGGAGGAATTTGGTACTGCATAACCATGCTGGTATATGATTGATCCTGGCACTTGTCACCTTAATGGAATAAAAATTGTAATGGACTCGGTCTGTATTATAATATTTATCAACATTACAGGTAAAAGAACGTGATCTCATCGATCGTGGCGTGATGATCTGAACGCAGTTGGGAGAATTAACTTGATAAACATGGTCGAATCGGGATGATTAGAGAATGCACCCCTTATTGCAGAACATATTAAATCTCAACCCCACCAGATAGCTTCTTCTTCCTTTTCCCTCCCCACCCGTACTAATTTTTTTGAATGTACAGGTAGTGTCCGAACTCTCTCTTGACTCGTAACAAGCTGTCTCCTTCCACCAACCTCGAAATCGGGACTACAAAGCTCTTTCCCGACTGCATGATCTGTGGGTGTATCTATATCATACATAGAGCTCGGCTTTGTTCGGAGTGGGTCATTAGAAGGATTAAAACACGTGTTCGAGAAATGATCGCCGATGCAATGGGCTGACCTACATGCGGAGTGCATCTACGGCTCTCACCGTACTTAGAACTATTGAAGTATCTGATATAGGCTGCATGTCTTATACGCGTCTGTGTAAATGTGCTGAGGCTAGAAGGCGCCCCGATCTTTGCTTAATGAATCCGCTAGGGAACTAGGTGCACAATCTTTATATGCTCTAGATTTCACAGTCATTTGGAAATATAAATATGCTTTAGCAACCCATCATGATTAGAAACTACAAATTAGTAGATGCGAGATTGGCTTCCCAGGATTGGACCTCCGCGAGGCTTAATCCTCTCAATATCTTCATGTCTCGCGTCGTACGGGCTAAGCAGAATGGGGTCTATCCATCGACATTCCACGGTCTTGAATAGAGTAGATCTGCGTTCCGGATATCATCAACGTGACGAGGTATGTGAGGTGTTATGCACGAGGGACATGAAAAATACGATAGCGCACGATAGCCTGCAGAACGTGCAGAGCTCTACCACTCACTGTTAGGAAATCCTTATGGGGCCCTAGAAAGATGCTGATCATAATGATCGTCCGTAATTTCCATCGCTCCAATTCACTGATATAAAAAGTTGTTGTCGTGATTTCCTTTATCATTTTGGACTCAAAGCTCTATCACGTCTTGTAAGCCAAGGTCCTCCGCAATACCCTCAAACATGTATTTGTTCTTACCTATCTCTCTACGTTTTGCTGCTGTGCCTTTGGTGGCAGCAGTTGACGGTGCTGGCCCAGGATCTGTAAGTGATTACTTTCATTTCAACAAAATTTACTACATGTCTTGGGGAGTCCCCAATTGCCCTAATATGACGTCTAGATTGCACAGGCTCGTTATGAAAATGGAGACAGGATTTTCTGTACCTGCGCAGGTAATGTATGTTGGCAAATTTTGAAGACCGAATTTCCCTTGAGGGTTACCGGCTAACCGCTATTATTTAGTAATAACTGCTTGAAACCACTGTAAGATATACAAGCTCTACCATGTTCTATGAAGAGAGTAATAACTTTTACCCCTAGCCTAGGTTGATCATTTGCTATTGAGTCACCTCTTATTGAGGCTTTCAGCCGGTGCGTCCAATTGAGGAGAGAGTATTCCAACACTAGGAGTCAGAAATTGATAGAAGGCCTATCTCTGCACTTATCTTGTGAAGTAAGGAGAAATATCTTGAAAAAATGCGTTTTAACACGCCGGACCTGTACTTTGGAAATGAGATTTTAGGGATGAGACGCTTTAAACAGCGCTCAACCCGTTCGTTTAGATAAGAGCGTTCAAGTACTAGTCTGTACAGCCACTACCCACTCAGGTTTGACCACAGAGCAAGTTCTACCAGGCGGGGATAGCTAGGTGGAAGATTCTCGTCATGGAGAGCAAGTAACAATCGCATAATAATAGAAGACAAACGACCAGGGAGAACGAGGAAGGGGAAAGGGCCAGGAAATACGATAAATGATGAGCATAAAAAAAGACTCACATCCATCAGTCAAGCGTCAAAATCAACTGGACAGCCCTCCAGTGAACGAGGGGACGCAACAGGCTGTGAATTTCACCATCGATGTCATAGCCTCAAATATTCTAGCTGTAAACACACCAAAAGTACAACATTCCCCGAGCATACTGATCAGTTGACTGGCCCCCAAGACCATCGAGGAGTCAGGACCAGTGCTTTGATAGACCTGCATGCAGTCAGCCGGGATGCCAGGTACCCGAGCCCTCTGGATGGCTAGGATTGAGGTTGCATGCAGGAACAGGCTTAGTTCGCTTAACAGAGTATCAGCTCCACCACTAAGAGTGTGTTGAATGGGTTCCTGGAATGCTTGGAAGATATTGGGGGCGGGGCCAGAGGGATACAAAGAGTACGTACATACATATACATATGTATAACAATGTTACTTGGGGGCGATTAACCCCATATTGTACCTCTGCATGGGCCATGGCTCATGGCCCATGTAGATCGTATGGACCCAACCCCATAGGCCCCGTGGGCCCCGCGTGTGATTGTGATTGTGATGGGCGTCTATTTTGAGAGAAGGTTGTTGTGGTGATCATTTCACTGTACTAGCAGTATCTTAGTATTAGGGCTTATGTATCCTTAGGTACTCTCGTGCTGCCCCTATATACTAGTATCTACACTTCTACAGTCTATCTACTCGAGTCTACTTCGGTTTGAGGGGTTCTGTCGAGTGACTTACGTCAGCAAGCTCGATCGTGATCATCGGGAGATCCACTGAAGTCAAGACGGAATGTCTGAGATTCACCCGATGATTGGAAGCACACAAACTGTCCACAGTGGAACCCCGAGAGTGACAATCTAGAGGAAAAGAGTCCAGAGCGAGTCAGCAGGGACCCTGACTCCCTGAAGTTATCTCGCGAGTGAGTCGCGACTGGCGACCAGAAAAACCGCGCTCGGGGCTCCACTTCAGTTGCGCCTTCGCCCCCCTGAAAGGCTGAACGGACCTGATCGACACCCTTGGCCCCCCTTGGGACGGCAGAGATGAAGATGAAGAAGATGAGGAGAATTGAAGAAGTACTGTATTATTTTCAGACTCAAATAATCAGCATGAACATGGTACATATCAGCGTGGGAGTGGAACCAACTTGTTATCAACTCCGGGACATCCGTGAGTTCATGGAGTAATGTGGTACTTACAGTATGTACATGATTTATTATTGGAAGCAGGAACCAGGAACTGAAGAAGAACCTTTAGGATTTTCTGGATCCAAACCCCCTGAACCACTCACTCTCATAGGAACTTACGAATCCTCCGTCCTCACTGGAGACTGGATGATCCCAGTATCCACTAAATAGGCCCGGGCGCCTCCTGAATGGTCCTCGCGTGGGTCAAGTTTGTGGTCGAATTCGGGGGCTAAACAGACTAAAATCAGTCTAGCAAGTGAGATGTACACCTAAGAGAAGCCTGGGGTTGGACTAGTTACTGTCTGGACTGTGTAGACACTCTGTACGACTGAAGTGTCTCCTCTTCTTCTGGAATCATTCCGTCTTCCTTCCACTTCTCCCCCGGACCACCCAACTATTCCTTATTTCCTCTCTCTTAACTCCATGTTTATTCTCCATCTTAGATTGTGATCCCTAGAGACAGAGTCCATTATTCCATCCCCACAGTTCGTGTCTTTAGCACAGCTCCCCTATCAAGGGACGAATCTCCCCCGATGAGGACAGGGCATTAGCCCCTCTTGCAACCTCGATGGTCCCCGACCTTTTGATTTGAACCAGGATGGCGACGATGGACATGGGCTTCTTGCCCACGATCAAATGCTCCAATTGTGGAAACAATGTGGAAATCTCCGCCATGGGCGACCATGTCTGCGCCCCTATTGATCATGGTCTGCCTGCGCCGGGAGTAACAACAACATCATCAACAAACCATTCCACTCTCGGCTCTTCTCATGCATCCTCCAACACTACAGCACCTCCCTCACCACCTCCATCCGCGGGGTTGGATGCTCCAGACCAGCTGACCGTGGCCATGGCTGCCAAACCCGGTCGGCCTGGAGCACCCCCTCGCATCGATCCTACCATCGCCAGTATGTGATGACCCTGGCGCGGGGATGCCCGATCTAAGACATGGAGACATGCAGACATAGAGCGATAAGGTTACTAACATGCAATTTTAGATCGCGCCTTTCTTCAACCGACGGTACCCACGCCGGCGAGTAGTGTGGGATCACATCTGCCATCCCCCCTTTCCATCCACTCGGCACCGCGATCGCCAATGCACTTATCGGTGTCCAACTCCGACCACCCAAAATCTCTCGGAGACGAATCGGTACTCGACTTGCATACAGTGTTTTCCTTTCCAATGCCTGGCAGCCGGTCTCCCGCTCCTGTTGGCACTCCTGCGATGAAATATGAACCGCCAGCACGGTCCCCAGCACGTCCAGCTCCGACCCCGTCCCCGCGACTCGGATTAGACTTGGTGCCGGAGAACATTCAGCTTCCACCTAGCCCTCTTCCTCCCCAGACAGAGTCGGCGCCTGTTGGACATAGTCGAGGTGATTCAATGGCTAGTCACAGTAGTTACCGCACCTCCCTAGCAAGCACCCGCTATGAAGGCTCGACCGCGCGATCATCGACCCACAGCTTCTCCCGGGGATTGCGCTCATTCATGGAGGATACCCCACCGCTTCCCCCGGCGCCTCTTCGCACTCCCAACAAGGCGTCATTCCCAGCAGATTCAAATTCAAACTTGTCAGTGAGCTCGGCCTCCCGCGGGGAAACATACAGTGGATTCGATTTTGGCATCACGCCCACGCCACCCCGGACTAGTCTCGATGACCTTCCAGAAGAAGACTGCCCGCCGGATCCAGTTGCGATCGACAAAGAACGGAAATACCTGGCCTATTCACCCAGTCACTTGCACCCGGCCAATGCGGAAGCAGGCAGTGATGCGCCCAGGAAGGCCTCGGATGCGACGAGTGAAAGTGCCATTTCAATTACGAATTTTGCGCGTGCCTTGGGTCTGGATGATCATCAAATTGACAATACGGAAGATTCCACGTCTTCAGAATCTTCCCCCTCTGACACCCGCAGTGGAAGCTCTAGTGGAAGCTCCATGTCCAGTCTACCATCTGATACCAGTTTGAATCGGCATAAAATTACGGATCCTCTCAACTTGGGTCCTTTGGTGGAGGAACTCCCACCACGAACACGACAGACTATTCTGGAACTTCCCGGTCGCATTCGCAGTACTATGGATGAAGTGCCTCCAATTCCTGCGGCATTCTTCAGTCCTGATTCCCCGACTGATCCAGCAATTGGCCAAGGTAGTTTATCGCTGATTGCCGAGAGGCGCGAGGAAGCGATTCGTCCGCTGCAGCACAAACAATCATCACCACTACTACCCCAGCAGCAAGATGAACTCCAAGATCCGCCTTCCCCTCGCCGACCAATGCAACGCTCTGCGACAGAACCAATTCCTCGTCCCCCAACCCGTTCCGGAACTCGTCCCAAGGGTAACTGCAAGGGATGCGGTGAAGCCATCACGGGCAAATCCATCTCCTCCTCGGACGGCCGTCTGACCGGACGATACCATCGTGCATGCTTCGTCTGTTTCGAATGCCACTCCCCCTTCCCATCCGCCGATTTCTACGTCCTCAACAACCGGCCCTACTGTGCCCAGCACTACCACGAGCGGAACGGTTCCCTATGTTCGACCTGTCACAACGGTATTGAGGGCCAATACCTCGAGACCGTGGAACGTAACGGTGGTCGTCCCGAACGACGCCGCTTCCACCCTAATTGCCTTCAATGTCGAACATGTCATGTTTTACTCAAGGGCGACTATTTCGAATGGAACGGCGAGGTCTACTGTGAACAAGATGCTCGTCGTGCCGCCAATGCTTATTACAGACCCCCAGGAGGCCCCCCAGGAACCCCGGGCCCTCCGGGATCTCTGAGACCTCCAGGTCCACCCGGTCCACCCGGTCGTCGTCGACCCACGATCGGATCTTCCCCTCTGGCTCAATCGCGTGCCTACCCTCCTGGGCCTCCTCCGGCCGGATATCGACCCCCTCCCTCGCCTGGCCCGAGTAGCGGATCCCTTCGTCCGGGTCCACGGTACCCATCCGGTGGTGCAAGACGTTTCCCCGAGCGGAGAACCACTAAGCTCATGATGATCTGAGCTGTGGAAGTCCTGCTCTTAAAATCTTCATTTTGACAGTCTTCAGCGACAGGCTTTTTCTGTTCTATATTCCCCCTCTCATTTACTTTCTTGTCACTTGATGTGACTCACCCACATTTTATTCCCCTCCCAGAGCGTGATCTTTTTTTTTTCCTCTCGCCTGGGCTCGTCCTTCGTTGTATAGATTGCTTTATACCCTCCATGTCTTGTTTTTGTTGGATTTCTCTTTTCTTTTGGTTCGGCTTTCGCCGATGATAGCGTTGATCGTTCTTTTCTCTGCATCATGGGCTTGTCACCTGCTTAATTTTTACATTCTACTGTATCCTATTCATTTTATTTCCCTCTTTTCATCCTTTCCTCTGATTTACACCTTTTTGCGTTGCCGTTTATGGGCATTTGAATCATCATCCGCGTCGGTGTTCCCTGTTTCCCCCCCTCTTTTGATTTAAGTTATGGTCATGTCGCCATGTTACCAATGTATATTTTCTGTTTTTGTTTGCTTGGTGTTTGTGGTGGATTGTTGAATTATTGTATGTTAGGTACCTAACTCTTCTTTTCTCGTTTGATTTCCTTTTGCTTGGAACAGGCTTGAATGAACATATTGATGTTTCTGGTATGCTTACTTCTTAGAGAGTTTAGATTTCGTGACTGTAGTTGGAAAAGCTTATCACAGTGAGATTGAAGGCGTCGAGATTCAAGTGGGGATCCTCTGCTTCTTTCTTGATTTGAATCTGATAGGCCTTTTCTTCTCAGGGCTTACGGCTAGTATTCGGCTTCTTGGTTATTGGGTTGCGGACTATTTGGTCTTAGGTTTCGCTCTTCTCATACAATAATAACATTAACTACTCTGGCGACTGGAATGGTCGTAGGTCAGCAGGAGAGGATACTGCTTCCCATCAAAAGTTACCTCAAAGGTCCAAAGACCAAGTACTCCATTTCCTCTTCAAGCGGTAACAAAGCCTTTTCCTTAAAGGCGTTGCAGTACTGTTCGTCACCGAAATCTGCATCTGGATTGAGATATTCTTGTAGACAGGTCAAAATAGCCCGAGAGAAGGCACATGATAATCTGCCATGAGCCTTTTCCTCCCTAAGCCATGCCTCTGCTAGTTGGAGACCTGATTGATCGGTCGGTAAGATGTTCATGATTTGATCGTCACCGAGTCTTTGCTCTATGGGCCTCCCGGAACTAATTTCAAGAAGCATAATCGCTAAGGCGAGTAAGTTTGAACAGGTTCTGTTGGTTGATGTATCGTCGGGTCGTTGGGTTCTAGCTCCTGATTTTTGGATCAGTTGTGATGTTGGGTTCAAAGTTGAGGTTTGAAGCAACGCACCCCGATCGAATTCCTTCACTAAGGAAGGATATCGTAGGTCGACCGTCAATGACATCTTACTATTTGCTCTTGCAAACATAATGTTTTTCTTACTCCATTTAGTTTCAAGCCAAGGAGTATGGCTAAGTTGAAACATCGACGCTACCAATGTGATGGCGAGTCCGTACACTTCTTCCAAAGGGAGTTTGGTCTGGAAGCGCGGAAGAAGCGCCTCCAGGGATAAAGATTGTTGAGCGTATGCAGCAGCAGTCTCTTTCAAGGACGGCCGTGATTTCAAGTGCCCATTTTCGTTAAGACAGAATACCACAAATGGATTCTGGGGTTGCCTGATGACTTTGCATAAGCTAGAGACATGCAATAAATGTGCAGGGTCATGGTGGTGGTCGTCTGGAACTGATATTGCAACACGAACAGTCTTTGTGCTATTTGAGCGTAATATTAACATGGGAACCAAAAAAATGCCAGTGAAAAGTAGAGCCAAGAAATGCTTACCTTGACGAAAATTGGTCAATTCTAATTTCGGAATCAAACCACTGAGAAGGCGCCTTGCAGTCACCACGAAGACTCAATCCGAAACAAGTCGCCTGCGCCACCAAGTTCGAGCTCGTTTCTTGCAGAGGTCTCTTTCTTTTCTTTGATCTGACCAACCGTTGCTCAAGAAGCAAACAAGCCGTATGGACAGGGTTGTCGTTACACCAGTTTCGAGAAATTGCTCCATGTACTTTGGTCGCGTTCTCTTGGATGGTACCCAACGATGCAGAAAACTTCAGCTTCAGACGACTTTGTGGTGTCTCATCCTGCAGTTTGTCGGCTCGAGAGGTCCAGGCATCAATCCTCCCCGTGCAAAGTTCCAAACGCTCTAGGGCGTCCTTCACGCGATTCTTCTTCATGGTAAACTTTATTCTTGGCCCGAAGTTGAAATTTTTGTGAAGGAACGGAGTTTTCGCGATCTGCAAATTAGACTCGACGATTGGCAGGAGATTTTCACCTAAGAAAACCTACCAAAGTTAGTACCAAGTCTACCATACAAGAAGGGGTAGTGCCCAAACCTGTTGCGACCCAGGGATATTAAGGCAAATCGCTATCTCAACCAGGATCTCTGAAACTTCATCTATGGTGAGAGTGAATGGTTTGTATGCCAGCCCTAAATGATCACGTAGACTGTCTGCAATATCTCCCTCCTTCCACAACTCGCTTCGGGGATTGTCCATCATCGTGATTTGGTCTGCGAGGTCGGCGAATGGCTTCAGTAAGAGACGAACAGCTTGATCGTAAGAAGTGCGTATTGTATAGAGCTCCAGAATTAACCTTCTCAAATGCCCTTTCCAACGTAGAAACGCTTTTGTGGGAGCAGTCAATTTCTCATAGTTCTCAAGGGCAGATATGAGGAGAGGAATGGCTCCCAGGACGAGCCCAGCCGTTTCCACTCCTGTCACCATTTTGGAATGAGAGGTACACCGACGCAACTCTCTCTGACGACGCGGTTGGCAAGATTAATCAACATGGAGGAACAAATGCCCCTGTCCTCGACTTTGGCTGAGCTATGAGGTTCTTCCAAAGGGAAACATGCCAACATGGACCCCCTCCCGACGCGCCGACCCGGGCACACCAGATCTCAGCCGCACGTCCTATTTCGGCGGTGGTGTTGACCCCGCTAAATCGCAATCGCAGCTCCTGGCGTTAATTTAACGAATGATATTTTGGCGCTTTCTGGTATCTTTGCGTTATTATGAGCGATTTAATTGTGCCCCGCCATTTAGCGATAACCTCAGCGAGCCGCTTGGATACATGCTTGAATACACTTTGGGTTCTATTAGGCCCTAGTCCATCCTAACAAGTTCGCAACTTAACTGCTCAGAAGATGAGGCTCACGATATCTACGAAATAATATTTCCTGTGCCTCTAAGATTGAAGTAACTCTAGCGATGGATGACATCGGCGCCCTTGCCACCTCTTGTGCAAGATGCTTCGATACTCTGACACAATCACTGCACACGTCTTCCGATGAGTTGAAAACGCAGATGATACCAATAGCAATTGGAAATGAATATGCCCGTTTCAAAATTTGGGCCGGCAATCTAGGCGCTTTACAGAGGGGCCGAAGTTCTCTTGATGCCAGGTTACGAGACTCGGTGGTGCTACGAGCAGCCGTCCTCAAATTTCTGACACAGTTGCAAGACTCCTTGAGTAAGAGTACGTTGTGTAGCACCGTCTGCTATGTTACTGGAATCCCTTAGTAACTGTGATTTCCTAGGTGCCGAAATCACAACAGGTCTTCGCCTGCCGTACGAACAGTGTGGCGATGTCGCATATGGTTCTAACGAAGAATTTGAGGACGACAGTGACATCAGTGATACTGATAGTGACTCTAACATCGGGGAACTGGCTGAGAGACTGGATGAAATCAAAGATGTCATGGAGCATTTGTACAGACTCTCCTTTAAGATACGAAACACGAGATATCGATCTCTCGCCAAGAAAGCTCTTCTCATGAAAGAGGAAGATCCAGAAACAGGGAAAGACTTGTTCTCGGCATATGCCATCTTCGATCGTCGGCATGTACAAGAGTCACTCGATAATCTGCGCCCACGTCTAACACTACCGGAATTCGCTGCTGAACCTGCACGAGACCTGAATAATGGTGTTTTGGATCTGCTAGACGCCGGTGATGACCAGCTAGATGGCGACAATTTCCTGCGGGATCGCTTAGCAAAAGCAATCACCAACCGGAGAAGGTATTTTGCATATTGGCGAAGACATGGTCTCAAGATATCACACGTTAGGGATGAGCCAACCCCCAAGCAGACTCTCATGAGGCATGCGGAGCCTGTTTCCAATCCTGAAACCACACTCCCTAATCCAGGCAACTTAATACCGACTCCAGGGCCGAAAACATTACAGTCAGGAACCGATTTCTCCATGTATAATCGTGATCTAGACCACCAGCTGGATGCAGACACTGTGGTTTCTTACGCCACTACGGCCCACGACGTTGATGGGAACTCCCCGGAACTACCTCCACCTCCTCTCGATGCAGCCAGCAAGTCAGAATTTGTTTGTCCGTATTGCTGGGTGGCTTGTCCGTCAAAACAAGGAAAAGGAAAGTCATGGAAGTAAGTTTCTAGGACCGTCGGCCTGTAGGATAGAAGCATCGTTCTAATGGATGTTAGCGAGCATATCCGCCAAGATCTCCAACCTTACGTCTGTACCTACGAGAAATGCCCAGATGAAGGCCGCATGTACGCTAGTCGGCATGCGTGGCTTGAACATGAGCGACTAGTCCACCGCCGTATATGGAGATGCTTCGAACACAGGTCCTTCATCTCGAATTCAAAGGACAGCTTGGAGCAGCATTTCGTGGATTGCCACAAAGGTCTGGATAGGCAGCAAATCGAAAATCTCCTAGATCTTGCCGAGACGACGGTAGCCGATGACAGGCAAACCTGCCCATTTTGCTACTCGGTTGGACCTTTCGATAAGGGCTTCTACAACCACATGGCTTTCCATCAGGAACAGCTCGCAACGTTTGCAGTTCCACGAAACTGAGCCAGCAATGAAGAAGCGAGCTCTGGGAGAGCTGAAGGCTTTAGATCAGCCGCTTCTTTGCGTTCCATTGCTCTAGATTTTTCGAATAGTGATGGCAGCATCAGATCAGCCGGCCCTTCGCGTATAGCTACTCTAGATTCCTCGGACAGGGATGACAGCAGCTTTGACGGCCATGACGGGGTAAAAAATGTCAACAAATCACTACTTCACGCTGCAAAAATTGGGGATGAGGCTGCCGTAAGGCTGTTACTCGAGAAGGGGGCCGAACTAGAGTCGAAGGATGATGATGGCTGGACACCACTAGCGTGTGCGGCTATGAACGGCCACGAGGCGGTCGTTAGTCTGCTGCTTGAGAAGGGCGCCGAACTAGAGTCGAAGGATGATGATGGCTGGACACCACTAGCGTGGGCGGCTATGAACGGCCACGAGGCGGTCGTTAGTCTGCTGCTTGAGAAGGGCGCCGAACTAGAGTCGAAGGTTGATGATGGCTGGACGCCGCTAACGTGTGCGGCTATGAACGGCCACGAGGCGGTCGTTAGTCTGCTGCTTGAGAAGGGCGCCGAACTAGAGTCGAAGGATGATGATGGCTGGACACCACTAGCGTGGGCGGCTATGAACGGCCACGAGGCGGTCGTTAGTCTGCTGCTTGAGAAGGGCGCCGAACTAGAGTCGAAGGATGATGATGGCTTGACGCCGCTAGCGTGGGCGGCCAAGAATGGCCATGAGGCGGTCGTCAAACAGTTGCTTGCTACAGACAGTGTCGACGTGAACTCGAATGATAATAATGGCAGGACGCCGCTGGCGTGGGCGGTTCAAAACGACAACGAGGCGGTCGTCAGGCTGCTGCTCGACACCGATGGGGTCGACGTGAACTCGAATGATAAGAATAGCATGACACCGCTAGCGTTGGCAGCTAAGAATGGCTACCAGGCGGTCGTCAGGCTGTTGCTTGATACAGAAAGTATCGACGTGGACTCGAAGGATAAGACCACCCAAGCTGAAGGCTCTGTCACTGCTCTCTACCATGCGTCATTTGCAGGCCATGCGAATATAGCGCGGATGCTGTTGGATGGAGATGCCGACATTAACACTCAGGGTGGGATTTATGGCAGTCCACTCCAGGCGGCATCACTCCGAGGCCATGAAGAGGTGGTCCAGATGTTGTTGGATTATGGTGCTGACGTTGACGCTCAAGGGGGGAACTATGGCACTGCGCTATATGCCGCATCATTCGGGGGCCATGAAAAGGTGACACATATGCTATTGGATCGCGGTGCCGATATCAATAATCGGGGAGGAGAATATGGCAGTGCCCTCCAGGCCGCATCAGCTGGAGCTCATGAAAAGGTGGTGCGGATGCTGTTGGATCGTGGTGCCGACGTCAACTCTCAAGGAGGAGAATATGGCAATGCACTCCGCGCGGCATCATCCAGAGGTCATGAAAATATAGTGCAGATGCTGTTGGATCATGGTGCTAACGTCGAGGCTCAAGGAGGAGAAGATGGTAGTGTGCTACCGGCGACCACCGTTGGCTTGGGCATCGCGGGCGCAAGGCACCTTTGTCAACAACTGCTCAGTGACCTGAACGGCATCAAGACTTCGCCAAAAAACATCGAACCTCTGACCGACAATGTTAGATCTCTCAACTTGGCACTTACCAGTGTTCAGAGTATTCATGACAGTGTATGGCCGTGTCTAGGCCCGTCATTCTTCGAAGACGCGAAATCGATCATCACCGAGTGCACCGCCACTTGCGCGAGGACCAACAGGATTATTCAACGCTGGACCTACCGCTCTGATGACGATAGTCGATCTTGGGTGGATAATTCTCAAACTGGGTTCTTTGAACAAACTCAGATCGACTTGATGAACCAGGAAATTCACACTTACGGGACCAAAGTCATGCGGGTGGCGAGCATCGTAACACTGTATGAATCACTCCGAAGTCCTATGCTCGGATCTGCCAAACGTATACTTACGCAAATTTCTTTTCTTAGTCTCAAGTCTGTTCAACAAGCGCCTAGTACGGCAGAGATTAGAACGAGAATCGAGTCTGAGACAGGAGAACTAGTGACTCATTTGCAAGCGGCAGAGATCGAAAGTCTTGAAATAAAAAGGAGGATAAGTTGTTTGAAGGCCAAGAGTACCGAACAGGAAGTCAAGCAACAAGACACCCTCGAGGAGTTAGAAGAACGGCAAGAGACTCTAAAAATAAGTCGAAAGCTGTTGAAGACACCCCCGTCGGTTTTCCAGGAGGCTGTGAATAGGGCGAAGAGTCCAACAGGGAGCCATGTTTTTGGAACCGACCATACTGGTGTTCAGATTGGAACCAATACTGCACCTTTTGATTTTAAGCCAAAATGAGGGTTTGAGGCAGGGGCTTGGAGCTGGCATTGGCGAAGCATTTGCGAACATGGATTGATACAGAGTACCCACATGTCTTTTGCATTTCCGATATGAAAGTAGTTCTTTGAACATCTTAGTACAGATTGGAGCGAACCTCTATAGGCTAGCTGTGCTGCGCAGGAGATTTGGTGATGCTCTAACACGGGCTGTACTATGCGTATGGTCTCGAAACAAGTAATGGTTTCTGTTTCTGAATAGCCATCAACTAGTATCTACATCATCCGGAGGTCATGAAAGGGAGGGACCTGACGCTGTTAGATCGAGAGGCCATCGTTTTCGCTGATGGTTCAGTTGTGAATAGTATTTGAAACCTCCCAAGCGGCATGCCACCTGTTGTTCTCAGAGGATCAGGCTCGCCCTATTGTTCAAAATAATAAGGTTAGAGCCTCCTGCTAATTAATCATTAAGTAACCTTCCTCTCCTCAAGCCTCACCCTCTCACCCCCCAGCAGATACTTCCGTCGAATCACCCACCCAAACAACACAACAAGTACAGCGACCATCCAAATCTGCGCCCTCTGCCCAACACTCAAGCTATCAACCTGCAACTCCGGTTCAAAAACCACCCCATCCTTCCTCTCCCGCTCCCAAACCTCACAAACCCTCTTATACAACGCAGGATCATCAGTGATAATCCCCTCCACACCCCGTCTAATCCCCCACCGCATAAGATTCGGCGCATTAACCGTCCACAAATACACTTTTGCGTTTGCGGCGCGCGCTTCGTCGAGGAAGCCCCGCCCGAATGGGCCCATGAGGATGCGCTGGTTGACGTTGAAGGATATGTTGGGGGTGTGTAGGTATTGGCGGGCGTAGTTTAGGTCGAAGGTTATTAGGGTCATTTCGTGGGTGGGCAGGTATTTGTCGCGCAGGGGGAGGTAGTGGGCTGACCAGCAGCCGAGGATTAGGCGTTTGTGCCAGGGTTGTGATGAGGGTGGGAGGGGGGTGGAGGCGATGGTTTGGGCGATGCGGGACATTATTATTTCGGGGTCGTTGGTTACCTGTAGTTTGGAGGGGGGATTTGTTACTTTTTGGATGGAACGTGGGATGGTAGTTGAGGACGTGCTTACTTTGATATCAAGTAAAGCCCAGATGTGCTCATGTCCCGGTTGCCGGAGAAATTCGAGGATATCGACGAACCTAGGCATGGGCTCGTAGGGTGCTTGTGATGTGCGTAGGGTCTTGAGGTATTCCCAGTCGCAATCCCCGATCTTTTTCTTGATTCCATAGCATCGCTGTAGCGTTGGGTCCTGAGATGAATTAGTACTGGATATGCATGGTGACAGGGGTGTGTTTCGGGGGATTAGTGCTTACATGGGAGAGCACGAGTACTCCATCTCGAGAGAGGTGCAGATCAATCTCTAGTGCGTGAGTACCGGCCTGAACGGCGCCTTGGACTGCGGCGAGGGTATTTTCGGGGAATTTCCCCTTGTAGCCGCGATGGGAGATAATCTGTGGGAGACCTGGGAAGGAATGTACTGGGAGAGGTAAGTTGACTGTCGCAACTTGCGACGAGGGGGTACTGACCTGATGTTGGAGCAGGGCTTTTGGTAGAAGAGTCCCTCTCCTGAGGAGGAGAATGTATTTGCGTGTGTTCTGACATCACGTAGAATGTTGAGAAGGATTAAGATGCCAGATTCTGTCGTGGATGCGCTGATATCTGATTCTCTTATATCCTCAGTTGGACGGAGTTTGGCGGAGTTAGGCGGCCCGCCCCTCGTCGGCCATGTGCTTGTGCTGATTTCAGCTCTTCCAATTGGAGAAACGGTTGCGATCTCTCCGATGCCAACCACAGTATCAATAGACATGCATAACCAGCAGTAACAACAAGGCAAAAAACGTTGAAAATGTTGAAAGGTGAACAAGTGTTTTCCTCTCTGCCTGGCCCCGCGTCCTGAGATGATGACTCAGCCACATCTCCAATTTTCTCCAACTCGGCAATCCCTCAGCGGAATCGAGATTCGATTTAAACCCATGACATCACTGGAACTTCCACCTTCATATCCTTCAAAAACCACCAAAAATCATGTCAATTCAGCAGTGGGTGACGCCCCTCGAGGGTCTGGATAGTCTCCGGCAGACTGAGGCGCCAATGGTCTCTCCAGGATCTGGCGAGGTGTTGGTGGAGGTTCGTGCTGTGTCGCTCAATTATCGGGATGTGGAAGGTTTGTTTGAGATTGTTGAATTATTCCCTGGGAATTTTGGAGAAATGGAAAGCTGATATACATTTACAGTGACCAAGGGAGAATACAAACACCACAAATCTGCCGAGCAGAATGCTACTATCGTGCCTTGCTCCGATATGTGCGGTGTCGTGGTGCAGATTGGTTCTGGTGTAACCCGCTGGACTGTGGGAGATCGTGTCTTGTCAACTTTCCTACCTGAACATCAGACCGGCCAAGTGACTGAGAAGGAATTGGCGGGTAGTATTGGTCTCCCGTTGAACGGGGTACTGGCCACGCACCGAGTTTTCCCCGAGTATGCGCTTGTCCAGGCGCCGAGCTACATGTCGGACGAAGAGGCGTGTACGCTGCCTATTGCGGCTGTCACGGCTTGGATGTCTATTAATGGGATGCGGCCGATGGGACAGAATGGGGGTCGGGATGAGTACATTCTGCTTCAGGGGACTGGTGGTGTGGCTATTGCTGGATTGCAGATTGCCAAGGCTTCTGGTGCTAAAGGTGAGTTGTGCATGGGAAGATGAGATCAATCCATTATTCATCTGAGAATAGCGCATACTGATGTGTTCCCAGCTATCATTACGTCCTCATCCGATGCAAAGCTGGAACAAGCAAAGCAGCTTGGCGCCGACTTTACCATCAACTACCGCACCACGCCCAATTGGGAGGAGAAAGTTATGGAATTCACCCAGAACCATGGTGCAGATATCATCCTCGAAACCGGCGGTGCTCAGACCCTGCGAAAGAGCTTTGATTGCATCACCTTCGGTGGTCTGATCGATTGCATCGGCTACGTCTCGGGTAAAGTGGACGCCGAGGAGGATCGGTTGAACGTGAATCTCCTGGCTCTGCGTCGGACGGTGACTCTGAAGGGAATCATCAATGGCCCGAAGGATCGGTTTGAGGAGATGATTTCGTTCTATGAGGCGAAGCAGATTCGTCCTGTGGTTAACCGGGTGTTTTCCTTTGCCGAGGCGAAGGAGGCGTTCAAGTTCCTGGAGAGTGGGAGCCACTTTGGCAAAGTGGTGATCAAGGTGAAGGTATAGACAAGGAACTGGATTCAAAAGAATTTTTCATATCTCATAGAAAAGAGGACAATTACTAAGTTATATCACACCATTCATCCTTCCTTCTACTCTCTCTCACTGATCATTCCCACTAGGATCCAAAACCCCCTTCCCAATCCCCAAATCCTCCTTCAACTTCTCCCCACCAACAACCAACGGCTGAATATCCTGCAGAACAAACACCATCCTAGCCCACTCCGTCTCACTCGGATTCCGCCACCCATGCATCGTAGCCCTCTGCACCGCAATATCCCCCCTCTTCATCAAAGTAGGCTCCCCCTCCTCCAAAACCATCTCAATCTGCCCCTCCAACACAATCCCATAATCCAGACTCTGCGTCCGATGCACCACGCAGGGATTCCCCGGCGCAAAGTCAACCACGCGGCACACGGTGCCGTTCGGGTTGACTAGGCCTAGGGTTTTGTTTTGGAGGAGGTCTTCGTGCGCCGCAAGGTCGGCGTCGTCGTTCAAGTTTGCGGGGAATTGGGAGGTTGTGTACATTAGGCTGAAGGCCATGGCGCTTTTGTCGAAGGTGCGCCATTGGGCTGGGGTGGATGAGTGGACGACGGCTTTGCCTGCTTCATTGTGGGTGGTGATGTGCCGGGTGACTGGGGGGAGGGGCGAGATTTGGTCGGTACTGGACATTTTGAGGGCTTGTTTAGGAGGATGGAGGTGAGGGGTGATTTGAGATGGAAAAAGCGATATATTTCTCTCGTTCTGGGACCTAGGACCTAGGACTGCTTTAATAAGAGTTTGTGCAACGTCATTTCGGGCCGATCATCCCTCGTATTGGGGTGTTGAGGTTGGGCAACTGCATCGACGGGCATATTGATAACACCGGCCACCGATCAGCGGTGAGGAGTGCATAATCCGAAACGAGTATGAGCAGTATACTGAGGTGGGGAGTATGCAAGGAGGAGATGTTTAAGGACGAATCATCTATCTTGGTGGATCTGAGGGACATGATTCGTAGTGGGGAAGTGGAGACAGCTGAGGAGGATGAGAAGAGCTTCAATTCTTTATGATAGTTAATAAGGAGGATGTTGTCTCACCCTCTCAGCCTTTCCCGTTAGCCTCTCAAGTTGGCTTTGCATTATTTCACTTAATACAGTTTCCAGAAACGATTTAGTCGATTCGATGTCCATCTCACATCATTCTTAAATTCTGCGTCGAGTCCCCACTTGCTGCTGATATGAATTATGATGGCAGCTCATGTGGGGACTAAGACCTTGAGAACACTTATGAATTGCCATATTGGGTAGATGAAGTTGATGGTAGCTACAATACTGTCAGCTTTCACTCCACTACCTACAGTAGAGCTGACGCAAAGCAACAGGGATCCTCCGTGGACCGGTGACTTCTTACAATGCGCCACCTGCCTCTTTCCTGACAGACTTTTCGTTTCAATTTATATACCAAGTTCATTCCTTGACATCATTACATACATTGAAACAATCCCATCTCCCGCCTTACAGGAACCACCGGAACTCCGGCGACGCAGGACCATCTCGCATACGCTCCGTGGGAATATCCCTCGCCCGAATCACCCTTCCATCCCGACGATCCCGTCGTTTATTATCCCACCACATATACAAACCCAACAGTCCAGCCAGACAAGCACCCGTGGCTCCAAAGGCCGACACGGTAATCAGTGCTGGCATGTACTTGGGCGCATCTTTTTCCAAGAACACATTACTGCTGACCAGGCCCATCAGGTTGGCCAACGGCACACCGATACTGGTCAATAGGACACGGCGACCCTCGTGGGCGATGTTGTTGTTGTACCAGGTACTCAGCATCACCGACGGGGCCGAGGTACCCCATGTCATCATAAAGGTCGCGAAATAGGCTACCTGGATTTGCTTGTGGACGTCGTCGATGGATGCGTAGATCATAAACCCGGTGAAGGTGAATAGGAATCCCAACACGATGAAGGGAGACCGGAGTCGGGTGTAATCTGAGCAGAATGCGAGGACTAGAAGCATCACGGCACCTGTCACGTTTGGTGCCACCGTGTAGAGATTGGTTTTGACGGTCGGATATCCCAGGCGAGCCACGATCTGGGGCATGAAGAGGGCTACTCCTTGCAGAGGCACACCCAGACAGATTTCAATGCATAGGAATGCGTAGGTAGTTGGGTGTTTGAAGATACCAATTGCCTCGCGGAATCGGAACTTTTCGTTGACAACCGCACTTGAATCGACCTGGATTCGGTGGAAAGCAAGGGCTTTCTCCTCTTCTGACAAGAAACTAGCCTCGGCAGCACTCTTAGGCAGGTAGAAGAATGCGAATACAGCAAATATTACTGTCACGCCTCCCTCGATGATGAACAGATAGCGCCAATTGGGCAGACTCGATCCTTTGATCTGGAACACGCCAAAGGCAATCAACCCGGAAAAGGCATTGGCAATGTTGGACGCCGCGTAGAAAATGGCCAACCGACGAGCCAGCTCGCCACGGCGGTAGAAAGTGGTCAGGTAGTAGATGACCAGAGGGAAGAATGCTGCTTCGGACATGCCCAAGAACCAGCGTAGTGCAAAGAGACCACTGAAATTCTTAGCGGCAGCTGAGAGCAGGGTGAATGAGCCAAATGAGAACATCAGGACGGGCAGGACACGAGCCGGGCTGAATTTCTTGCCCAGCATGGAAAAGGGCGGTGCGAAGACCACAAAGGGCACAAAGAAGATTGATAGTAGGAGATTGTACTGATTCGGCTTGAAATGGAGGTCTGAAGCGATTGAGAGAAGGAAATTAGCATTGTATGTGGGGTATTGGCAGGAGAGAGAGCCCTTGAGATACCTTCGGTCATATGGTCCGTCTTTGCATTGCCTAAATTCCCCTTGTCGAGGGCATTGAACAGATCTATCTTTGGTTAGTTCAATCCTGCTAAATTTCTCGTCATGCTCCAGAGTGGGCGAGCATCCAATTGCTCTTGACCACTTACACATAATCGCCAGGATTGGTAATAAACGGATATCGAATCGCCGGCAGAGGCGCCGCTCGGCCTTGTGGTCAACCACTCGGGTGACATCGTCGACCACGCCAGGCGCCGAAGCATAACCTTGTAGCTTATTGGGCTCGTCAATTGACCCCACAGCCCCCGACTTTGTAGTGTCGTCCAGCGACGATTGATGCTTATGTCCCGAATCCATCTTGGCAGGGGAGAGCAAGATAGAAGAGAAGGAGAACAAGAAGAAGCAGGACAAGGAGGCGGGGATAGGGGGAATGCGTCACGAATATAGCAGAGATTCACAGATCGTCGTGACACCTGGTTACTCTGCACCAAGATCCCGTCGCAAAGCAACCGAAGACGGCCAACTTTCGAAGCGACATCCACTGCTTATCAACTCGCTGTAACGCAGGCACCCCTTGCCCACCAAAACCCACCCAGTGGGTTGGATCGATAAGAAGAATGTTGCATCACGGTTGCCGATGTCACCCCCACGCTTCTCTCCGCAAAAGCGGAACAGCTAGTAGCCACTGGGTGGACGGGAGGGAAAGTAGGATAAAGTGGTGGTGGTGGATCATCAGTTGGGGGAAATTTGGGGAAGAACAAGAAAGAGAAAGAGGGGTTGGTGCCGATCGCTGGACGGTTGCATCCGAAGTTGGGGGGATTCTCTTGGCAGATAGTCACAGCAGACAAGGAGACAATGGATATTATTGATGGCTGGGATCATGGAAAGAAGAAATCTAAATGTCAATTGTTGAGGCTCTAATCGGATACTACTAAGGAATAAACTAGCCCGGATCATACCTGTCCAAGCATGTATGTATCGATATTTGAATCTGCCAGCCGCATTCCTTAAACATGCGTGCTGAATGCCGATCGTGTTTCACACCCCTTATCTCCTTCATCGGTACTTAGGAATGTTCTACAATCTCGGCATTCCTTCTAGATTGTGATCTCAGTCATTCTATTAAAGAAGGAAAGAAAAAGAAACGGTCGGGGTGTGCCCGATCGCCTATAATCGCACGGCTTGCCTATTCCGGCAACTTACGAGGCTTGGAAGCCTGAGGTTGCATTCTCGCCATCCAAAGCTTTTACGTCTCGTTCGTTGAGAGGAAACTTGAATGCTGACAGAAATTAGACGTGCTTCCAACTTCGTATATTTATGTATCTCGGACTACTCGGTAGGATTTCAATGTATCCCAGAACGTTACCACGCTTGTTTCTATCCCTGATCATACCGTCCTATCGCAAACCGAAGCAGTTAGCAAATACACAAAAACAAGTTGTCTAAGACACACATGTGGAATCAATTGCTCATTCAGAACCATTTACAATCACTTCCCTGCCGGTCTTAAGCAATCCAGCAGGGTCATTTCGGCGAGTGATAAGTCTCATCACGGAGCAGAATCTTCCAAACATGTACAACTTACTTACTGATCAAAAGAAAATGGGCGAAGCGTCTAATTGAGTTTGACATGAGCTTGATATTAATCTACTGGACTGCTGTTATCTAGCTGCCTCTTTATACACATTGTCGCCTCGGACACCCCATCAACATCCATCTCTCCCCGACATGACACGATACTCCTGGCGATGACTCTTCAGGACCTAAGAGGAGACTGGATACGAAGATTCAACAAATCAAAGATTTTGAAAACAGAATGCTGATCTAAATGTGACTCATGAGCTTGCAGGCCTTGTCGGATTTTCGTATTCGCCGACTCAACGTGCGGGAATAGACCCTCTCGATTTCCTAATCGGATGCCCGCCTCAACATCGACGTTAGTTGAGCTGCCGAGAATCTCCTACCGGTAAAAATCTCAAGATAAAAATTGAGAAGCTGTATAAGTGTAATAGTCTATGCATTATCTGTTAGAGCTCATATTTCTCGTGTACCATGATTTTCGCGTATAGATCAAGGCCTGGATGGCTCCACCTAAACCATGGAAACAAGCCTGTCTTGGCAATATTTCTCCATTTATAACAGTCTATGTATCAGGCACCTCGCGCCTTGGCATCGGCCTGAATAGCCTCCGCCGCACGATTCTTCCACTTCTCATCCCATCGAGAAAGCGCCACCCGTCCTTCGATCACATCATCACTAGCCCATTTCATACGCGCCTGATCCAAGGCCGGAGTAGTCTCGCCATCCGGACAGATAATATAGAATGATCCAGCTTCCAGTCCCTTCAAAAGTTCCTCCGCAACTTGGCTGGGATACCACGCCCCCGCGGGCTTCTTAACTTCTGTCTCATCGGTAGGACCGACGTTACCCATCAATCCCGTCCATGTCCATCCAGGAATCAACAGATGAACTGAAATTTGAGAGGTAGCTGGGTCTGAACGTAGATCGTGGGCGAGATGTTCGGTCAGACTCTTGATGGCAGCTTTGGATGCGTTGTAGGCTGGGTTTCCTGCACCGGGAGGATTGGTGATGCCTTGCTTTGAGCCTGTGATGACGATTGATTTCGGGGTTGGTGATTCGGCAGTGCAGACTAGGGGCAGAATAGCTTCTAGTCCGTTTAGTGGGCCGCGGACGTTTGTGTCGAATGTCTTTAGTAGCTTTTAGTAAAAGTCCAGTAATGACTATGGAGATATAATCATAGAGAAAATGGGCAGAAGAAAGCGCGGTATACCTTTTGCCAGTAATCCCCATCCAACCAGGGATTTAAGCGACCGGGATTCTGTCCCTGAGCCTGGTATCCTTTCCCAGCGTTCAGCACCACTAGGTCGATGGTACGGAAGAGCTTGGCAATTTGCTGGGCAGTGGCCTTCCAGATTTCAATGTCGGCCACGTCAATCACATATGCCTCCGTTAGAAGACTCGGGTTGAGATCATGTAAGAGCACTTTCGCTTTGACCAGATTCGTCTGGTCAATATCTAGCAAGGCCAGGTGCATGCCTTTACTGCGGCAGAGCTTCGCAATGGCGAATCCGACTCCGGACGCAGCGCCGGTAATGAGGGCGACTTTGTTTTCTTGAATTACGGTGCCCATGGTGAACAGCAATTTCTCAATCTGCTATTATTCGGAGGTTGTAGGTGTTTGTAAAGAGAGAAAGAGGGTCCAAGGAGGGGGTTTTGGAGATTTGAAGATCGATTGCCCCCCAGACCCTCTTCATGCCGATGTCATCACGGGGTTAACCGGAGATAGTGTACATTGTGTATACAATCTAATCAACATGCGAATAGTAATTCACAAAATTCGCGTTACTTTTCCATTTACACTTCTTCCCCTAAGTTCTGAGCTTCTGAGATATCCAACTGACTTTCTGTCGACCATCAGTTCCAAGACTAAGGTTGGGGAATGCTTTTCCAATTATCCATCCCCGGATTTACAATCTCCCTACACTTTACCTTCGATATTTTGGACTAGCCTGTTGCATCTTGAAGCGCACAGGCCTTTGTTGATGACAATGTAGCGATAATATCGTTCGACCGTGTGATAATCCTGAAACTTTCGAGATTTGTTCTTTATTTGATACAAAGTATATACTGCGGGCATGGGCACCCGAATCCCTAGTGTACATCGAATATCCATCAACGGAGTGATCAACAATCCACCAAGCAATACAGTCGCTTAGCGACGACGTCGAAGACGGCTCTCCAAGCTACGCTTCTTATAAGCACCGCTCTCCTCCAGCGCCTGAGCCTTTCCGGGACCAAAGTCAGGCTGACCACCCAAAGTACCGAATATATCGCCAATGTAGTTGGTAGGCTTAACTCCCTTGGCGAAAGTCTTATCCCAACCACGGAGAATACCCTGCACAACCTCAATACCGGCGTGGTAGATGTTCTCCAAGGCGATCTCGAAACCACCCTGATTAGAGTAGAGCAGGTTGTAGGCCGCAGAGACGCCGGGGTAAGGACGGTCGAAGTCGGATGCAGTGCGCATGACGATTATACGGGCGAAGTCGGTCAGCTTGTGGACGGAGGAACGGAGGAGGACTTCGAGGGTGGCGTTGTCCTCCTGTGCGGTGGAGCAGTAGTCGCCGGTTCCGTTGGTGAATAGCTTGGTGGTGTTCTCGAATGCGGTTCCGAGGATGTTACCGCTGTAGTAGACGTCTGAGGTTGCGGCATCGCACTCGACAACGCTGGGAGCTAGGGTGGCAGCCTTGTACTCGGCGCTCGCGTTGGCATAGTGAGCACGGTAGGCCTTGGCAGTGGTCGAGTCGGAGAGGTTGGCACGGCGAGCAAAGTTGGCAGCGATGGTGCGGAGATCAGCGTTGACCTCGAAGACCTCGGTGCCGTAGATGCTGGTGGGGTACTGGTTGGGGAAGTCGGCGCCCAGGGGGATATAACCAGTGTTGTAGGCATCGGAGAGCTCTCGAATGTCAATCTCATACTGCAGAGCCACCTGGACTGCGTACCGAGCAAAGGTTGCAGAGCCGGTGGTGGCTCGCTTGGGGTTAATGCCAGCAATTCCGGCAACGAAGAAGTAGGTCTTGGTCAAGTCGAAGACAGGCGAGAAAGCCACTGCGGTGACAGTAGTCGCGGCATTGATCTCGGACTCGCCGGTGATCAACTGGCAGACCTCATAGTCTTTGGTGCAGTGGACATCTGGGTACAGAGGGGAAAGACCAGGGATGGTGATGTTGTGAGACAACAGGTCGAATTCCGGGATGTTCCACCATGCCTGAGCTTCCGGCTCGAACTATACGTATCAAAGATATCAGTCAAGCTCTCGGTAGTCTTCAATTCGACCTGGTCATTTGCATAGAAACATACCATCGAGACAATGAACACCTTGGGAGCAATCTTGCCGTCATGGTGGGACGAAGTCTTCGCCGCAACCTGCGCACTGAAAGTGCTTGCAGCGAGCACCAGCGAAGTCACCAAACTCTTCAGGAACGGCATCTTGAGGAACAACGGAAAGGGTCTGTTCTGACTATCCGACTATCGAAAATGCCCCGCCTGAGGAATGGCCGAGACTTAAATAATTCCCCAGAGTTCATTCTACGCCAAAAAAGAAAAATTGACTCATGTCGCGTCAGGCACGCTATTGCTATTTGCATTTAGCAAATTCCTCAAGTGGATCTAATCGCGCCCAATGAAGGAGCGATCAGCGGAGTGTTCCTGACGAGATTTGGTTGAGCATGGCGATAGCATGGCTGATTGGCGTCTTGTCGGACCAGCTCCATCAACTCAACCCCTTTATGATAGAAGATACACCATTGACGAGAGGCTTAACTTCCGATTGCACTTTTTCTGGCCAATCGGCAATGAGAGGAAGACGTCGTTATCTTCAGGGCGGCTGTTATCGCACGCCTTCTTCTTTGACTTAGCCTCGGGGACTGCCGGTGGATCCACCTGTGAAGAGAATTTTCCCGGTCTTCCGCCGGAGAAAAAGGCTTGAGCATGTCTCTAGGAAGACCTGGACTTGTTGATGATTATTGCAGAGCCTATAAAGATCTTCTTTTCTGCTAGGCTTGGGTGCAGTCAAGTACAGAATGATGAACAGATCTGTTCCATGCTGATAGCCTTTCCGATGGACCGTGTTTAGCAGGACGCTAACTGACTCTTAGCAATATGTTACAACAGAGATGTATCAGGAGCGAATCAGATCATCAAGCAAGAGGTGAGAAGCTTTTAAATGCTAAAGTCAAGATCGTTGACAGTACGACTGTCCAATCGCGATAGCGCTGCGCTACATATTCAAGAGAAATTGGCCAGGTATCTACCGAGGCCCAGCACATCCAATCATTCAATGAGGAAGAGATACCGACCAAGTCTTTTTTCCAATCGGAGTAGACCTATGGGCTTGTTCCTCAGTCTGGGACTTGGGAAAACTAGGTAACTAACTTAGGCCGCATGTTGTACTTAGTCATGGCACTCTTCTTATTGTAACTAGCTAGAAGATATGACCTGCCAACAGTGCGATGGGAAGAAAGTATTGAATATTCACAGTGTGCAATAGTAGAATCTTTCGCAGTAGGTCTTGCTTTTGCCCCAAGTTCCTTACCACGAGGTCAACCAAACCTTTAACAGCGTCATCCGTGGATGATGATATTTGCTACCATACAATTCCATCGACCCTTCCCGCCCGCCATGCTCACGAAGAATACAGAGCGCCTTATGACGCGCGGGGCTCAAGCCACCATGGCTGATGGCCCGGACGCTGGCGTGGGGCATGACGCATGTCAAGATGGCTATTTTAGGTAGAATTAGGATTCGTGTGACAGGATTAGATGCTGATCGTCGGGGATGTTGGCAGTTGGGGGCTTCCAACGTCATTCCCGTGACGTCATTTTAATATATCGAGATGGGCAGCAGCACCACAATAACAAGACCAGCCATTAAAACCACGGTGCATTCCCCTTTTCTAACACCATATTTCCCTGAATCTGTCTTGATTGTGTCGTCGCTGTCCGTAAGGTTGTTAACTCGGTAAGTTCGCCCGGTCGGAGAGGATAGTATGTGGTCTCGTGGGCTCATTGGAGTTATTTGTTTAGTCTCGCTCTCCGTATTACCAACCTCACTCCATCCTCTCTGCCTTATACTCGCCCATCATGCCGTCCATGTACGATCGTATCCGTGAGGATCTCCTCAACAAAGAGCAAGCACTATGGACTGCTCTTACCTCTGCGGATCCAGCACCTGCAGTGAAGAAACTGTGCAACCCCGAAGGCAACTTGATGTTCCCCCAAATGCCGGATGTCTTGACCCTCGAAGACGAAGACAAGTTTCACGAAGCCTTGAAGCCACCATTCCATAGGTTCGATGGGTACCAGCTTGATGAAGTAAGAGTCATCATTATCGATCTTATGGCGGGCGCTGTCACATACAAGGTCCGCGCAGTGAGGGGGAAGAGGGAGTACCGGGCGACGTGCTCATCCACATGGGGCCAAGGGTCAGATGGAGAGTGGACTCTCTTCTCCCATTCGGAAACACTGCAGTAAACGGGAAGATAAACGGAGAGGTGTGATGAGGAACTTGGGTTGCGGGCAATCGAGCGTCTTGTACTTGTGAATGGTAATATGATGTCATGCGTCACGAAAATTTGAACCACTTCATATCTTTTTTGCATTTCTGGGGTTAAGAGTGTCTATCAAGACGACAGCTTACGCACCCTCTTTTTGTTCCCGAGTCTGAAGAAATTGGCGCTAGATTTTTGTGATCAACCAGATCGCCAGTGCATATCCCTCTGTGATCGTTCAATAGTGCCTGAGCGCTATCGGCGCTGATTGGCTGTCACACTCTGTGTAACAAATCCTTCCAATCATAAGCTCCTCCTTGTGCACTCTTACATACTCAGTCTTGGGCGAAGTTGACAATCAGAGGTTAACTTTGTTGATTTATCAACTGAAGATGCAAGGGGCGAGCTGTGCTGATAGCAGAAACCGTAGTCAAATACCAAGATCCGAGGCTGCTCGCTATTCGCTTCTATGAAGTCTCGTTCATCTATTCTGTAGTTCTAAGATTCGCTATGGCACTTCTCACCCTCGGAGCCGATCCAACTATAATTGAACCATGGCTTGAAAGTCTGCCTAGTCCCACAGAGCCTAGAGAAGATCTAGCCTCTTAGGTCATCTCCGATTGAACCACAAAGTCAATTATTCACGAGGTGACCGATCCGATGGCAGGGAAGTTATTAGCAGGGCGAGCGATTTCCGAATTTCGACCGAATCTTTGCTTCTGTTTGGGTAACTATTGAAGGTCCGTTCATGCATCAGTGTTGCATGTAATTGCTTTTGCATTGTCTGCGACAGACCCGAAATGGGCATAATTCGCTCGAACTCGATCCAAAATGATCGTGGATACGAGTGTTGGGCCTGCACCTGCCTGCACGGGGTGGATGCGCCATGAATGTTGATCATTGATCCCTTGTACATAAGTCAAAGATGGTGTAGAAAGGTCAGAATGTTGTTTTTCGTCCTGAAGGTTTCTTCTTGATGAACTGTTCCTTTGGTTTCGTGACAACAACGCCTTTTCAAGACCTAAGATGATGGCAGTATTTCGAGGCTCGGGGCCTTCATGGGGTCAAAAATGGAGGTCATCTGAACTCTTCATCATCACCGCAACAGCAACCGCTTTGCTGACTGGTACGGGCCTGGCATGAACAGTCAAAAGCACATGTCGTAGCTAATTCCCTTCGGTAGATATGTTCCTGTACCAATTTCTTATCTCGATCTTGCCTTATGTTCTAGAACATCGACTTAGCCTTGAGCCCTCACTCATCCAGGATGTGAGTACTGCTTTGCTAGCAGAGAGCGCTCTGGTATCGTTCCTCGTGACCCCTTTGATCCATCGCTTTACCGATCACTTGGGTGCGAGGACGTGGCTTCTGCTTGGTCTGCTTGGGCAGATGGGTGGCTCCATGATTATCGCTTCATCTCAATCGTGTAAAGTTTCTCGACCTCGGTCAAGGCTCGTCTGTTGCGACCGTGTGCAGTCTCTTGTATTTCGCTAACTTCGATGTCCTAGTACCCATGTTATTTTCCGGGCGCTTTGTTCAGGCAGTCGCTAATACAACCGTGGGTGTCCTTGGGCTCATCCACCTGACAAAATTATCCCTCTCCAATGGAACGGAGAGAATTTATAGAGTTCTCACCATGTCCATGGCTGCGGGCTCATCTGGAGGACCATTGATGGCCGGAGCGGTGTTCGAACTAGCTGGATATTGGACTGCGTGGATGAGCGCACTTGGTGCATGTCTGGTTGGCGTGATGCTGCAGAGTCTGATGCTGGTGCCATCACAAGAAACGGATAGCGAGCATGAGTCTACAAAAGTACAACCGGTTATTCGAGAGGATACGAACGAAGAGAGCCCATTGCTCGTACCCTCGCAGGTATCCGATCTCGCTCAATTACCCGGTCGCTTGAGGACAGTAAACCTCGACTTCCAGTTCTATATGTGCCTTCTCACAAAACGCCGCTATATTGGCGGGATCCTCAGTTCCATCTGTTATGCGATCGTATCCGTCAGCTTCGACACAACGATACCGCTCCATGTTCTTGACGTGTTTCACTGGGGCAGTTTTCACACCGGAATACTTTTCGGAATTTTACAAGGACCGAATGCGTTCTTCAGTGTCCCTGTGAAATGGCTGAAAGATCGAGTAGGGTCACGATACCCTACGTCTGTTGGTTTTCTGGGGCTTGCAGCGCTTCTGTGGCTCATGGGTACTCCCGGCAATGAGCAGTTCCCGTGGGCGAATATTGGACATCGAGGTCCCATCATCTATGGGACTGCCATCGCTGCCATAGGAATCTTTATGACTTTGTTGAACGGGACTGGAATGATTGAGGCTGCTAGTAAGAAATAGCTTAGCGTTAATGAGAGACAGGATGCTGATTACTTTCTGACAGACGCCGTCCGTGAAATCAAAACTGAGCAGCCTGGAAGATTTGGTGCAGAGACATACTCCCAAGCTATGTTGATCAGTCGTTTAAGCTGGACATTTGGCCTTTTCCTGGGGCCTATTGTGTCAGGGCAGCTCACGGAGAAATTCGGATACTACGAGATGAGCTGTGTACTCGGTAAGTATACCAATCACTACATTAAATTCAGTCAAGGGTTCACCTCCGTGTGGGCTAATCATCCTCTAGCCAAGATATGTCTGCTCTGTGCAGTTTTCGCTGTTTGGAATCTGCGATCGTAGTCTCTCGTCCACTACAGAACCGAGATTGAGCGGCGCAGGGGTGGGGAGATACAGAGTGAACGTTACAATGCGCAGCCGTGTTAGATATTAACCGGCGGTAGACTAGCGCTTAGCTTGAACACCGGGGTGTCCCGGGTTTCCATCACGAGAGAGGAGACTGATTCTCTTCAAGAGAATGACCGCAGTAGTAGCCGCACTGCCAGGGCCACCATTTCAAGCCACCTTGTGAGACCGAGGCACTACCGACCGGGGCACGTCCATCACGGCATCTCCGGACCCTGTACTCCTCCAAACTTCATACATAGATAGCTTGTTTCTCGCTGGTTACACCTTATAAGATTCAAAGAGAAAGCATGAACTGGGTGGCATGCTCTCCTTTTTCTGCATGGTCATTTCGACAGCTACGCAAGTTCGAACGATGATCCGACCCACTCAGCTTAGAAGAGAAACGTGCATGCATCCGTCACTAACTTAGCGCTGTTTCAATTCTGCAGAAAGGAATCGAGAAAAATATTCTGAGGCCCGCCTATTTCCGGTATGGAATGTAAAAACATAAAAGGTTGGAACTGCCATGGGCTGAGACGTGAACTGTTTGAATGAAGAAGTTACTGTAGTTTAAGGGTGGTCACAAAGACGATGGTCTGCACCACTCTTCAGTATACGTATCGTCTGCATAAGATTTCTCACAGGACCCTATAATCAGATTAGTTAAAGCGAGTAGAGCCGAGCAGAGGCTGTGGGGCATAACGTTGCAAGAAAGAATACACGTCGGGCTTCTATCACGGGGGTGATACTCAAACAAGCAAGAGGCACAGTCGGTGTGGAACTAGTGGAACTTGACGGGATCTGACAAGTCAACCGAGTCAAACTAACACACAAAACTGGACAGTTACTCTGTCATCCTACTGGACAGATCAATTGACTTGGCCGGTCTTGGTCTGGTCTGGTTTGTTAGCCTCGGAAAGCCCATCCGGTCCCCAACGGTCGTTCAAGGTGTCATTATTTTTGAGTCTCCGCCACTTATGCGAAGGAGAACAAGAGCTATCTCAAGCTTTCTTCCTTGTCGTCTGCCGTCATCCAACCATTTCTCTCGGTCCGACTCGCCATCCCCTGATAACGGCTGACTGGCGTTTCTCGCGTACTTTTTTCTTTGTGACGGATCATGTCGTCTTTAGGCTTTTCTTTGATACTTCTCCCTGACCCGACCGTGCGTTAAGAATACTCCGGACTTGCGCGCTCGGGGAGATCCACCACGGTTCCACGGACGATGTCTTTGAGGGGCAAATGCCGAACGATCGCCTCTTCCGGCCGAGACAACCTTGATTTTCAAGCGGTCGCTGATTGATTGGTAAAGATTGATTATGAAGTCGTTTTTATGCGAATGACCAAGATCCTACAAAGTGTTGCCTGTGTTGCTTGTGCAAATTGTGTCGAGTGTTCTGGACCATTGGAAAATTTTGCAATTAACCTCCTGCACTTTTTATATATCACGTCCACATCTTCCTCCCATTGAGAACATTTGCGGACCACGCCATTTCAGTGGATTGAATCACTTAACACGAAAATAATTATCAATACGAATTTGAACGACTCATTAACGACCTCTCCCCAGCTCAAGCGGCCTTTGCCGGGCATTTTCACTCTGTTCTGCAATCGAAACTTGAAATAAAAACAACAAGAAAGCGACATGATGGACCTTCCCAGTCCTCCACGCGACATCGCCATCGTTGGCGCAGGTATTGCCGGCATTGCCTGTGCGCTTGCTCTCTCACGAGAGCTGACCCCGTTCGTGCCCAATCTCAACATCACAATCTACGAGCGACATGACATCTTGTCCACTTCAGGCGGTGCAATCAATTTAACTCCTGTCGCACAAAGGCACCTTGCAAAGCTAGGAGTTCTGGACGAGCTAGACCGCATGGGTTCGGAGGGTGGGGCCGAAGTGGATGCAATTGAACTCTTTTCGATGCGCTCTGGTCGCTCAATTGGTTCAATTGATTTTGTTGATCATAATGGTAATGGCTTTGGCGGATATAAGGGCCGTCGTGTCATGCGAATCATTCTCTCGGTGGCCATGATGACAGTGGTTGAGAGGACTCCAAACGTCAAGATCGTCTTTGGCAAAAAAGTCATTGGCGGCGAAGAAATAAGCGACAAGGCCGTCATTCATTTCAGTGATGAATCCGAAGTCATAGCTGATCTTGTCATTGGTTGTGATGGCGTTCATTCACCCGTTCGCACCCGCTGGGTTGATCCTGATAGGGCCTCTCAATACACGGGCATGTCTTTCTTGCAAGCTACTATCCCGGCGAACACCCTGTCAACACCTCCGCATTTTCAGTCATCGGCATTAAATATTTCACGTCATGGCTCGATGTTGACGAGCTTCTGCGATCGCGATCGTGAGCAAATCTTCGTAGCCGCAATTGTGCAATTTGATCAAGCGAATTTAAGTTATCATCGCCTCGAGCCGGGTCAAGACTGGGCGACCAAGGATCGAATTCGTCGGGATTTGCGCTGTGAAATGCGAGACCGGTTCTCAAAATCCGCGTTGCCCTGCATCCGAGAGATGGTGGCGAGCAAAGAAGATTGGATGCTTTACCCAGTTTATCAAGTTCGGCCCGGGGGTCGATGGTGTATGAACCGTGTTATCCTACTTGGTGATGCGGCACATGCGGTACGTCCCTGTCATGGAACATTATACGAGCCCTGGCTCCTATACTAATCATGCATGTTAGATGCCCCCTCGAGATGAATCAGCAGCATATGCTCTGGACGACGCTATTCTCTTCGCTCGTATCTTGGCACGTTACCGCCAAGAGCCGCTGACAGAGGTCTTCGATGCATACGAGCGACTTCGCCGAGAAACGATTAATCACGCCTTCAAAGAATCCCGCCGAATGTGGGATAGAAATCGCGACATGGGTTTTTTGGAAGGGCGACTCAAAGAGTGGACGATGCCGTTCCATATTCGAAGTCATCGTGATGAAAGAGAGAGTGCGTGGGAGTTTGACGCTACCAAGATTTTGCTTCCAACACCGACCCCGAGCGAGGACTTGGTGTCGTTGAATTCATTCTTGAAAGAAGGTTCGGTATGAGTGAAAATTGTTTTTGAGATGGATATCTCCTTGGGTCGGTTGGGGTGTTTGGAAGGATTGCATGGGTGGTGTACTGATTCGGATTTATGGTGTGATACCCTAGGCAAATTTGGTTTTAGTGATAAATGTATGTCATGAATTGACCTGCGCTCATGCAGACTGGGCCTTTCCATCAAGTCCTTCTGCCTATATAAACTGTCAGTCATGTCGCAATCTATACAGCCATGTCTCTCATTAAGGGGAGCTCCCATCCCAGGCTAGAAGTACGATGTTGACCAGTTTTCGGGGAGGATATATGCGCAAAATATAAACGATGTCAAATTCAAATACATTTCGCTCCATCCTAGCTCTGCTACCAAACTCAAACTATTTCCAAACTCTCATGGCTCTACCCGCGCAAGCCATAGTCCATTTCGAGCCTTCAGAAGCTCAGGGTCTGACCAGCAGTACCGACAACAGCGCTCTTGACACTTCCGGATCCGACAAGAGTGTAGGAGTAGGGCACAGAGGTCAGAGTGCCTGCCTTGGCAGTGTTCGAAGCACCACCGAAGTCATTGCCTCTGGCAACAGCATAGCCATCATCGGTGGAGTAGAGGGGCTTGCTGGATCCAACGAAGGTGTTGGACTCGACAAGGACCTGGGCACCGTCACGAGTGTTGATGCCGTCGCTGACGGTATCGAAGTAGCTGTTATAGATGTGGCCAGTGCCGAAGCGGATCGATGGAGTGCGGGAGTTGATGTTGTACCAGTAGTTGTTGTTCTGGGTAACGTGGAGGTGACCGGTGTCCTCGTCGCCGTTGTTGTCCGAGTGGCCAATCAAGGAGGCCTTCCAGTGGTCGTGGATGTAGGTGTTGGACACAGTGACGTAGTCAGCTGCATGGGTGATCTATAATAATATCAATATGGCTTGCTCATACGGTATCTAAGGAGGATACTGCTCACGTCGATGAGACCATCGTAGTAGTCTTTGTCATGATCTCTGTCGGAAGACACATCGCAGTGGTCCACCCAGACATTTTTGGAGTACTCTAAAATATATTAGCACCAAAGTTTTTTTTGGTTTTAGATTCGAAAATAATGACTTACGAATGCCGATGGCATCTCCGTTGTCAGCCAAAACCTTGGAGATACCCAGGTTTCGAATGATGACGTTAGAGGCTTCCTTGACAAGACTATATACGCAGTCAGAATATTTTGTACTATCCAAAAACAAGGGGGGATTTTATACTCACATGCCGAAGTTCACCAGCTTCGCACTCGAGTTCTTGCCAATGATACTGGTGTTGCTTCCAACACGAGCTTGATCGGCAGTCTTGGTGATGGTGCCGCTGACAACCACAACCTTCTTGGCGTCTCCAGAGACTGCTGAAGTGAAGGCTGCGTATGAGGAGACGGTGGTGGTAGTACCACCAGCGCCACCAGTAGTGCCTCCGTTCTGGCTAGCATAACCGGAGGCCGCCTATTTTTCGAGAAACAATGGTTAGTGTGACGAATGTGCAAATTCGTGACATTTTGAGAAGAAACTCACATCGTTGATGCTTGCGCGCTTGACAATCAGGTTGTCAGTGGTCGCAGTGGGAGCTGCGATGACCGAGCTGGAAAGGCAGCCTGCCAGCACAGCGGTGATCCATTTGGTGGGAGCCATTGTAAAAGAGTTGGTAAAGATAAGCTGATAGCTAGTGTTTGAATTGAAGAGTCTGAGATGAGTGTTTTGATCTAGAAATGGAGACCTCTGGTGGGTTTTATATACTCCTTGAAGCTTTTCTAAGCTTCTCTATTCAACTCAGCTATATCGGCCTCCTTCTCTCAGAGTGGATGGAATATCTCCTCGGCGTCAATTCCTCCAGGTTAGCTCACGGAATGAAGGATATAGGTGGACTAGCTCGCCATAATTCTCCGACAAAAGTTGTATCATCTTCACACTGCCGAGAATTCGCATCAATGCAGGGGCCCCCTAGTATCCTTCAGAGGTACTTAAGCCTTGGCATCAAGAACTGATTTGTTGGCTCCTCCTCGCATAGGTCTTGTGGGAAAACAATTCACCATGTTACATTATCATATGAGCTTAATTATGAAGCACTATGATCAAATGACAGGAAAAGATCGTCAAAAGTAAAAATCAAACTTCCACAAATGAATCCCCAGAGGCTCTCACTTCTGGGGTGCATGCATATGCAGCCGCGCCAAGACTGCTGGGGTTTCATCACGTCGCGGAAGATCTTGGCACCGGAAGATGAAAGGGGGGACTGTGCAGAGCTATTTCCATCAATCGATATTTGTTTGTGATATGCTTGTTGACATCATCGTTCTTGGGTTTTTTTCACTACCGCCATACTTTCATGACTCGGGAATCCGACCTTAATTAAATCGGAAACGAAAATGGCTTCCGAGAGAGTGTGGAGTGGTTCCACTGGTGGCATAGTTCTACCATGCCCCGTGTTATATTGAGAGGCTATAAAGACCTGACTCCAAGAAATATGGTGTATATCTGATAGTGAATGAGAGAACGCAAAGCGGGTAGACAATAAGTGGAGTGGTGATCGAGCAGATGTTTTCTATACTCGTGTCCTAAAGGAGGGCGCGACGACAGACAGACGGCACGCTTCCTTTCGTTGTGTTCATTAGCATACAATAAAAAAAATCTGTGATCATTACACGGCCAATATTAGTGATTTGTGGATTCTAGAAGAAATATGTGTTCAACTGCCCACACTAAAGTATCGTATACCTGAAGTCCTGAATGTGGCTGAGTAATGTTGGTATTTGTGGGGATACGATCACGACATCCCCTCATCTCCCTCGGCTCTGCGGGGAATTCACAAACTGCACCTGCGACACTCGTCTTGAAGGAGTGCTCCCTCACAAAGACCCCAGATCATCCCACAGCCCCAACCTCCTCGACGCGTACAAGCTTAATACTTGGCCTCGGTTGGTCGATCCAGGTATATTGTGGCGCAGGGTTGAGTAAGCAAAATGTCGGAGACATTCTCATCGGTGCCACAAGTCGATTACTCCCGACTGAACAACCCTTCCACGAGAGATGATGAGTTGAAGAAGCTTCGAGATGCAATCTTTGTTGCCGGGTTCTTATACTTGACAAATACGGGGTTGGAGGTTGGTTCATCCTAAGGTCGAAGTTCATGAACAATTACTGATCCAGGCACAGGGTCTGATACGCCACACGCATGAGGAGATCCCGCGGCTATTTGATTTGTCTGATGAGGTCAAGGAAAAGTGCAACATGATCCACTCGCCATCCTTTTTGGGATACACTCGTCTTGGGGCTGAGACCACCGCAGCCAAAACTGATATCAGAGAGGTACGTAACCTGTTCACGCTGGCTGGCTTGGCTTTTACCCCCTTTTATTGTTTTTGTATGCCAAAGCTAAAATTCTCAGCAATATGACTTTGGAACCCCTGGCATGAAGGATTGGACGAATCAGGATCCATTCTGGCAACGTCTTGAAGGTCCCAACCAGGTAAGTTCTCCTATTCAATTCAAGCCCGGATAATCTTCGGTAATTTCATCGGTTGACTAGCAATATAGTACCCGAAATACCCTGGCGCGCAAGCGCTAGTGGAGGAATACATTGCCAAAATTGACGAGCTGGCCCAGAGCTTTGTCCATCTCGTGGCAGAATGCTTGGCCCTTCCAGCGGACACTTTTGACGACTTCAAAGGCCAAATGAGCCGACTGAAGTTTGTCAAATATCCTCGGTCGGCACCGAACTCGCAAGGTGTCGGCCCCCATAAGGACTCTGCTGGTCTATTTACCTTCCTCTCCCAGGATAATACTGGCGGTCTGCAAGTTTTGAATAAAAATGGAGAATGGGTTGATGTTCCCCCTATCGAGGGCAGTCTGGTGATCAATATCCAGCAAGGATTCGAGGCCATCACTGGAGGTGTCTGCGCTGCCACCACCCATCGCGTCATTGTAAGAGTGTTGCATCCAGACAAAGATGAGATGCTAACGGTCTCGTCCCATAGGCGCCAACCTCACAAACGCGATACAGCATTCCCTATTTTCTAGGAGTCCGCCTGGACTTGACACTGAAAGAGCTCAAGGAGTCCGCTACTCATATTGTGCATCAAATTCCGGTGTCCGACGACCGGAGGAAGCGAGCAGTCGACGTTCCCAGTGAATTTCTATCCCCTCTATACTCTTGCGTGAGTCACAATATCCTTCTTCAATATCTGGATTATAGTCCATGTACTCACTATGATCTAGTTTGGCGAGGCACATTTGCGAAATCGTATCCTCAGCCACCCTGATGTGGGCCGACGCTGGTATCCTGAGTTGCACGCAAAGTATTCACAGCATATTTTGGAGTAGACTAAGACGCTACAAGAATATTATTCTAGTTTCTTTGAGCATCGTAGACGTATGAGTGAGATACATGGATTGTGTCAACCACTCCAAGCCACTACGGTCTACTGAAAATTCCCAGAACAAATGAAAATTCCCGTGTTCAAGTAGGGACAACTCAACAGATGATTTGATATCCCCTTCTTCTTTCTACATGAGTATGTACACCTGGATTTTTTGGTAGGTATTCGGTCTGCTGTTATACACATCATTCAAAATAAGGACAATGCTATGTAAATGCTACTCTATGCTACAGTACGCAATACAAATGAGACCCATCGTCCACCTCTCACCACCAAGAATTACTCTCTCCTCTTCAAAACCGCAATGACACACCACCGCTGTCGATTACCAGGGCCCTCGCCCTCCCGGAAGGGAGCCCATTCCCGCCGAATTTCCCCGCCCTCCTTATCCCTTGAGACAAGATCCCTCTCGAAGATTCGCTCAACCTCAAATCCGTTCTCGAGTGCAGTCTTGAAAAAGTCCGCCACGATGGCCCGGCCCGTGTGGAACCCAGACACACACCAGACTCTGCCTCCAGGGGCAAGGAACCACTCCATTGTTCGGGCGAGATTCTTGTGCTGTGAGCGCATCCAGTAGCAGTCCGCAGCAATAATGCGGGTAAATGTCCCCTTGTGGGATTGGGAGAAGGAGTCGGTAACGGTTCCCCATTCGTGGGGCTGAATAGCGACGGCGGTCTGTTGGGAAGTTTGACGTTTCAGGAGGTTCTGCTTCACATTGAACTCGATTGCACCAGTCAGGGCTGGTGAGGAAGGGTGGTCTGTTGCGACGACTAGCGAGGCATTGGCGAGGGCACAGATAAGCGATGGCAGAGCGGCACCTGGGTGGTAGATATCAGTGAGCTGAATGTTGTATCGTATTGATTCGATGGACTTACCTGCCCCGAGTTCCATCACCGTTTCCCCATCCACAGACCAGATCTCACGAGCTTCTTTCTGCGCGTCAGAGTCGTTCTCAGTAGCCGGACAACTCGCATTCTCAACACCTTCAGCCACAACCATCCCCGCACTCCACAAGAAATGCGCAAACAGCTGTCTCCCATCCTCAGCCTGATTGGTCTGAGTAGCCCCCTCCTTCTTCTCCGGTCCGATCGCGCCCTCTTCCGACTTCTTTTTATCCTGGCCTGGATAGGATGGAATCATGATTTCCAGCTCGCCATAGTGTGGGGACGAGTAGAGGAGGTACTGGCCAGGATCACCATAGAACGAAGGCGCATCATCGGGAAAGAGATGAGGCAGGAAAGCACCGAAGAGATCCTCTGCGGACTCTTCGAAATCCGAGCTCCTGTCTGCATCGTGAAAGTCTGGTGCCGGGGCCGCATCCGTGGGGGTGGCTGTAGAGGCTTTGCGGAGGGGAGCTGGCCGCAGACGCGAATGTAGCATAGTTGGCCCAGCTCCCCTCAAGAAAGGCTATGAAAAGCTGTTCCTGAATTTCTTTGGCTGTTCAGTATGAAGAGCGGCGACAGGCCGTGCCAATAACGCGTTCTCGGTGCGGTAAACAAGACGGATATCTTGTTTACTCGAGGGTGTAATTGGCCGGATAAAAGAGACGCAATTGCATTGCGGGGTAGCAACATACTGTAAGGCACACTAAGTATGTGGTGTGTTTGTATTGTTTGGCTGTACCGACACACTCACTCTCATTGGTTCCTCGCTGATGCCTGATCTTCCCCAAGTGATTCATCATGTGACTCTCTGCCCTGGTGCCTGAGGTACCTTTGCATACTTACATGAAGCTATTCAGACCATCGCTCCTACGAAGGCTTCGGATGATTTGGCGCAGGAAATCTGATATGAGGGTCATGTGATTCTGATCAACAGTTTTGAAATGCCCAGTCATAGTTACCACGACCTTATTTTGGCTGAGGGAGGCAACATTATTACCCTACAAACATTAGATATTTTGGGACCCTCGCTCCACGAAGTGAACTCGTACTATCTATCTATATTATGGCCCCTACTTGTAGAAGCTAAGGTCGGCGCGTTCCATCGTGCTAATGCATATTGTGATGGCCGCTTTTGGTCGTATTGAACAGCCAACAACAATCAAAGTCTTGCTCATAGTTGTATCTACCTCTGACCGGACAAATTTGAAGCTCAATGGGAAAACAGATAAGGAGACCCGAGTTCAGTTTCTGCTACCATTAGATATTTGGACAAATTAACCATCCCAGGGCTATTGAAGAAAATATTCTCGACAATTTGCATCGTAACGTATTTCATAACACAGTCAACTCATCTCAAAAGTACCTTGGCGTCAAGGTCGGCACCGGTGTGGCGAGGCAAAGCCCAGAGCACGTCTCCGTTTGTGTACAAGTCTGGCCTGTGGGGCACGCATTGAATGCACCCAAGATGCAAGGAATACTCGGCAAGTTTGTTGGAGTAGCAATGCAAAGGCCGCCACACGCAGCTGGTGTGGAACAGGCCATAGTGGGGGTACAGGTCGAGCCCGTCGGACAGGCGCCGCCCATTGTGCACGGGGATAGCGGGGTTGAAGTAGGCACGGAAATACACGCGCCCCCACAAGATCCTCCACCCGCCGGGGGGCAACTCATAGTCGGGGTGCAAGTTGAACCTATCGAACAACCCGTCGAGGCACCGACCGTGCATGGGACTACAGGAGGGGGAGTGAACACTGATAGACAGAGCCCGTGGCAGGTCATTGTTTGCGTGCATTGCGAACCGGTTGGGCAAGGCGATCCCCCAACAATGCATTGAACAGATGGAGTAGGGGTAGGTGTTCTTGTTATAGGTGGACAGTGGCCATGGTCGTGGCCATGATCACCGTCATGATCATGGTCATTTTTGGCGAGAGTGATCGAAAGGGTAAGGCAAAGTGTTAAGAGGAATCGTGCAAGAATCATTATGTCCAAGATAAATATGTTTTCAGGTGTGACTGAGCTAGATAATCTTGGAACATATAGTATCTTTCCCTCCCAGAGAGAGACTTGAGGCTCCTATTTATAATGAAACTACAGGCTATTCCACCATGGTTGAGTCAAGGCCAAAAAAGAATCGGGGTCCCAAGGATCAGCCGGTCGACTGGAGGAAACAAACATGACATGCCATGCCATGGTAATAATGAGACATACATGAGTAAGTGCCCAGTAGGAAGTAGGTATCTAAACTTTAATACAACGTAGATGATTGATCAAAAACATCAGGCGACTACTGAATTCAAATTCAGGCCTGCCACAAGTCAGTCGAGGGGTTCTGTACCACTGACAAAGAACTGATTCACAAATGCGTTGATGCGTCTTCGCTAATATAGCTTATAAGTTGATGGAAGGGCCAAGAAGTGAGACATTTGATACGTGGCTGACAGGTCTCAAAACGCCATCTCGTATCTAGCTCGTGTCTGTTGCAGTAAGAAGCTTGCTTGAGGCGGGGTTCTCTGTGAAGAAAGCGACCGAGGGAAAAGGAGGATTGAGGAATTGTTCTGATAGCATGAATGTTCATATGATGATATGTCAACAAAGGAAATTCTGGATCAAAAGAAATATAACGTACGTAAGTGGAGGGCTCAAATCCCAATCTGATGAAATAACTAACAAGGGCACCTTTTGTAGACCCTGACGACGGGTTGGGACTCCTAGCCTAAACTTAAATCCATGGCTTTTGCGCATGTCTATAGCGGCGTCGAGCCCATAGCACACTTCCGAGACTGTGGCGATAATCCGCATATAATAATAGCAACAATCTAGCCCGCTGCCGACCATGGGGAAGTCTCAATAGGGCACATTGGCCAATTTTGACTTTTAACGAGTGAAACTCAGAAACTGGGCTGGGCGGGATGAAAGTCAGAAGGAGTGCAGTTGAAAAAGAAAAAAAAAACCCGAGTGACATTCATCTTCTCTTCCCTCCAAGTAGATACTCATTGAAAATCAATACTCGACAGAACTAGAAGACGGAGATTTCCATTCTTCCGCTCTCAATGTGCACAGACAGCATTTCTTGCTGGTCGACAAGACTCATGCTCTTCGTTACAAGGCAAATCTCATCACAAAATTATAGGTCAATACTCTATCCCGACAATAATTATATCAAGGATTGTGGTCCAGAAGTTATTGAACCCGCCTAACACTTGGTGTTCGGGTCTTGCCTGTTAGACCGGCTTATAAAGCTTCGATGTTGGGAATAGACTATACTTGTAAACAAGGAGCCTTGCGACGTAAATCTTGGGGTGAAAACAAGACGACTAAGTTTTCAGATGTCTTAGATTGTCTATTTGTCTACTGCGGTGCCTTCTGCGACGGCTCAACCTCGGGGGTTAACTCCTGTTTATATGTTAACTAACTAGTTAGTTAACGTAGTTCCCGGCTTACCTGATAACCCGGTTAACCCGATAACCCCAAAACACCATACTAAATGCAATTTTTTAGGTCATAGCATATCAACAACTAGAAGCATTTCTTTCTTTGATTTATAGTGTCATATAAATTCTGAGCACTAAAAACGGTGTAGCATGACTCAAATATTTTGAAAAGGGTTAATTACCTATATTACCAAAATTACACTCCGGTCCAGTGATGTAGATATATATATTAATATTATACCACTTGGAAAAATTTCTCGACCTAATAAATATACTTAGCATGGTATATCAAACACTACGGTATCCCTAAGATGACATTCTTGGCCTTTGGGGTTGAAATATGAAATTATGAAAAATCCCATTTAGTATGGTGTTTTGGGGTTATCGGGTTAACCGGGTTATCAGGTAAGCCGGGAACTACGTTAGTTACTGTTTCGTGTATTACGTCACTATACATCTTGGCGGTCCCTTAATTCCGCGAGGTCACAACCTTATCCTCCGGAGTCAAGTTCCATGTCATTTCGTCTTCGCGCAAGAAAAACCCTACCGCCACCACGTCATGAATTAGAATCAAAAATGGCTTCTTGACTTTGCAAGGCAACACCTTGCGCCAAAAAATCCACATTCCTCTCGAGGTCACATTAGGGTATCTAGCAGACAAGAGGAGCGTCGCGGTTTGAGGCCTTGAGTACACCAGACAGAAAGTTCGTTAAATGACAGGAGTTGAAGACCCTATGCTGCCAAAACTGTAGCACGATGCTTACATCATGATGAAAAGCTCTCTGCCATTATATAAATCTCTTCGGCACATATGTTAATTGGTTATCTTAACAGACAGCAGTCAATCTTGCCAACAAGCTATCGACTATGAGACGACTACCGCGGCCAGCAAAATTTCGATTTGCATTGGTAGCCACGTCCCATACAAGAGCGAGACTTCTTTCGGAGAATGCGAAGCCCAGGAGTGACATCTACTCCTTTGAACAGTTTGATGTCTGCGGTAAAATCATTGTTACCACAGGAGGTGCTAGAGGGCTAGGCTTTGATATGGCTCACCAGTTATCGGAGGCAGGAGCAAAGGGTACCGTAGCTTTCTCTGGGGTGGTAAACATTTTATTGAATTTTCTTAGTATATGTCCTCGACATTCTCGGAAGACCAGATAGAGAGTTCTTGGCAGCACAAGATCACGAATCCCCCTTGGTGGGCTTTTGCAATATGTCAACGTGGACGTGACCGACGTGCAAAAGATTGATGACACGATATCGCAAATTACAGACAAGAACGGCCGTCTCGACGGCCTTATTGCTGCGGCGGGTGTGCAAAGAATAAATAGGCGAAGCGATTGGACAATCACAAGAGGTAGCGGAGCAAGTAATGAGGACGAACTTTTTTGGTGCCTTCAATTGTGCTACTGCGTGTGGTATGCAGATGTTAGAGAGAAAATGTCCCGGCTCTATTGTGCTTGTGGCGAGTATGAGCGGTCTCGTCGCCAATAAAGGGATGTATGGTTCAGTCTACAACTCCTCAAAAGCTGCGGTGATACAGCTTGCAAGAAAGTTGGCACAGGAATGGGGCCCAGTAAATGATCAAGGGAGTGGTGGGATTCGCGTGAATAGTTTCTGTCCAGGTCATACGTACACGCCGATGGCGGAGAAGTCGTTCGAAGACGGACCCGAGACCAAAGAAATGTGGGCACATGCGAATATGTTACGGAAAATCGCACGGCCATGGGATTTCAAAGGGGTATCGCTGTTCTCAATGAGCGATGCGAGCAGTTTAATGACAGGCAATGCACTCATCATTGATGGAGGTCATACTGCTTGGTGAAGCGAACGACCACAGTCATGGATCATAGTCTGGCAGGAGAAAGATTTGCTTTCGATCAGAGAGTCTTCTACAGTAAAATTCCAAACGTTGCCCATTTCCCTTCAAGAACAGAACAGAGCGCTTTGTGTAATTGGATTGTAGTAACTACCCCGGAATCTTGTGACTAACATGTCGTGATCTGAAAGAGGAGAGTGAATATTATGCCTTATCGAGAGAAGAGCTGATAGAAGATATGGTCACAGTGATATAACTTGCTCACAGTGATATAACTTGCTCACAGTGATATAACTTGCTCACAGTGATATAACTTGCTCACAGTGATATAACTCGACTTCACCAGCTGCAAAGACAATAAAGCCATTCGACAGTTCCGCAATGCCTGATCATATTCTAATCGGCCGTATCTGGGGTTGGTATTGTTCACCCCTCGAATTAGTCGTGAAAGAATTAAATGTATAACCACTCTAAACAGCAATGGGAAAATGAGTAAGATTTATAGGAGAGTAGACAATAAATTGGAAAAAAAGAATACACTCTACATGACAGAACGTGCAATGGAGGTTAAAAAATCGGTATATTCAGACAACCCCCCACATATTTCCCGCTTGGACTTGAAAATTAACCAAATACAGACCTCGCTGTGAAACTTAATAGAGAAAATCGGTTCCCGGTGTTAGACTTTGATCAATAGGTCAAATGAACATGGTAATTGAACCAGGATTTTTGATTTCTAGCATACTTTAGACATTTGCCCATGTTTTTCAACAAGAAACGAGCCTAATGATCAAACAGGAAGTCCAGTCGCTTATTTCCTTTGTCGGTGGTTGTCTCCAGATAAGTAGCCCTTTCCTCAGGGCTCAGCTTTTCCCAGCGAGCCTTTTTCCATTGATTCCTGCGCACGTAATACGCTTTTGCGAGAGCATACAGCACAACAGTAGCAATGTTAATAGCGATAAGCTGCTTATTACCACGTCGATAAAGGGGCTTATCGTCTGAGCGATAGATATTTGATGATGCGATACCCGAAAATTGAATGGTGATGTTGTACAACGCAGCACTCACTGTCCGGGTTCGAACTGTGTTGCTCAAACGAGAGCACCACCCAACATGAGCCGCATGGGGAGACGGCCAGCCCAGCAAGACAAATGTCACCGCGTAGAGACCCCAATGAGACAAAGTTCCGGCGGATGTGTAAAGAACAATGAGCAGTGGAAGAGTCCATAGCTGGGTCAAGAGACCAATCAGAGAAATTTGATGGAAACGTTCTGTTAACTCCGTAACAAGGAGAAGGTTGATGGACGCAAACACGGTCACTGGGATCGATAGCAAGGTGGTCTGGAATGTATTGAAGCCAATGGCCTTCAGCGAGAGCGTAAGATAGGTTTTCGGTGGCGCGGTTGGAATTTCGAACAGTATCCCGATTGCATAGATTGGCCAAAGATCGTAATCTTTCAAACTCTGCCAGAGCATCTTCAGCGAAAGTCCTTGGCGGTTATGCATGTCTCCCTTGGATGGGTCATCTCTGAGCACGCGGTTGACGATGATCTTTTCCTCCCTCTCTGAAAAGTACCCCTTCGGATTCCACCAAGTCTGAGTCTGCGTGGGGCCGGGGACGAGGAAGAGGAAGCTAAGGAAGCCGATCACAATGCTGATAAGTGCCTCGATGAGGAAAAGCCACCTCCAACCTTCACGGCCGGCAACGCCTCTCATGTGCAGAACACCATATGCAATAAATGAGGCGATCACTCCCGACATCGAATCCACGAACCAGAATAATGCGAGGCGGAATGGCATCTCTGATTTGGTATAGAAATAAGACAAGTACAAGATCGAATCAGGAATGAAGCCACCCATAAACAGACCAATGAAGAAACGGCACGCAAAGAATCCAGCTCGGTTCTGCATGAAGAATTGACCACCAGATGCCAAGCTCCACAAGATTATTTGGATCGGGATCCAACGATCGGGGCCAAGTCTTTTGCCGATCATCTGAGACGGGATTTCGGCGATGAGGAAGCCGATGCGATACATGTTTTGCGCATTGTTGTAATCATTCGTGCTGAGATGCAAATCATCAAGGAGATTATCTGCTGCAGCATTGGCCAAGTTTCCCCGATCAAGGTTCAGCCCGAAGAACATCACCAAGATCCACAGAAGGACCGTCCAATCGGTTTTGCGCCGAACTGCGATTTCCTCGCGGTAAGTCCACCTTGCACTGGGGTCAAAATGGGTAAGGTTTTCGTAATCGGGATGTGGCTGGTAATATTTTGCGAGCAATGGATCATCAAAAACGCTTCGAACGGTCGCGATCGCATCAGGGTTGTCGGTTCTCCGTGAAGGAACGAGGAGCCTTCGCAGAAACGATGCCGGCTCTCGTTTCTCAGTTGGGTCCACTAGGTGATCGGCATCCCCTTTGTCGGCTGGTGGTTCGCCAGCCACTATGACTTCGGCCGCCTTGGCTGTGGTGCTCATCTTCAAAGTTTGGAGAAAGGTGGACCTTTGGGCCTGTCAAACCTCAGAGTCCAGGTCCTGATATATGTCCTGTTGATTACCATCAAGAATCTACATGGCTAAGGGGTAATATCCCAATCTACATTCGTGCTCTGGAGACTGAATGATACCATTCACGCGAGCATACAAAATCCTCTTTACAAGATCCACTAATTGGCTTCGAGATAGGACAATGGCGCAAGATTCAGCCCTCGCCTTCTTACGATGCCATCTTATTTTGCTAATCGAGTGTTCTGTTTGATTCATCTGGACTTGATCCAGTCACTGTTTCGCCATATAAGGGCGGATGGCATCAGGCTTGGTCAGTAACAACCGAACATCCACAATAGTATTTCCTGGAGCAGAGACACATTTTATCCGCGTAAGGCGTTGTTCCACAGAAACAAACCCCTGCAATTGGTGGATAATTTCGCCCCTCGCAGTCGCACAGCCCTATGCTCGGGTAATTGATGGCCGACTCCGATGACCCTTCCGGTCGTGTCATTTTAGGAAATTCTGAGTGATGAACGGAGAATACAATACTATGCGGCGTATCGATCCACTACCACGTGGTTTTCTCATAGAAAATTTTAATTGCCTGGCAATGGGGCTCTTTCCCACATTAATTATGGACGTGTCAGTTGATCTGTTCCAAGACTTACGGAGAAGAAATGCAGAGGAAAAAAGTAACAGCCCTCAAAACACCCGGTTATCGTTGGCAGCTTCTACGAGACTCGGTCATGCAAGTTATTGTTGACCGAGCTGTACGTACAATGGGTATTACAGACAATGAAGATAAGATTTCCTTAGCACATCATGCTACGGAGTAGATAGCACTGGAATTCACTGTATGGTTGGCCTCAACAAGAATAATATCACGTCACTGATAGCTTAAAGGGCTCGACCAATCAGACTAAAAGGATCCCCAGTAATGCAATTCGTAGTCGACAGACCCCGGGCGCCAAAGTGGGGCAGGTTCATAGACAGGAATAGGGGTCGAAGCTGCGGGTGGTTAGAGAATTCTTTTATCGCAAGGTAGATTTCAAACTTACTGCCATAACCTGTGCTAGGCGCGGCCCACGTTGGGGTGCTTGGTGCCTGCCAAGAAGTGGGAGTTGCCGTGACAGTGTAAATGCTGGTATACGTGTAGGGTGACTGAGTACCACTCAGAGTCTTTATGCCGTTGTTCACACCGTAACTATTATCACCAGAACCAAAAACATTGTTGATTTTGTTCACGATCGCACTCCCAGTATCAGTCCATAAGGAAAAGTCCTCGACCGTGACATTGATCGCAAAGTTCAGATCATTTGCGATCAGGTAGATTGGTGGTCTTTTTGTGCCATCAGCAACAGAACCTGAAGTCTTTGTTAGAATCTGGTACCCTCTAGAATTAATATCAAAGGATACAACCAACCTGTGAAATTGCGGAATACAAGGTTACTCAGTGCAACAGAACCAGTATCTGGTGAAAACGTATTCTGCCAGTACTGATTGATATCGAGACCATATAGGCTTGAAAGAGAGCGGAAGTTGGAGAATGTCACGTTTGTCACATAGCCCGATCCTCCGGGGTATGTCTTTATGAAGGCAATATTGTTCCCTTGAATAATGCTTATGTTACGGGCTTCCTATTTGAACGGTGAGTATATTAAATTCTTTGTGGGATAGTGTGGCATGGCTCGTACGATATTGGATATCTCTGCTGACACGTTCAAGCTTCCAATAGAAATTCCCGACCCCGCCTGATTGCAGACAAGATTTTCTATCAAAGCGTGGTGCGATGGACTTTTGACTGAGACACATTCGTCTCTATTGGTTACCTAGAAATTTAAAACCGAGTCAGCATGGAAGGAATCACGAAGCTTGCGAGCCCGCAGGCACGGTGTCTCCTAGAGATCCCGAGATAAGACGGCGAACCTCATTGTCATGAATGTAGTAGTTCGTCCCAATCGCATCAATACCATCGTAGCTACCCAAATTCGCCCCACGGATGGTCAAGTGATATACTTCAACGTTCAAGACAAAATCGAGCACAATATGAAATTTAGGGCTGTCAACCAAAATCAGGTCATGGACAGAAGCATTGGTTGGTGAGATCAGTCTGACTAGGCGTGGGCGCTCAGTACTGGATGTTTGGCATTGTCAATGTCGGAACTTCCAATCCTTGTGAGCGGAATTTACTGACTTGTTCCCGTTCCGGTAGAGATATCCTTGTCCTTGGATGGCGCCCGTTCCAGTCAATGAATAAAATTCAAAGTCGACAGCTATCAGAGGAGTAAATCTGGATGAACAGTTGTACTTCGAACAGGATCGTGAACACAATTGAGACCACACATACCATTGACAATGACAAGAACATTCATCAAGAACTTCCCGTCACCTTCTCCATTGATTGTTGAATTAATCAAATCGATGCCAGCGGAACCTTGGAGTATCAAACCTCGATCCACATTCCAATTCCCATTGTAAGCTGCCGTAATTAAGCCATCCAACTGAAAAGCCCAATTCGTCCCGTTACTGAGGACGACACTCTGGTTCAGAAGATAATCGCCCTCAGGTATGACCAATCGACTTCCAGGCCTTTTGCGAACGCAATCCGTGAAGGTCTTCTCGATAGCGGAAGATATATCACTGGAGTTGTCTGCGACTGCACCGTAATCCAAAACATTGCACTCGATCGTCTTTTTTTCCAGTGGTGTCGTAGGTCCGACTGGTCCAATAAGTTGACCAGCGGCCACCCCGATAATAACAAATAGCGCCAACAATCGCATAGCTCTAGTATTGGGTGAATGTCTTAGAGATGACTGATAATCAGAGGTCTCAAAAATTTCCTTCTTGATGAATTCTAGAGCAAGACCTTATCTCTTTAGACCATGGATCATGATCACCAGGACTGCCTTTTACATTGTCCCATTCTCAGCGTTGTTGCTCATAACCTACCGTATAGTCGCCATCATTTTTCCACCTCACAATGTGCTGAAATAGCGCACTTCAGATAGAGTACATGGAAAAATCATCAGGATTCATTCAAGCTTGAAGCTAGATCGGGCGGAACCCCAATTTTGCCGACATCGGTTATAACAAGCATTGTGGTTAAAGTCGGTAGAGTGTACGGGCATCCAAGTAAGGGATTTCCCTCCTCGGGCTCGGGGCATATAGCGCCGTTTCCCGCCCGAGCTGGTTCACCGGCGTATCGCATCATCTGGTCTATCAATTACGCATTGCTGACCACACAAATGACTCGACGCGAGCTCAGTTGTATCTGGATTTGTTATCTTTAGCGATTGCGCGATCACGAACCCTCATAATCATTGGTGGGAATTTGTGAACGTGTCAAATTCAAGAAGCGTTATTAGAACGGCTCATGTAACCCTATTTGATTAATTCAACCGTGTGGTCGGTTGCATTAAGGTCTGCTCTCCTGGCAGAAAATAAGCTTTTATTTTCAAGCCAGATCAAGGGAAATCATTCAGTCCTACAACATGGCGGCACATAAGAACGTGCTGTTGATGATCGCAGACGACCTTGGGAAGCAATTGAGCTGTTACGGTGCAAGGGGAATAAAGACGCCTAACATCGACACCCTCGCTGCCCAAGGAACTCGTTTTGAACGTGCCTTTGCCAGCACTGCTTCTTGCAGTGGTAGTCGATCTGTCATCTACACAGGTCTTCATACCCATCAAAATGGTCAATATGGCCTAGCAAGTCATCGGCATCATTTTGTGACCTTTGATCATGTTGAGACCGCTCCTCTTCTTCTAAACCAGATCGGACACAAAACTGGAATTATTGGCAAGATCCACGTGGGCCCAATATCACTGTATCCCTGGGAGATCAAAAAAGAAAGCGACACTCGTGATGTCGCAGTGATTTCCGATCAAGCACGATCTTTTTTCCAAAAATGCAAGGAAGATGAAAGCCCCTTCTTCTTGACCATTGGTTTCATCGATCCTCATCGCGATCGGACGAGGGGAGGATTTGGTAATCCCCACCAATATGATGCTCGGATTACCGAAGGCACGTATGGTACAGACCACGTGGAGATTCCTGGATTTTTGAATGACTCGCCTGGTGCCAGATTGGAGCTAGCGGAATATTACAACTCAATTCATCGCCTTGATCAAGGAGTTGGCTTTGTTCTGAACGCCCTCGCCGAATCTGGTCTTGCAAGTTCAACTCTCGTTATTCTCTTGAGTGATAATGGCCCTCCGTTCATGAATTCGAAAACCACACTGTATGACTCTGGGGTCCAGTTACCCCTGATTATCAAACACCCCGAGAGGGAACCAGCAGTGAGCTCAGCCATGGTCTCTTATATCGATATTCTTCCAACGATTCTTGACTTTGTGGGCCATCCAGCGAAAACGGACCCTGCACAGAAACGCATTGGTCGATCTCTTCTTGAAAACATCGGCTCTACAGCAGATGATACCAAGTTTGACCGCGTCTTTGGGTCGCATACATTCCATGAAGTGACCAATTATTGGCCCACTCGCTTCATTCGTGACAGGCGGTACAAATACCATCGTAATCTAGCCTGGCGACTGGACTTCCCCTTTGCCTCGGACATTTACGGATCCCTGTCTTGGGAGGACGTTCGGAATTCTAGTGATACGGAAATCTTTGTTGGAAAGCGAAAGCTGAAAGATTACTTTTTCCGTGGCCCTGAAGAGCTATATGACCTCGAGAATGACCCATGGGAAGTCAATAATCTTGCCGGAGATCCAGACCACCAAGTCTTACTGGAAAAGATGAGGGCGACGCTGGAGGAATGGCAACGGAGAACTGAAGATCCATGGCTTTATCGGGATGGTGTTTCCGTTTGGTTCAACAGATATCATTTCCCTGCCGGATTGAAGATTCCCGACCGGCTCGATTTTGATGTGAATCAACCGGGTAACGCAGATCTGAAAGCCTTCGATGGAAATGTAACTTGGGGAACTGAGGTGAAGTCTGATTAATATCAGTAGTGCCTTAACTCGGTGTTTTGTATCTTCTCCTTTCTATTATCCAATCAATATGATATGTTTTACGAGTTAGTTAAATGCGATGGCTGTTTTCAACGATAGAGTCCGTTCGTATACATGCATGTTTTTCCATTTCTATTACCAATCGCCAGCAAACAGGCAACAGCTGAACCATGACTACGCTTGCTATAGATATGGTTATTTTGACCCTTCTTTCCTCTAATGTCTCAGTTTTCATTCCAGTAAACTCCTACATTTTGAGAAAGAGAGTATAGTTAGCAACGCCATATATGGCCCGGCAAGACGTAATGGTATCTTATCCCGTCCTTGGATAGTGAGATGGTGCTTAGAAATATGGTTGACCGGTAAAGATCTCGGTACGGCGGAGGAATAAACGCCAAATCTCGATACATAACTCTGTCTTTCTGACCGTTCAACTCGAAGAAGCATAATTTGCCTTTCAAATACAATGTTACATTGTCAGCACTGATGGAAATTTTACTACGTCTCCATGATTGGTAGAAATTTGCGCTTACATTAAATTAAGTTCAACAGTATAAGATCATACATTAAAATAGCCACCACCTGATGAATCATGAAACAAGGAGTCGAAGAGAATCGGATCGAGACCTTCGCTGGGGAACCCTGGATTCAGGCCACCGCCAATCCCCATGTGAGCCAGCTTCCCTGCATGGATATCCTTTTCGCCCACGATGCCTATCGGTGGGGGGCCAACATTATCATAAGACTTGATAGGCGAGTCGTAGCACATGATGCCCTCGCCATCCAAACTGACATCTAAATCCAAGAAGTCGAGATTCACGGCACTGGTAATGGGCTCATATGATGTTTCCAGGTTAGGTACCCTCGGTTCAAATATGAGTTTCTGGAGATCATTGTGGTGCGTGTTATTCTCATCCCACTCTTTCTTTTCAGACATTGGGGTCTGTTGGACAGGCACATTCTCAATCATCGTCCTTCTCTCCTGCATTTGCGTATTTGATGCAGAAGCTCCTTTCTCTGAGTTGAATGACCCCTCGCTAAACTCCGAGCGGCCTGAAGCACCACCTCTATCCTCATATAGAGGAGTGCCATTCGTCAAACTTGTATCGATAGTCCAAGGAAGCTGCGTTATTGAACCCATTGCTGGAATATCGCGAACTAGAGCTGGCAGAGATGTGTCGTAGGGAAGACGACCTACCGAAAGGCTATAATCCACTGATGTCGATATCAATAGATACGCTCGGGGACATCGGAAAAAAGCATCAAGCCAGCTTTTTGCGCGTATGGAAGTTGTGTTTTCAAGCCTGGTCAAGTTTCGAGCTTGGGGATTTCTTCGTTTCTCGATCAGGTCCCGCTCCTCCCTGTCATTTATCATTCCTGCGAATGACCCGCTCGGAAGAAAGAAGTTTTGCGTAGTCACATAGGCAAGTTGGAGTATGTGATTGGTTCCAGCTGCGACAAAGTCTGTAACATCGTAGAGAGATTCAGAAAGGCGAATAATTTTACTCAGGGAATCCAGGCGTTTCTGTCGGATCTTCATTTCATCGCATGATGGTGAAAGCTTCAGATCGATCGCTGCTAGGATGAGGGGCATTCCAACGTAACCGAGACTGCAGATAATATCAGTCCTTGAGTCGAGCCGACGATGTAGTCAAAACGTATAGTGGGGTAGAAAGGTGATAGTCCGGAGGGAGTAGGTAAAACGTACACGCTCAAAGGTAGATTTTCCACTTGCCCGTTACGGCTAAAGTATTCCATGACAGAGGTCAAACCTTTGATACCGGCACTCAAGTCTTTACCAATCCCAAGTACCGCTTCCCTGTAGACATGCGTTGTGAGAGCAAGGTGCTCCTCGATAGCAAGGGCTGCGTATTGCGCAAGATCGACGCGGGCCGCACTAGAAAAACAAAATTAGGATTCAAGTCGTTGGTAAGTCACTCGATCTTAAGGGCTCGTACTGATAGTACATGAATGTCAGGTTCTTTGTGGCTAAAGAAGGGTCATGGCGACTTGCTGTACCATCCGAGTTGTGTGGTGCCTGTGCTTTTGATTCCCAAGAAATGAGAGATTTTTTGATTTCTTCAATTGTGCACATCAGTGCCCGGAAAGCGTCTTTTGAATATGAAGCTGCCGTCGTCACGCGAGGAGTAAAAATCAAGGAAACAAGATCTGTGAGAAGAACGGCCAATCGGCATTGATCTTGCAGGGCCACAAAAAGAGCTTTTTTGGATCCATAGTCGTAGACTGGTGAGCCATGCATCTCATGTTCAAAGTCCTCTTCTCTCAACCAGTCGCGGCAACCGTGGAGATTGTGCGATGCGATCTGGGGTTGACGACGGAGACCGATACAAAGACTTCGATCTCGAAGTAGGATAGACCACCACAACCGTTTGTTTACTGAGCCTGGGACATTTTCAATGGTCACTGAAGGCTTGGTATCAATAAGCATTGCATTCTCGATTGCGCGCGTCAACCATAGGCTTCCCGCCTGCGGTGCCTCTGCCGATGTGTGGTGAGTGAGAAGTATTGCCCCCTGTGCTCTCGCGGATAGTTTTGGCTCTACCATCAAGTCGTAAAGGAGCTATAGACGGATTTCAGGGCTTGTCTTCTGTGTTTCAATTCGCATCCATAGTTACCTTCGATCGGTTGTACAATTTCTTCCGCGCATCCCGCTTGTCTGCAAATCCACATCGCTGCAGCGTCTCCAATGGAACGAACTGCCATTGTCATTGTAAGCGACTGTTCATGGGTTTCAATCCTCAGATTTCAGGTACTCACCGGACAACTTGCGAACAGAAGGGCTTGGAACACAAAAAGTGAGACTTTCTCCGTACCATCTCCCTCGAAGGCACGCCAAAATTGGATCTCCTCTAATACCGGAAGAATTGGATGAATTCGAAGGAAGTATTGTGTAACGAACTCTTTCGCGTATGCCCGGTTGGGGATGCTCAAGGAGCCTCTGGAACCGAGAAATGCGAGGTCTTCGGGCGCAAGTGATGTCAGCCCATCCGACCACAGGAATGGATAATCCTCGAGTTGAGACGATTTGGTGTCCTGGTCTGTCGCGTTTGAATCGTCGTATACACCACGTATTTCCGTTGAATGGTATGAGCTCTCGGGCCTTTTTAACGTCTTTTGGGAGACACTCTCATCGAAAGGAATATCAGGTGGCGAACAAGTATGGCTAGCGACATCTTTTGATCTTTGGGCCTGTGTTAGACCTGCTATTCACTCACTGCGTGGAACATGGGGACACATGCTGTTTTGGTAGCTTCCTTCGGAGAACACAATCGCTGCGACCGTCCTGGCGACAGCGCGTGCACGGGCAGCCTAGGATCGAGGCATCACATCGCACCTTGCGGTGATGACACCACAAGCAAGCTGTTGATGCTCTTCTGGTTCGTCGTAACATGGGCACAGCTCTCACTGAGTACGCTTCACGAAGAAATATGCTTCTGAAAGCAGGGAGCTCAGGTCAGTGATGATCATGGAGAATACCCCCACTAAACGGTTATATGTGGCTAGGAGCTAAAAGACCGAGCGAGCAGCCTAAGTTGTGTAACCGACACGCTAAAAATCTGGGCCCCCTAATAGTTTGCAGAAATGGGCGTCATGAATCATGCGGAGACGGGATAAGCTCATCATCTCCACAAAAACACTACGCAGATGATTCGTAAAAGATCTGATGTCAACACTGTTGGACTTTGGCAATCTCATACGGCTACTAGCTGTAGACGGAAATTCTTTTTCTTTTCCCTTTATTTTCTTTCTCATTCCAGGCTGGTACTTGGGATCTTACATTCCGGAGAAGAGGGCTTTTCCACATTTGCCTCAACCAACCTTGGTTCGCGTCGAGGGTTAGTTGTTCCTATATTTACCTTGGATTTCTTAATACCATATCTTTGCAAAATTGACAAAAATGAATCCAAATATATGGGAGTTATATAAGAGAAGGATTTTAACAGTAAGCTCTAGTAAAAGAAGACGTGTCATTCAGACTATAATCTCACGGCTTCGCACGACTCTGCCCCGTTAATGCTCCAGTAATCCCCCGGTGACCGCCACTATGCAGGGTTCCCCGCAACCAGCTTGGGGGGTTTGCCGCGGAACTCGGTTACAATCCACATGCTCCACCCAAGTCTTGCATCCCTGTACGCCTGGTTCGAGCACAGGAGAACAGTTTCTCCACTCCTAGAATTAGAGATTGATTGGTTATGGAGAACTTTCTGGCGGGGCAAGCTTTCTAAGTCAAGATCTTACTAGGTATTGAGAGAAATTTCAATCCTATTAGAAGGTACATTAATCATAGACAAAGCAAGTGAGAGCATGGACCAATCTAAACATCTATCAAACAACTTCTCCCGGAACCACAAGCTTGTTAACTAATTTAGGCTATTGAAATTTGTTATTTGTAATTTGTAATCTGCGGGACGTGAGGTGCATAGTTGGGAGCTCAGGTAATAGCCAATTCAGGCCACATTTCGGAGTCGACGCCGCATGTCCTTCAAATAGTACCGCATCGGATAGGTCCGAATGGTCTTTGGCAAGCAAGGATAAGTTGCCTTTGTAAGTCCGAGAGTCACGCGGTAGGCACCGCGGCGTAGTTTCGTAGACTTCAATCCGTATGCCTCACGAATTCGCTTGGGCAGCAACTCGGCTGTGGTCAAGCGAACAACAGGAAGGAGGAGCCGGATATGAAGCGGCAACTCTTTGTTCCAAAGAAGATCATGGGCAACCCTTCGTGCATTTTCGGTGATCTCCATTGTCTCAACTTGGTGATCCCAGTATTCCCAGAATGCTCGTCTTGACGCCGGCCACATTTCTGGCTTGACACGAAGTGATACCGCCAAGACGGAGTACTCTCGGTAGATACCTTCAGCTTCCTGCTCTGTCATCTTACCGAACATTTGTTGATATAGTTCGATGCCAACCGCGTAAAGAGTAGCGGCAACCCAGAGTTGAAGTTGAGGGTCGTCTGCTGAGTAATTCGGCCCTTTCACAACAGCGTGGGCCCGATGAACCATCTCGATGACAGCCACTTTCTCGCTTCGAGAGCCAAACGCCATGCAATATACGTAAGTCATCGTCGTCCGGAGACGATCCATAGGCCTGTACGCGAAGTTGCTATGTTCGTCCACGCCTTTGCCAACACCTGGCTCTGCGACTTGTAATAAGATTGCAGCTGCACCACCGGCAAGTAGAATGGCCTCTTGGACGACTTTTTGTATTTGTGCTGGCTTCTCAAGCTCATCCAGCACTTTGTGGTTGAGAAAGTTGTCATTCGCTTTCTCGTTTGATCCATTGGTGGGTGATACAGTGGACATGCCACTCTCCAGGGAGTGTCCCGTTTGTTTTTCAGACATTCTTGAAGTTCTTGTAATGAATAAGATGGTTTTTGCTGCCGTAAGTGGATTTTTATAAAAGAAGATGAGAAGAGTCAAGATGACGTGACTCAAGTTTGAAGCAGATGGGCTGAAAATGGAACTCTTTAATGGCCTTTTATGTCCATACTAGTCTGGCGCGACTTCCAATACTTTTACACATAAAACTAGACTACACAAATGCGGTGTAAAAGGTTCATATGAAATGTCATATGATGTGTCGAAAGGACCAGCGTGGGATCGTCTGCCGCGGACCGGACGGCTGCTAGATATATGGTTGATCACAGGGATAGTCTTGGCTGACCCTTCCCCCATTACCAAAGAAGACTATCTCTTCTGCCGCGGGCCGCTGTACCGCGGGCATAGCAACACATGCGATGGGGGTCTGTGTTGATGTGATCTTCAAGGGTGGGGCGGGCGCCATATGGCAGCTCTCTCTAAGCGAACTGACCAATTTTCCCCGGATTTTCCTTATCTAGTCTATCAAAACGCTATAGCCTCTGGGAGGTGCAGCGCGGGGTGACAAGGAATTTGTCGTACATCATGAGCTCGCTAGCATGTTGAAACCAATAGTATAAAGGCTGTAATGTTGGAACGCGACAGTCCTGTTGGTTATGATTTGAATGTATTCTTGTTTTGCTTAACGCTTGAGAAACATTCTTAATATGCCCAACGAAAACGAAGACGGTAGATATGTCGTTGGAAGTAACAGAAACCTGCCTATGCTTACGGGCAAAGGGCCTCACTTAAAACAGGTTTCAGGGGTCCTCGGCGGCGACATTGAGCATGTCGAGAGTCTTGATTCATTGGAAAAATCCAAAACCCCTCGAAGATTGAAACATGCTCGGGCAAATGTCCAAAAGCATTGGCGTCGGTTTTGGTGTTGTTATCTCGTGGCGGCGATAATCTTCTTGGCCATATTTCTACCAGTTTTGTAAGTGCTCAGAGCCACCTATAGATCATTACCCTGCTCTGCTATCATGGAACTGACATTTTCTTCCAATTAACAGCTTTCTGGTTGCAGTCCCGGCAATCGCTCAACGGATTGTTGACGATACAAACCTTCCAGTGTATTCCGCTCAAATTCTGGATCCAAAGACCCAGCAAGTGTCGTTCACTCTTGATACGTCTCTGAATATCCCTATGGGGCTTCGGATTCGTATTGATCCACTTGATTTGAGTCTCTTCAATCGAGATGTCCAGCCAATGCAACCATACCTAACCGTCTCTTTGCCATCCTATAGTCTCAAGGGCAATACAAATCTGACGGTAACTAAGAATAACACCGATATTTTGAATGAAGACCAATTCATCAAGACTCTCACTCAAGCCGTTTACAACAAAAAATTTACAATGTCAGCCAAAGGCTCCACCGTTGGTCATCTCGGGGCTCTCAAAGCCCCTCTGACTCTTAACAAGGATATCGAGTTGGACGGTATGTCTGTCCTTTACCTTTGGTTACATAGGAAGCTTCACTAATGATTGACCCTTAATATAACAGGGTTGGACAAGCTCAGCGGCTTTTCTATTAACTCTGCACGAGTTGTTATCCCTAAAGAGGCTGACGGTACAAACTTGGTGGGAGAGGCCATCCTGCCAAATCATTCTGATTTCACATTCGCGCTGGTATGTTTGATGAAAAATCTTCGCGCTGTTTTTAACACGACTGACTGCAAACACAGGGTAATGTGACGTTGAATCTGAGGAGCTCTGATTTGATCATCGGGCAAGCCACTATTCTGAACGTTCTTCTCAAGCCTGGAAACAATACCGTGGCCTTGCGAGGACGCTTGGAAATATCCACGGTTCTAGATAACCTTTCGGAGATTCTCAGTGCACAAAAGACTGCCTTGGGGGACGGTGAAATCGAGCTGTCAGCTTCTGGAAACTCCACTATCTATAATGGAGTTCACATCAAATACTACGAACAGGTTCTAAAAAATCTCACGCTCGTGGCTCGAGTGCCAATACTTCAAGTTGTGGGCGACACGCTAGATGGCTTGCTGAACAACACTGACTCAGGGTTGGGTAAGGTTTTGTCAAACATAACTCAGATTCTGGGAAATATTTCCAGTTCTAGTGATACATCCGTTGTCGCTCGGTCGCTTCGGTCCCTTGTATAAGAGGCGATCACAATCTACAAGTCAATATGTCAGAAATCAATGGATTTTCAATGCCCCACATTGTACTCTATGTAGCATGCTTCGAAAACACTTGTTGAGACGGTATTCATCCTTGAGTCAGAGCTCGCATATCGCATATTCGATGTTTGTCAAGGCGCTTTACTCGTCCCGTTCAATGCATGTTGAAGAGTCGATTGTGATACTCGGCCCGCATTTATCCTTCTTAGACCGCGGCTTATGCAAGGTTCATGTGCCGCAGGAGGACGGGAGGGTTTGCGGGGAGCAAAGATCTCGTTTTCCTTGCCTGAAGATCAAAGCGAATAAATAGTCCTTCCAATCAAGTCAAGTCCCTACATGCGCAAAATGCAGACACCAATAATTTCGCAACAGCTGGAAGATGCAACAAAAGTGATGTACTCTCGAGAAGAGGTTGCTAAACATACTCAAGATGGTGATATCTGGGTAATAATTGAAAATGATGTTTATGACCTGAGTTCATTTCTACAAGAACACCCTGGGGGTGCGAAAAGTATGTTTTCAGAGACGACTTCGCCGATGTGGACACGAAATCTCATAAAATCAACAGCTTTGCAGGGTGTAGCAGGCCAAGACGCAACCAAGAAATTCAAAAAGTACCATCGCCTTGGTATTTTAAGCCGGTATAAGGAGCGTCTTCGCCTTGGGGGATTGGAACAGACTACCGGAGTGAATGGAACCACACTCAGATCATCCTTTACCTCAATATTCAGGAGATCTTGATTCAGATCACTCACCTTGCACGTGAGGAGCGGTGCGATGATCATCAATTGAGCCCTGGTAATATGGCGGTCTGCTTTCCGATAGTACCATCTCCAAATTTCGAGTTATGGGTTGATCGCCTCAAGAATGGCTGGGCTATTCGGAACCAATCGGGGGTACTATCCACAATCTCGTTATTCCGTCATACAGATGCTCTGAATCGAATCTTATTTATTCAACGAAAGATAGAGACAGCTCTCTTATATTCTGATATTTAACATCGACAAAATCAAAATATTGAACTTGGTAAGGGAGTAAGAAAACTACCTGGGGAACGACTATGTCCCGATCTAAATAGACCACTTCAAACATCTACACACTCATAAGCGTGGCTTGATCTGTCCAGCTTGAATCTCTCGTTTTGCTTCCTCTCTGATCACCCGCTTCAATATCTTCCCACTGGGGTTTCGAGCAACCGAGCCGACAAATTTCACACCACCTGTCAGCGCCTTGAACTTCGCAAGTCGCGCCAAAACATATTTCTGAACCTCTTCTTCGGTCAGCCTTTGGCCTTCGCTGCCGGGGCGCCGGACAACATATGCTCGAGGATACTCTGTATCGGCTCCTGGGAACGTGATGCCGATCACAGCAGCATCAATGATCTGCGGGTGTGAGAGAAGTACTGCCTCCAGTTCAGGCGGTGCAACCTGGAATCCGCGAACTTTGATCAACTCCTTCTTCCTGTCGACAATGTACCATTTACGGGTGGACTGGTCACAATAGGCAATGTCACCAGTCTTGAACCATCCATCAGAGTCAAAAGATTGCGCGTTGGCCTCGTCGTTCTTGAAGTATCCAGGGGTCACGGTAGGGCCTCGGACACAGAGCTCTCCACGAACCCCAAACGCCGAGATGTTATTTCCGTCATCGTCAATAAGCCTAAGGTGACAAATTTGTCAGGATTCTCGAGGCGCCTCAAGCACACGGGTATAAAGGCAGGGGGACTAACTTTGCTTCAAGATTTGGGATCAATCGTCCCACGGAGCCGGTGTTGTCATGCTCAGGGTACCGGAACATGGTCGCCACACACGAGGTTTCTGTCATTCCCCAGACCTGATTGAAGGGGCCGTCATCTCCCATAAGTGAGCGGAATCGAGCCTGGACGTCCTTGTCCAAGGGAGCTGCACCGCATGCTGCGAGGCGAACTTTGCGCAAGAAAGGCCGTTTCTGGGAAACGGGTGACATCAAGATCGCAATGACAATGGGTGGGACCATGGCCAAGTCGGTAATATCATATTTCTCGACTGTAGTCAGGTACTCCTCTAAATCGAACCGTCGCATCACGTAGGCAGCGGCTCCTGCCTTTAAGGTCGAGATGTGAGTGACCGGGGCAGCGGAGGCATGGAAGACTGGAACTGCGATGATGCGTGATATCTATAAAACTGGAAGTTAGATAGAGTTGCTTGGCAACAGGAGGCATTGGCCACGCAAGCTGGTAGCAGTAAAGATGTGGACTGACCGGATAGGGTCGTGGATCAGCTCCCAGCACAAGCTCGTGCTGAGCGATCAGGTTGTAGTGGGTGATCATCACTGCCTTGGGAAGACCAGTAGTTCCACTGCTGAAAAGTCTGGCTGCTGTTGTTGTTCTGGCGGTCTCCAGATCATTGAACCTCACCCAATCGGCCTCGCCAAACTTGAACAGCTCTTTCCATGATTTTTGCCCGGTCGGAACCGACTGGCCTAGGTTATTGAAGATCCACACGTTTTGTTCCGGCACTCCAGTTTGTTGAGCGGCACCCAGAAGCGACTTCAAAATCTCGGGTTCAGAGATCAAAAATTTGGCCTCGGAGGCTCTAATGTGGTGGGCAAGCTCAGTCGGGGTGTATGCAGGATTGGAGCCCGTGAAGACTCCACCGGCACCAATGATAGCGAGCACAAGTATACTGTAGTTTATCTTGATTTCCATCCCAATTAGTCACGCCCAACGACAACCTTGCAGGCAATCACACCTACATCGTTGAATGAATGGATGAGAACGCAATCCCCTTGGCGAAGACCAGACGCTCTCATCCCCGCAATCAGCGAACGAATCAATGTGCGGGCTTGATTGCACGAAATCGAGCGCTTCGGATCTCGAACATCGATATAGATCTAGGAAGAAACCAATGCGACAAGTCAGAATGCCATTGAGATGGGATCTGGCACAGGGAGGGTGGTTCCAACCGGTTTGTCTTGGTCGTAGGGCGGGTCATCGAAGATGTAAGACAGAAGATCCTTTGTAGGGAGCAGAGTCCTCTCTGCAGGCTCGAAAATCATGGTCGAGGGAGTGTGTCCAAACTGCGGACTGATGGAGCTGGGAGGGAAAAAATAAATCAGGAGGTAATAATCCAAAGGAAGCTTTGCATTGATAGTTTCCGTTGCCGACAACTTAAAGCAAAGCGGCTATGTACATGATCGCCTGGAGAAGGTCCTTGTTGCGGCCGTATGATGCATCATACTTCACACAGCCGTGCGGCAGGAGCCAGGAGAGCTCCACGGTAGCCACAGCCCCTCTTCGTGCGTAGCTCGGAACTCGGCTGGGCCTCGATTCGATCGACGAATAGAGCACCATCAGCCACTCTGGAGGCCCAACCGCGTGTCTGAGAGGGACGGCTCGAACAGAAAAAGGCGCCGAGGGCTTGAAGCGAGATTTGTGCAGGTGGAAGGGCGGGAGAGGAGCAGGATTATGCTCATAAGATCATCTTTGGAACGCCTGAGGCTGGACGGCCAGTAGGATGCATATCTCCCAGTACTATAGACAAGTAAAGCAAGTGAGTTCTCGTGTGGACGTGTGTAGATCACAGCAGAAAGTGGGGGAGCGGAGAGAAAATACTCCGCATCGCCTTGTTGACTGCCCTCTCCCAGTTCCCCCAGTTTAACTGGTTGAAGTCTCCGGGTGTAACCCCCGCTCAGCCTTGCACAGATCACAAGATCCTCGTAGCGACTAATGAATCCATGATGATAAGAATGGGGAGCTGAATCAAAATAAAGATGAATTTCAAACAACCATGTCAGATTGGCCCCGTCCTTGTTGGTAAGGGGAAGGGGAATCGGGGAAAATGCGAGGGAGGAACAACCCTCTCTAATCTCACGTGATGAGAGCCCGAGAGCACCATCATCACATCGTTAATTCTCGACCTCTGTTCCTTTCTAGATAGAAAGAGAGCTTAAGAGCGTGTCTGGCTGTACTTTGGGGGCAGGCTAAAATGGCGAGATCTTGTATCGACGATACGGCGCAACAACACCATACAAGTACCTGCTGAGCTTTGAGATACACAAGACATCTTCTATGGAGTCTATGATACCTAGTAGGTAGTTACGCTACTCGTGTCCTGACAGTGCCCACGGCACTGCTGGCACAGGAAGCGAAGAGAGAAGAGGTAGACTGAGTCAATTGGTCTATCTAGAACAGGAAGACGAAGACGACTAGGAAAAGGAAGAAGAAGCAGAAGGGAACAGAACAGGGTCTATAATGCCCGGAAGCACAAAGGAAATGAACAGGCCTGGCCCTGGCAGGAAATCCCCGGCCTGCTTCACGCAGGGCCAAAGAAGATGACAAATCCTGCAAACCCTATCGAGGTCAAAGGGATCGAGTCATCATGTCCCATATTTGAAAATTAATTCATGTCAATTATCTATACAAAGCATGTCATTATCCCAAAAAATAGCATACCACACCTTCCATTTCCTCCACTGTCATGAAGTGTCAATCTGGTTATCGCGAGCTAGTTGGAGTAGTTCTGACTTAGCCCTTCCTACAGCAGGACCCAAAGCACATATCCGCTGCTGATAGACTGTTAGAATTTGCCCTGGAAAGAATTTGGGGTTGAGATCGTACCATTGAAGTTTCCTGCTCCTACATTCCTCGTGGCAGTCGGTCTGGGCTCATTTCTATCAACCCAAATCAGTATCGACCTTCGTTTTTCCTTTTGAATTGGGAGATTCGATATACATACTGTTGAACCAAGGTGATTTCAGACCGGCAGTCATCCGTAATTGATTTTCCTTTTGCACATCGTTCAAATAGGCCTCGAATTGACCAAGTCTTCGCAGGTTCGCCACATCTTGATGACATTTTGGGAACAATCTGGCAGATTTTCAAATCCTTGAGTGAACCTTGTCAAAATCTATACAGTACTCTATCGTCACACAGAGAGTATGTTAACTTTATCCAATGAACCATTTAGCAATGATGTTCAATTTGATCCCTACCCAAGGTAGGCAGGACCTCTAGTGAATATATATCTGTTCCCCCATCGAGTACAAAGTTTGTCGATGGATGAGGTCAGAGAAATTGATTATGTGGAAGTTCCTCGAAAACAAAAGACTATAGGTCTTTCCAGGTTCCTTGCCATGAAGTTTTTGTCTGGGTCCTTCTGAATCTGAATGTTCAATGCCAGATGGTGGTCGAGTTCGCCGATGATGGCCGAGAGTGGGTCATGAATGGCCGATGTTACTGTGTATGGATGATAACCTCCATAAACCGATGATTGTCCTCGAAAGTGACGTCATTATAGCAAGTTGGCATGTCGCGTCGTAGAGAGTGACCTCTCTTAATCGATAACTTGGTTCTCCTCCGGCCTTCGCCGCATCCACTCTGTCCAACTCTTTTCGTCCTCGGCCGTCGCCACAAGCTTGAATATACACCTACTTCGCCGATGCGCCCAATGAACTCTTATCCACTTCATCGATCATCTTAAAACGCGCATCTGCCCAAAAAACTGTTTTCTCTTTCGCCGAGTACTCACTGAAGAGAGCCGTACCGTGCTAGAATGTCCTCACCACCTTCCGCTCGGCCATATCGATCCAAGCGTCATCGGCCATGCGACCAATGCCGGGCACGGAAGTTAGGCTGCCAGACGGATGATGGCATCCCTTGTCAACGATGCCGAGCCGCCAAGCTCGATTGTACGTTCGATAACCCTCCGCCGAAACGAGCGCGTCTCTCGGAATCCCTGTCCTTTGCCGTTCCAAGCGTTGACGAGCTACCGGTCACGTCCCATGCAGAAGAGAGCATCTTTGGTCGTGGCTTTTCCAATTCTGGAAGCCCACCTGGTAGTGTTGGGCCTCCATACTCGTCATTGGACTTCGGCCAAGTCGGCGGGCCATCGCCGGATTCTGGGATACTGCTAGCCGCTCGGCCGCCAACTCAATTTGTCCAAAGTATTGATCGGCTAGAGCACGGATATGCCCAATTATTTGGAGCATCGTCCGAGTCAGACCCCTGGCTTTTGAGGCACTGCCGATTCGATGACGCGGGCATGAAATATTTTTATAAGGTACATTATCGCAATGCCGGAGGAGTGCCCACTGCACAGCGAATACCGGTCCATTTCATGGTGTCATCCGAGGAACTTTCATCTGCAATCAAGCAGAATACAAGAGCAGGTATCGGGGAAGTTACTCGGGAGTATCTCGACTGCCTAGTGCCTCCCGAATATGGCAGGCGACTTGTCTCATTGTAAGTAAATTCCTGTTATTCTCTAGTCCAAAATGCTGACTGACTGCCGCGGCCAAGATTTGTCAAGTATGTGTTTCCCGCTTTGCCGGTTATATCACGTTCGCAGCTAGGATTGACCACAACGTCATACCAGCTCCCCGAGTTGTCTGCATTAGCAAAGGTGCCTGTTCACCTTCTCGCGGCCGTCTATGCATCAGCGTTCCCATTTGTCAGTCATGACGACTATCTATGTGTCTTGAACACGTACCACAACTCACCAGTGCAGAGACTTTGGCGTATGGTGTATGAACTAGTGACCGAAGAGATACACAGTCCTCGTCTAGCAGTTCTTCAGGCAGCGCTGCTATATCTCCACCAGCAACCGATGGATGAGACCCGCTACAGAACCGCCGATACGCCATTCACCTGGTCCTTTGTGGGCCAAATCGTCGGCCTAGCATGCTCGCTCGGCGTCCACATTGAATGCCGCATGTGGGGAATACCGGCATGGGAGAAGCGTCTGCGGCGTCGCCTTTGGTGGGCAGTATACGCCGAAGATAAATGGCGCAGTCTGGTGATGGGACGGCCGCCGTATATCCATTCGGCCGAATGGGATGTCAGTGAGTTAGATGAAGGCGATTTTCTCATTGGTCCCCGGCAGAGTTTCTCGACATGTTCGTGCGACACCGAGATTCCTTTTCGGTACTTGGTGAACCTAGCTCGGATTGCTCAAGATATCCAAGAAACATTTTAGTAAGTTTCCACACTAGCCTGGCACAAACGCCTGGAGACCTCCGCTAATACCCATTTCCAGTACACTCAGAGCCTCCCAAGTCCTCAACGCAGACTTCGATTCCTCAGCTGAGCTTGGCCAAAGTCTGCTGGAGCAGCTAAACTCGTGGTACTCTTCTCTGCCGGACACGTTCCGTCTGCCAAACTGGAGCAAGTCTGTGCAGGGACTCGCCCCATATCCGACCTCGATTCACTTTGCCTACCTGTTACTCGTGGTTTATGTCTACCGAGCGATGCTTCGACCCATGGCGCGATCCTCAAGCCCACCCATGATTTTCGATATGGAAGAAATGCCCATTAACTCTCCACTGCCCGTGGATGATCCAACTTTGGACTTTCCCGATATTTCAGGAATTGAATGTCTACCTGAGATCTCAATATCCGACGAGTGTGGAACCGGTGAAATCGTCCTACATGGAGCAGAGAAATGTGCAACCATTTTAGTAAATTTCACGCGGCGCCTGACACCCAGCGACTTTACTGGATTTTGGTACTCATGTAAGAGACCGCCCCGAAAGATGGAAATTTACAAGACTATCTAGCTAACCAATGATTCAAGGGTCACGCATTGGATTCGCAACAGTTTCCAACTTCCTCATGCTACTTCTTGTCCAAGCACCGAATATCGCACATGCAACCCGTGGTAAACAACTGGTAGACTCATGGCTTCAAGTTTTGAGGTGTCAAAGCCAGAGTTTCCCGCTTGTTAAACTGGGACTGGCCCGGCTAGATGCCTTACATTGGGCTGGCCTCTCAAGCACATTCGTCCTTCCTCCACATGTACAACAGGCAACTACTGACCAATCCCAGACAGACTCATAAGTAGAATAGTCTGTAAAAATTAGATAGACTTAGATTGAATATACAATGATGTGCAAATATGATGCAGCTGCTAATCCGATAGCGCTCGCCTGACTTTGACAAGTATTTTCTTTAGCAACAGAACGGGAATTTTGAATTACATGATTGGCTAGACTTAGAATTAGTATGTTCCTACCTTTTTTCCACCCAAAAAGAAATCTATTCCTCTCTATCAAGCTCTGGTGGTCAAGCGGTAGATACACCGTAGGCACCCCTTGTGGACATGGGTTGAATTCCTGTCCAAAGCAATGCTTCCACGATTTGTGCATACGCTTCTGCGTGCAATACGACGTTGCTCCACACGAAACCTTTTTGATCTGGTTCTATGTAGGTGGTATAGGACCCCTAGGCACGCAAAGACATGTCGGGCCTGATGTGCCAAGCGTGAGGTGATTTTCTTAGCGAGATAGGCTTGGCTGAATGCAGGTGAGGACTGACTATATCTCTGGGCTTAACTCCTTGAGGTCTATGGCCTTGAGGGCTCTCCTTATCGGCTCTGCTTACCGAGGTATAGGAGCTTGGAAGTAGGATACACGTTATAGTTACTGTTCTGATTCACTACTACGGTACTTTGCCGAGTGGTGCGGCGATATGCCCTGTGAAAGGAGCTCCGTACCTACGAGGGGTATTTGGGCTTTACCATGTACAAAGGGGTATACAAGCGGTGTGGTAGTGCACCGCTTTAGAACACACACTACGACATTTTTTAATTAGGAAGGAGCGGCAAATATCTGTGAGAGGGCTATGAAGGTATGGCTACAGTAGTAGTCTAACTAAGGGTAACTGGGTACAGAGGCAAGCCTCACTAGGCTTGTTAGACTATCTCACTAGCGAGGATCCACAGCGAGGGCGTCCACTATACAAAATACCGTATGTATTCAATGCCCAGCAGCTACCCCGCCATATAACTCTCTACAGTATTCAATTTGGTACTGTAGCCTGTGCCCAGTGCCATCACATTCTAGTTGAAATTTCCAATATCTCAGTGCCATGAGCCACAGCTAAATATATGAATGAAAGAAACGCTGTAATGTTGACACATCGATGGAGACAAGAGTGATCGTGGGGAGCTGAAATTGAGACCCACCACTAGTCTGTTGGCAGTTTGTGCACTGTTTGTATACATAGTGATTCGAGGCGCCTTAGATGAACCGGTAGCTCGGCAAACCCCGACCTTTACCAATTGCCGCGGACCCCGCCTCACCGGAAGTAATATATGATGACCGACGCGAGCTATCTAGAGCCTTTGGTCGAAAATACTATCCTTCCTAAACTCTGACACAGTCATGATGTGTAATCACAAGGAGATCGATGTTCCACCAACCGTCCCTGCGACAGGCACCTTCAGAGTGCAAGCATTAGCACCAGACACTGCCGCCAAGGCTTCTGAGATTCTTCAAGATAACCATGACAACTATCATATTTACATCCATGATCTGGGACTGCACAGTAAGACGAAAGCTTTATATTGGTGGTAGAGTATTTACTGACCATGAGTCTGGCCAGACCATATTCTCCATCATATACTTGCCCTCTATGCGCTAGGGGGAACGCCAACACAGCTCGAGCAGGCATATAAGGTTGCCATGGATTCGCAACGCCCGTCACGGCGCCCGATATTCAACGCGTGTTAGACTTCCAAGATCCGGCAAAATTCAAAGAGTGCCTGGGACAAGGCATATACTATGACGACTATTTCGCATATTTCCAGAATGAAATTGGCAAACATGGCGTACCGAACACTGTCAACAAGTTCCACTCCGGGGGTGATGAAATGGCAGAGGACATGCTGCGTCGATTCTTCAGTGGTCAGTCAGTGAGCAGGAAACTTACGGATGTACTAGTACTAAGTTGACCCTTAGGATTTCTCCTCTCGCCGATCCATTTTGGATATGCCATTGAGTTGGACCAGCCGCTTATCGTGGCCGAAGCATTGGCCCTAACAGCTGTTCATGATTCCCACTTTGGTGAAGTCTTGACGGAAATTGAGGCTGCTGCCAAAACATCGGATGGAGCCGAGAGCCTTATCAATCTGCAGCAGGAAATATACAGTAATCAGAAACTTCGAGAGACAATGAAGTTCGACCATGGCGTATTCCAGGTCAGGTATGGACAGGTAGCACACGCGAAGGACGATTTTATGCAAGTGATGGTTCGCTGGAAAGTGAAGCCTGAAGACTTGCAGGAGAAGACTGCTAAATGCCTCAATTATACCGGTACGAACCACTAGCAAGTACTCATAAAAAGACGTCATGCCTGATAAATGAGCAGTTTACTGGACATCGCTCGCAGAGCGGGCCGAAAAGCAGATTCGATTCGACTTTTTCCTGATGCATTCAGTCACATCTGGCTCTCTCTGGCCCGTGATCAATAGTGCCCCATGGATTTCTACAAAGACGAAATGCCGACTGATGGAATGGAAAGGTCGAGCGGATCTGATTTTATATAATCAAACTGGACCGCCTTGCCCAAAGTCTGAAGAGCTAGTCGCCTACCAGCCACAAATCCCATCCGGAAGGGATGAGGTGTTCCAGCGAGCCTGCGAGTATGAAGATGACGGTCATTTAGCTAAACTGATCAGAGGGATCGCCACAACTGCGCAAGTGAGCAAAGAATATCCCCAAAAAGCAAGCTTCATGCTCAAAAGTGACGAAGAGTTTCTCAAAATTGCCCATATGAGTGAGCTATCCCTAGTTTCCATGCACCGGTCCCTTCTGCTAACCCTCTATCCTCCAGTCATCGACTCCGCCGAACAATTCAACCAAGACTCAGCAGATCGAGAGAGGGAGATAATTTGCAAGAAATACAGTCATGCGGGCGAGATGTCAATCGAAATTCAACGGGTGAGCGCGCGTTGGTCTCGACATGTGGGGTTTGAGCAGTCTTGGTTCCATGTTCCCTCCAGGAAGTCGAACGGATCGTCGCATCTTTGACCGAATACGGTGGACTTGAAATGAAGTAGAACACTGCTACTCCATAGAGGAACCCAAGACATGTCCAGGCCTAGATAGGCAAGCATATAGGAGCATCGTCATAGTAAGAAGGATAATCAGTTTGTTTTGATTTGCTCCCCACGGACATCCCCGCATGGCATCCCACGTTTCTTCTGCTCCACTCGGCACCGTCGCATGTTTGTAGATGCCCGACCGCCGCGAAGAATGTAACGCTGCCATCCATGTATCGTGCATATCTCTGGGCGTTTCTTGATAAACATAAGACGGAGCCCGAAGAGATGCCTATCTACATACACATTCATCATGAATTTGTCCATACTTGCTCTTGCCGCGGTTGCTTCGGCCCTGCAGATTTTACCTCCAATTGAGTGGGATCAGCAGGACTCATATTCGGACGCGAAGCGTGGATTTTCTCTCAAAAAAGCCGACCATATTATCTATCTTCAGGATGATCTTGCTCACTGGCGGGATCAAAATGGCCTTACTTTGATTCCACCGTCAGGGTTGGAGTTTGCCCGCACGCTCCGTAAGGATCTTGAAGAGATCACCAACTCTTCGTGGCAGATTCGAACGGTCAAAGAACCACCAAAACAAGCATTGGGAGTGTTTCTCAGTCGCTCCAAGACGCCATCTGATTTCACATATGAAGATGGAACGGTGACAGAGGAAGGTTATGAATTGATTGTCGAACACAACCGCGTTTCGATCCAGGGATCGGGCGCGCGAGGAATGTGGTGGGGGACACGAACGCTGTTGCAACAACTCATGTTAAGCCCTCATGCCACTATTCCAGCCGGTCGCGTCAAGGATGCGCCAGCCTATGCGACGAGAGGATTCATGCTTGACGCAGGGCGAAAATGGTACTCCTTAGACTATCTCAAGGACCTCTGTACCTACGCCTCGTTCTTCAAACTCTCCGAGTTTCACTACCACGCGACCGACAATTATCCGCTCAGCCGAGGCCCAAATGTGGCGTGGAATGAAGTACACTCCCAATTTTCGCTTCGACCAGACAATCCGGACCTTCTGCCTCTTGTACAACGAGAAAATGAAACTTTGTCGCGTGCCGACTTCGACGACTTTCAAAGTCACTGTGCTGCCCGGGGAGTGACGGTGATTCCCGAGATCGAAAGCCCAGGTCATTGCCTTTCCATCACAAAATGGAGACCAGACTTGGCTTTAAAGTCGCGCGATCTTCTGAATATCTCCCATCCTGATACTGTACCCCTAGTGAAATCTATTTGGTCGGAGTTCCTGCCTTGGTTCCACACAAAAGAGGTGCATATCGGTGCTGATGAGTATGACTTGACCTTGGCGAATGACTACATTGCGTTTGTGAATGAAATGTCTCAATTTGTCCGTGAGACTTCTGGAAAGCTGATTCGCATCTGGGGCACTTATGAGCCGTCCGAGATGCTGTCAATCGATAAGAACATCACGATCCAACACTGGCAGTACGGGCAATCGGACCCAGTGCAGCTCGCCCGGGATGGCTATCAAGTTATCAATTCCGAGGATTGGTGGGCTTACATGTCTCTGAAGAACAATCATGTTCCTATATCCCCGGCGCCTTATCCGCAATTTTTCAACAATGCCCGAGTACTAAATTTTGCCGATAAGGAGGGGTGGCAGTGGACTCCGCAACTGTTCAACCCCGTCAACATAACAGAACAGCCTGAGCAGAAGGCGGTTCGCGGGGCGATCCTTGCTGCTTGGAACGACAACGGACCGGACGCAACTACTCAATTGGAGTCTTATTATGCTATTCGAAATGGGATTCCTGTGGTTGCGTCTCGCACATGGACCGGCAGCCGAGGGCCACGACTAGATGAAGCAGGCCTCGAAGACGCAATTGAGATCCTAACTTCCAACGCAGTAGGAGAGAATCTTGACAGAAAAATTTCAAGGAAGAAGAATACGCGGGATCCTTTGATCTCGTGGAACAAACCACGCACAAATAATGCACGCGACCAGATTACCCTGGGATACGGAAGCAAAGGAATGAACTATACTTTGCAACTTAGTGTCGAGGGTCCCTTCTCCCTCGAATCAAACGACACAATTCTTTCCCTTTCCGAGACTGGTCAATTGACCTTCACTGCGGACGGCTGGCCATATCCCCTTCTTTCCGTTGCCGAAGGAGATGGGTTCCACTCAGATGCCATTGGAAGGATTTGGGCCAACGCTACTAGCTCGACCCATGAAGTTGTGCAGGTACCCCAGAAATGCGAAATTACTATCACATCGGACACATTTACTGGAAGCCGGGTGTGGGTGAATGATCAATTTGTGGGGCGGTTCGAAGTATTTGTGTACGGTGGAAAGAATCGGGTCTTCTCCTGGAGCCAGATGGCCTTTGTGGCACCGTTAGAAGTGCTTAGAGGAACAGGACTTGAAAGGATAGTATTATACTGAGTCTCGGGTCGATTTTATGATATGAAAGAGGATTGTCAACGCCCGCTTGTATACAAATGCGTCCATCCCGATTCTACCACAAGGACGCCTGAGCCAGCCAGCTAATTTCTGTCTGCGTACTGTTAATGGTTTATAATTTTGAAGCCGCGGACATGGCTACGTCAGCAAAAAATATATGTTATTGACAGCAGGAAAGCCATTTATGTTCCAGCTAGCTAGACAGCAACCAGACATCCCCTCAAAGTCCTTTCATTAGTCCTTCACTGTAGCCCTAATTGAACAGCTGAGTTTGTAAGCAATGTGGTGTACAACTTAGCGCATAGCCATGTCTAGTATCGCGATCTCACAGTTCCATAAGATATGCCGTTGAACTCCAGATCAAACAGCAACGACGCTGACAGGAGTCAAGACCAGTTGGTAGGAGACCTTGTAATACTCCTCGCCCTTTGAATTTTGATACCTCTGGAATAGTTCCTTTGTTATCTTGCTGAGATCGGTCTCTGGAACACATAATTTGGACACAGCTAGGTAGGAGGTACATCCGCTGTCAGTATCACGAAATGGAGTCTGAATGGTCTGTCGAGTCTTAGTTGTGTTGAATATCATTGGTGCCTCCTTTACCAGGCAAAACTGCAGAGTGTCCTTGAATATCAGGCTATCTTGATCGGAAATAAGACGGTAAAAGCTCAGTTTTAACGGCTTTTTCTCTGCAATTGAATGTCCCTTTTTTAAGAGGGTTAGGTATTATCTTTCCTCCCCAATTCAAGCATCCAGAGCGGCTGACCTTATTGATAAACCAATTCATTCCGTCATGGAAATTCCAAACCTGCTCCAATTCACACCACAAAGGCTTCCGGCCTGACTTTTGACCTTCCGGGCTGTAGGTTTCGGTACATTTGATACCGTAATGGCATCTGGTCATCCTATTGTCAACCTGATTACCCTCCAGGCCTCGACATACAGCCCCGCTGCTATTCTTAGCCATTGCCTTTTTCTCGGGATGACAGGGAAAACCTACCGCACCACTGCAGACCAGCTGTTCGAGAGATGTGTCTCTTGTCAGCCTTTGTAAAACGTCTTGAGCTGGTATGCAATAGGATATCATGAACTCACGCGTTCTTCGGCTGCATAACTTGGACACCCGGAGACTCCTTCTGCAATGTTTTGCAAAGATACTCAGATGCACCAAGACCTCCAACAAGGATAATTGCCTGACCATAGTAAACGCCAAATTGTGCTGTGTTTGGGCTTCATGCCTTGGTTTCATTCCCTGTCTGCTTCACTTTGAGACGTTGGTCTGCAACTAACTCTGCGAACTTTTTCATGACAGGGTGGAATATGGCCTCCACATCATTGCTATAACCATGATCAGAGACAACTCTCGGATGTATGACTTCTCGCCTACCTTTCCATATGGAGGATTCCTCCCTTCAGGTTGATTGTTGGAATGTCGTCAATCCCAGGAATTGGAATGCAATAGTCCATATCCCCGAAATCCTCACAGTCCATAGGTCCTTGATAATTTGGTTCGATGTAGTCCTGCCAATGCTTTAGAGCAAAGCCTCGTGGTGCGGGAGGCAGCTTTTGTATTTTTCTCTTCCTATCTTGCTTGCCAGAAATTGCACAAATCCTTCATCCAGAATCACCGAGCCACAAATTGCCCCTAAGAAGGTCAGTTATTGTGACAAAGATTCAGCGGAGTCTTCAAGGATACCGGTTCCTTCTGTTACTTCACCCAATCTCAGTTGATCTACTGGATTGATCCGGTACGTTATGAGATCCTAGAGTTCACACATCCTCGTCAACTTTGCTTTAGGGGAAGGAAGAGTTCGGGCATACCACAGTGCCTCCCCCAGCGTCACACACTATCACGCAATCGCCCTCCTGAGTTTTTGGAACGATTAGAAGCTTTTCGGCATGATTTCTGGGAGGAACCTTACAGTCATGGTATTCGGCTGAATAGTCTGGATTGCATAGACCGCCGCTGCCTCGGGATCAGAAACTAGGAACAAGGCCGCGCTGGGAATGCCCGCCAGGATTGCTGCCTGCATGGTGGCATCCTTTGCCTTGTCGGACCATACGGCAGGGACCGTCATGACGAACTGAAGGTCCATTGTTTGCAGAGCAGTCCCAAATCGTCGTTTCAAGATGTTTTTCACGTGAGCTACCAGCATTCCCACATACTTACCAGAAGCACTGATTGTAGACTTTTTCTTGTTCTGGAGAACGCTCTCAGCTTTCTTCGAGGGGCCATGATTGTAGGTTTGCTTTTCATCCAGTAGGAGCTTGACACCTTTGATCGATTTCGAGGTGTCGTCAACTTCATAGCCCCATCGAATCTTTCCCTTGCAGTAGTCGAAAATGGTGCCAACCTTCTGCGATGTATCTTCTTATTGTCAGCTAGTTGCCTCCTGCTTTTTGCGTCTGGTTTAGACTACACGATGTTGCTGAGTACCCTGAAATTTTGTGAGATGGAGGAGAAAGACTGGGGGAAAGACCCACAGCATTATGGGAAATAACAAAAAGGGAAATAGCATAGTATGAAACGGGCTTAGTTGTAGCCCATTTGGGTACTGTCCACCTCACTGCGTGTAATGGACGCCTCCTCGAAGCCCAAAAGGTCCCGCGATGACGATCAGTCTTGCTCCATTCTAAGAATCGAAATTCCGATCACAAATTATCCATCTAATTCATTGTTCCTAAAATCCCCTCGTCTGAATTGCCTGAATTTTGTTTTCCGGAGTTTTATGATCGGCAGAATGGGAATATTTCAAATGATGCCGGGCTGGAGCGCTTCAAGCCAGGGCCATGGTATGCCTGACACGGCACCAGAAACATCGAATGAGTCCCCCTTCGATGGTAATTGGCCCCCGCAACTTCAACTTTTACCGTGGGCTAATTTTCTCAGCCTTTGAAAGTCAGACTGATCATCTTGCCGAGCTTGGAAATCTTCAACGGGAAAATAAATTGCTACTAGGAAAGTTCGGATATGCCCATGAAGCTGCAACTATGGCGCGAAGAGCGCAATTAATGGGGGAGGAGAAACTCCGACGCCAAAATGAACTACCTCAAGAGAGCCGCCAAGCTGCGATGTTGCTGTTAAAGGGCACTCTCAGCTCTTGATCAAATTGTATGAGCTTCAAACGTGGACTGATTTATTGACGGCTATGATTCAGTTCGAGTAATACGCCGGCTTTTCCAGCGACTGGAGGATTGGATCAAACGCCACTACAGCCAATCCCGTGCAACGCATCCTACAAGAGATAATAGCAGTGACTTAGCCTTTCGTCGAAGGAACGAATCTTATTGCACGACCCAGACCATCCAGGGCTTCGTATCCGAGCAAATTTTCCAGGGAATCTTTTGTCGCTTCATGTTTGGCATCCGGGACAGATCCTTGGAAAATCTCTTCTACGCAATGGACACAGAATTAAAAAGAACCGGTGAGTTGTCCCAACACTTTAGTTAAATCTCCCAACCAACAACTCTGTGCTGACAGCGCTAGCTCCACCGCACGTTTGACAACATTGGCGTTCTTCCACAAGCCTCGCAACAACATCTCTCCAAAGGGACGCGCTTGACCAGACTTGTGACAATATTGCGCAAAGAGTAGAAGCGCACGTCCAGTTGTACACCCTCACAAACTCCAAGGAAAGGGCACAGGAATTTAAAGGCTTGCTCCAAGAATGTGTGGAGTTCAAATTGAGATTGGAGCGCCAGGGACACGGCTATCGTTTTCACAGGAGTGGCCCATGGACACTCTTTTACCAAGAGCAAATGCGGAGTTTGAATGGGGTATCTTCCCCGGAGGCCAAGGTTTTCCAAAGTATATGGCCCATACTTTGGAAGGGCACCCGAGAATCCGATCATAGTGGAGAAAGAAGCCGTGCAACTGATCCAAGAATCGCCGGATACTGAGCCTCTCACTGAGATTGAACCTGACTTCCCCGAGGACTTTGCCAGTCTTGCTCTTTAAGTTGAAAGCAAAAATGTTTTCAATGGCCAAGGTAGCTTTATGAATAACTTGGTTCTATTTAGATATAGAAAAAAGTGGCAAAGAAATGAATCCTATGAGAAATTGCTAAGTATTTACTAAACACCATCCACAAAACCATCACCCCCTGCCTCTGTATCCACCTTCATAGATTCCATAAGTCCACAGACCTCAAACAACTTACGAGGACTAAGACCCTCAGGAGTACCGACAACCCCTTCGATCTTGAGACGCTCCAAGGCAGAACGAATACCCAGGTAGGCCGGGGCAATAGAAGCAAATGAGAAAATCATGATTCGGAATCCCATCTCTTCCGCCTCCTTGGTGGTAATAACGGGGGTGGCACCGTTTTCTACCATATTGAGGAGAAGGGGCCAAGGTGCAAGGTCTTGAACTGCCTGGCGGGCCTGTTCCTTTGATGTGAAACCTTCCAAAAGACCCACGTCAGCACCAATGTCTCTCGCCGCTTTCAGGCGGGCAATGCATTCCTCGTAGCCATGTTGTTGAAGGGCATCAGTTCGTGCGATGAGGACGATATCCGAGTGCAGGCGATCTTTGGTAAGCTTGGCTGCACGAATACGAGTGAAGTACTCTTCTCGGCCCACCACCTTCTTGCCGGCAAGGTGGCCACAGCGTTTGTTCTGGATCTGATCCTCAATGTGGAATCCAGCCACGCCAGCCTGAATGTATTGCTGAACGGACTTGGACACCATCAGAGGTCCTGAAATTCAGCACGTCAGCCACCATATAGTTTGCTTATCATCAAGATTGTTCTCAACGTACCTCCATAACCGGTATCCATGTCTGCAATGAGGGGAGGACCAAAGGGGTCAAGGTTGGCAATCATCTCTGCGTTGGTTCGCATGTCATGAAGCTGGGCAAGACCGAGGTCCGCCATTCCGAGTCGTGAAGCAGTTGTTCCTGCACCAGTCTGTGGGGATCATTGATCAGTCATGGTCCAAGCATAAGCGAAGAGCATTCAAGTGAAGGGCATCTACGCCGGCACCACATACCATGTACATGCCCTTGAAGCCGAGCTCCATGGCAATTCGAGCAGACAGGCCATCATAGACTCCGGGGCAGACAATGAGCTCCCTAGAGTCCTTGAGCATCCGACGCAGCTTAGATGCCGCAGGGATGACATAAAGAGAGACACTGGGCTCATGGCGCATGCCATTGACCTCATAGAAGCCATCCTTCTCCACGGTGATAGTGATGGTCATATTGCCGACAGTTGCACGACGGCGGGAAAAAACAGTAAGACTTTGTGTGTTCGTAATTTGAAAGATGATCTGGATTGATTTGAAATGTCTAAGCACCCTACTTATAGTTCAAGGGTTTTCCGTCCGGAGTAACATAACCCGATTCTCAAATGAAGTAGAATGTAAATGAATAACCCCGATTCGCAACTCCGATATTGACCACGAAGAAATTGGCTTAGGCCTCCTGGGAATGCAACATCCCATCAAGCGCCAAGACAAATATGATCATTTGCTCGTCCTTGGGTCGTACTGACCCAGAAGATGAGGCATAGATGGCCTCGTAGCCCAGAGTATTCCTGCCAGAAAATGGAGGCGCGAAGACCGCCGAGAACAAATTAGCCTGATATCCCTTTCCAGATAAGGTCAAGCCATTTACGGCACGGACCGAGGAGAAGCTGTCCTTGCAGCTTCGGACCTTGATAACGGAACTCCCGTCCAGTCGGACAAAAGATGAGGCGAGTAGCGTATGCTGGGCAAGTCAGGAAAGAGGGTATTGACACGGAGTGCAGACTGCAGAAGCATGATACTCAATCAACCTGAAGTCGCCGGTGACGATAAATGCATATGCAGCGGCGCATGAGTCGTTTTCTGACTTGCATCTGCCAAATTCTGACAGGGGTGGAGGGGGCAGTGCTCGGGAGCGATATCAGTCTTGGCCAGCGGTTCAATCATTCAACCCTAGTTCGCCAAGCCTCTTCCACGGTTCCCCTCTCGGGAGATCAGCAGCCACATCAACCGTGAGAGCGCAACAGAGTAGTATCCTCTTTCTGGTGTGCAAGTGTATCGGTCGAATCAGAGGCCGCAAGATGCTCTGATAACACATGAGCAACGCACATCAAGCCATTGTCCACGCCTCAATGTTGATGGCCTATATGGGAAGCAGAAAAGCCGCAATATAAGCTGTGAGTTGCAAATTTCCACAGGTGAGAAGCCGTTGTAACACATCTCCGCGGTGTGGTGGATCTCGGGGCAAGACCAGACACGGCGCCAAGCGGCTCGGCGTAACAAACGAATTCCCCCGGGTGTTTCTTGGCACTTTAGGAGCACGTTCACCCGGCGTGCAAAACAAAGTCTCCGGTCCTGGCGCTGGGCCAGGAACTCCGCTCACTGCTGACACTGGTGCCGAGAAAAGATCTACCCGAAGGGTAGACGGTGATAGTGGCTGGTCAGTCGTGCCGGTGGGAGTCATTCATGACCATGCCCAGGCCTGCTCCGTCTTGGACGGCAGTATCCGTAGGCAGTTGTTTTGGCTCGCCCCTCAGGCCAAGAAGAGTCATGCATCACCGAGCTGAAGAAAGCGGAGTTCCCGAGACGGAGAAAAGAAGATTTCCCGAAAAAAGGATGCGATCGACCGACTGACAGGCAGTGGAGGGTCATCGCCCAGCCTTTCCACATTACCCGGCGAATTTCTGGACCGTGTAAACAAGAGGAAGCTGTCCCCCGTCATCCTGACAGCCTCGGTGTCTTTGCATAATTCTAGGTTGTGTCACTCACAATGGAACAGCACAAGAAAGCGTTCCTTGGATTATCCAGTTTCTTGGGAAATGAAGTCGATCCACGCCATGCCGACTTGTTGCTGTTTACCTGCTGCTTGAGCTCGGGTTTGGTGGACAGTACGATATACAAAGGTGTGAAAATCGTCTCGCTGCTTTGATTTGAAGGTTGAGCCCAATTAAACTGACGTTGAGCAGCGTATAACACTTTTGTGTCGATGCAGACCGGTATGAACTCGAGATCCACCACAATGGCGATGTGACCATTGGTGTAAGGTGGAGTTGCTGATCGTTTGCTACTCTTTGCATTATAGGAAACACCATATTCGTGGGACTAGGAGCCTCGAATCAAAATCCGCGCCCATACGGCTGGGCACGGTCGTTGACCTCGATCGGATGTTTTGTGATCGGGTGCTTCCTCTTTGCACGGCTCAGTCGCATTATTGGCGCTCGGCGTCGTGGGTCTTTGATGCTCTCTTTCTTCATCCAAGCCATTATCATTGTCATCACCGCCGCTCTCGTGCAGGGAGGCGTTGTGTCGAGTGCCCTTGACGACTCATCGCAATCCATCACCCGATGGGATCAAGAAGTGCCGATCGTGCTGCTCAGTCTTCAGTCGGCAGGGCAGATTGTGGCCAGCCGAGCTCTGGGCTTCAACGAGATCCCGACCGTGGTGATCACCAGCCTCCTTTGCGACCTGATGTCGGATCCCAAGTTGTTTCTTCTGCGGAATGAGAAGCGGGACCGGCGGATCATCGCGTTCGTGTTGACTCTAATCGGTGCCATTATCGGGGGTTGGGTCACCAAGGCCACCGGTGACATCGCCCCGATCCTCTGGCTGTCCGCCGGAACCAAGTTTATCGTGGCATTCGCCTGGGGATTTTGGAAAACAAAGGCATGAACATTGGAGTAGTTGGAGGAAACTGAAGTCAGGAAGAAAGTACAGTAGCGATGCACTTGGTGGACAATCCGCTGTGTCGGTAGGGGGTAGATTGTGGCCTAACCTCTCAGGCAAGAATCTTGCCTAGGCATTCAGGCACCAACTCCACTGGAAGTTGACCACCGAAGGAGGCTGGTTACGTTTTCAATATTTTGTCAATAATATTATCATATATCATGGGTCTCACTTGCGTAGATTACATGGACCTCTTTGCTTGAAACAATTATTATTGATATATCAGCCTTGTAGTGTGGATCTCACTACCTAACTATGTTGTCTTCACCAAGTGCATTTACTCGAGTGTCAACTGGGCACAGTTGAACCTGACTACAGTTTACGTACACTCACACTCATCACTCAGCGTATCCCATCCACCAAGCCAGAATTGATTATTTATTATCATCCCGATGACTCTTGCCAACTGATCGGAACTCTTCTTTCGAAACGCCAATCAAAAATACTTCCTTCATTATCGGACTCTCCCCACCAGCTCGGAATGTAACGCGGAATTCGCGCGCGGGGCCGCTCTAATTCCCCCGCAATGGTTCCGATATCCGGAAGGCATCAGTCTTCAAAAAGAAGCCCTATAAGCCACTCAAAATGAATAAACATTGTGATCATTGTACTTTGTACAGATTGACCTCGAAATACTGGCTGCATCCTGTTTCATAAAAAATCATTTTCCGTTCAGAATGTCTTCGTTGACTATTGTTGGAGTGGAGGGCCGCCAAGTCATAGGTGATATCTTCCCTTTTACCCCTATGTTAACATTAATATCGAGTCTCTGTGCTAAACAACTTATTCCTGCAGTTCCTTCGGGTCTCTTCATTCACAATGAATTCGTTCCGTCCGTCACTGGCCAAACATTACGCGTGGAGAACCCTTCGACGGGCGAAGAGCTCGGAACCATCTCGGCTGCTGGAAAAGAGGACATTGACAAGGCAGTTGAGTCGGCCAAGGCAGGTCTGCAGGCCTGGAAGGCAGTTCCTGGGCCTGCCAAGGGTCGCTTTCTTCTGAAGGTGGCCGATCTGATTGAGCGTGATGCCCAGGATCTTGCATCGCTCGAGGCTGTGGATGCCGGAGTGCTCTATACAGACTCCATGGGAATGAATATTCCACAGGCACTCGGCTGTCTTCGATACTATGCTGGCTGGGCTGATAAGATCGATGGAAAGGTGCTCGACATGGAAGGTGGCATCGCCTACACTCACCGTGAGCCACTGGGTGTGTGTGCCGCCATCGTTCCCTGGAATGCTCCCTTGCAAGTTACATTTCCATTTTCCCTGAAGTATCTCTCGTGCCTCTGAAAGAGACTAATATTTAAATTTGCAACTGTTCACAGAATGATCACAATTTGGAAGCTAGCCCCGGCCTTGGCCACTGGTAATGCCCTGATCATCAAGAGTTCGGAGATGTCGCCGCTTTACGCCCAGCGGCTAGCACAGCTTGTGAAAGAAGCGGGCATCCCAGCTGGTGTGGTTAATATTGTGACCGGCGAGGGGGCTAGCGCTGGTCAGGCTTTATCCGAACATAGGGAGGTGCGCAAGGTCGCTTTCACTGGCAGTGCAGTCGCAGGTCGTAAGATTCTGCAAGCTGCGTCGCGGACCAACTTGAAGAAGGTGAGCTTGGAGTTGGGAGGTAAGGGGCCCTCGATCGTTTTTGATGATTGTGATCTCGGAAATGCCTTGCTCTGGACCCGTATTGGAATTACCGCGAACAATGGCCAGATTTGTGCGGCTGGCTCGCGCATCTATGTTCAAGAGTCGATCTACGATCGCTTCGTGGAAGCATATCAGAGGGCCGCTGCCAATGCTCCATCCATCGCTGGCAATCCGCTAGATGCTGCTACCACCAAGGGCCCTGTGGTTAACTACGCTCAGCACCAAAAGATCTTGGATTATATAAGACAGGGGAAGGAGTCTGGGGCGAGGCTGCTATTCGGAGGCGAAAGAATTGGCCACAAGGGATACTTTGTTCAGAACACAGCCTTTGCTGACGTGGCGGACAACGCGACAATCATGCGTGAGGAGATCTTCGGCCCCGTTGCAGTAAGCCATATTCTCGGCTATTCCATTAGAGAGTCATACTAATGCAATTGAATCACCAGAGTATTGCCAAATTCTCCACCGAGGAAGAAGTCATTGCCAAAGCCAACGACTCTCATCACGGTCTGAGTGCGGCTATTTTCACCAATGACATCAACCGTGCCCACCGTGTCACGAGAGCAATCGAGTCCGGCCAAGTAACAGTGAATGCATGGGCGATGCTCAGTCCCAATGTTCCATTCGGCGGAGTGAAGGAGAGTGGATTCGGGCGTGACATGGGCGAGGATGCTATGGAAGGCTGGACAACAGTTAAGGCAGTCAAGTATCATATCCTTCCTCGCCTGTAAACAGCATCCTACGAGAGTCTGAATCTCCTCTTTTTATGCCCTGTAATTACCGAATAAGCTTCTGTCACAATCATATGTTTCGCATACTACATTTCCCTTATACTTAAGATTATGGACAGGAAACAGCGTTCCCAGAGTAAAGATAATCAATTCTGTTTTCGGTGTCCTAAGCGCAATAAGAACAAGGAAAATACCAGCAATGCGAGCTGATGCATAAGAACAAAGCCCGAAGTCTTCACTCCTTCAAGTCATCTCCAGTGGATAATGGAATAGGGTGCATCTTATGGAACACATTGTTTGGGTCGTACTCGGCCTTAACTGATTGAAGGCGAGCCAAGTTTTCGCCATAGATGTTAGTCACGACGGAGTCGCCAGCTGGGATGAGTGTCAGGATTAGCACCGAATTATCACTCTCCAGCAACGCAAAAGCACTCACGTTCGGCGTAGTTGATATACTGAGGCACATCATTCTCAGTCTGCAGGACTTTCTTCCTCGCCTCCAACTCGGCCTTCCATTTCGCCTGAACACTACGCGCCCAGGTACGATGTTCCAGATCCTTCGATGAATCGGTCCAGCGTAGGTACAGAATACCATTCTGAGTCATGTTGCGGCTTGCAAAGGCCGTGGCAGGCAGGGGCGTCTCGCAGATCTTGCGCATATCGATAAACTCAAGAATAATGGCGGAGGGCATGAGATCCTGGTCTGTCTGGAGCTTGGTCATGAACCCATCAAATACACTTTGCATGAAATGGGGGTCCAGTGGAGGCTCGTAGAAGATTCCCTTGAAAGACTTGCGATCACCATACGTGGCTTGAGGGTTCTGCAAGGTATTCACCATCGAGTAAGGGATCATGTCAACGGTGTTCAAGAAGGGCTCTAAAGCCAAAAACCCAGTAAATCGCTTTTGTCCCTCTTCGCGAGTGCCATTGTAGAAACAGATCACAATAATCATGGGGCCCGATCCACCGGGCCCATGAGCGAAGATGCACATCGCTCCCGACCGTTCATCAGGGTTTGCCAACGTGCCGTTCAACTGTTCAATGACCTTCTCCAGCTTGTCGGGTGAGAACCCAAGGATTCCTGAATATACTCGTGGACTCTGATCGTATGCCTGGTAAGTGAATTCCACCACGACTCCAAAATTATAACCCGCACCCCGTAATCCCCAGAATAAATCGGGATGCTGGGTTTCCGAGGCTGTCACCAGGCTGCCGTCGGCCAGCACCACTCGAGCCGACCGAAGATTGTCAATTGTGAGGCCATATTGTCCACTAAGCCAGCCATAACCCCCACCGAGGGTCAGACCACCGATGCCAGTGTGATTCACAGTTCCTCCAACGGTCGCCAGACCATGAGCTGCACCAGCCGCATCAACTTCCTTCCAGGTGGCACCACCCTGGGCTGTGACGGTTTTGCTGGAGGTGTCGACGGAGACATGCGTCATTCGTGAGAGATCGATAACCAAGCCACCCTCGCTCGAGCTGGTTCCAGCCGTAGAATGCCCGCCTCCTTTCACGGCGAGGTCAACCGAGTGTTCCTGCGCCCAGAGAACAGCGGATTGAATGTCTACGACATCCACTGGCTGGACCACCACTCCCTGTCTGTTGTTAGCGCATCACGTACATCCCAGAAATTCGTCTGCCATACTGCTTGCTTCCTTCCCGTATCAGACCATCGGATAAGGCTGTCCTGATATCCATCTGAGTCAGAAGTAAGGACAGTTGCGGTAGTCAGTCGACTGCGCAGAGTTTCGATCGCAGAGGGGTTGATTGCTGCCATGTTCGGATAAGCTTGGATCGAGTTGGTGAGGACAGTGAGTGAGGAGAAGGTTTCGAACAACCCCGCTGCCTTGGCGTGGTATTTCAAAACTGGGCGAGAATTGAACGGGTCTTGGATGTTCACTGCGATTATTTCGATCGTTTCTTTGCCGAGTCTTTAGCTTGTCAGCTCGTTGGGTTACTCGATCTGGTTACCCCAAAAATGGCGGGGCACCAGGACTCCACTGTGGTGATCGGGCGGAATTTGGAAGGAGAGTTGCACGAAGTGTTTGGACTTGGTAACTGAGGATATTCCCGCCACATATAATGGATACAATTTGAAGGAAACGATTACTCGCTGCTATATCGTTAATATTTGCAAGTGATCAGCCGTCTTGGTAAGTAGGCTGAATTAGAATATACATTTCCCGAGACCTTCCGTGCACAGCATCCCCGTCGGGCTTGGGCCAGACAATTTCAAGAAAAGCGATTCTCCGTGCGTTCACCCAGGTAACCCAAATTTCAAAAATCACTGTACAGTTCCTCATCTTCATGCTTTCGCAGCGTGGGCTACCTTCAAATCTTTTTCGAAACCCTCCATCGCGGCCGCAGCACCCGTCGGGTTCTCCAAGGCATGAGGAACCACCCTCGTCACCAAAAAGCGTATCCATCTGCTCCAGCGTTCTACCCTTGGTATCTGGGTAGAAGACCGCATAGAAAATTGCAGCCACGACGTTGAACACAAAGAATGCGTAGAAATATCTGAACATGACCGCGTCGAGAGCTATTGGAGAGATTTGTCCGATGATCAGCCCAACATACCAGTTCGAGACGGAAGCCAAGGAATTTCCTCTAGCCAGGATCTCAACAGGGAAGATTTCAGCATTATAGACACCAGAGATGACACCCGTGGAAGTGAAGAAAAATGGATTGAAAACGAAGTTCATGGCAACCTGTGCGATGGGTTAATACTGTGACATGGCGCTTCCAGCAGGACGAATAATCAAGCGTTAACGGAGGTACTCAATTAACTTACCATGGCCAGAAGGGCATTTGCGTTGGGGTTGGCCGCACCATCAGCGTTGATGAAATACTGGCTCAGAACTGAATTGATCACGAGAGCGCAGGCAATTCTGGCTGCAAAGAAGATCATAGGCTTGATTCGGCCGAGTTTCTCAATGAAGTAGAGAGCGATCGAGCACTCAACGAGGGATAGCGACCCCCACAGACCAATGATCAACAGAGAATCACGGCAGGAGAACCCAATAATCTTGTAGATAGTCACGCCATAATAATTGATGAAATTCACGCCAGACAGTTGACCGAAGACCTGGAAACCGCAGCCAACAAGGACTCGTCTTCTCCAAGACGGCCTCGTGGTGAGTCCCGTCCATGAGCGAATTGAACTGCAACGGTTTTTTCCGCCACGAGGTATCGTGGATCTCACGATACTCGAGCTGAAGATATTTCTCGTTGTTTCCATCGCCATGGGTCTTGTAGAGTGCTTCTCGGGCCTTATCATGATGGCCCTTTTCCATCAGCCAACGAGGTGACTCTTGCAGGAACCATACACCCGTTGCAAGCAAGAGACCAGGAATTACTTGAACAGCCAAGGGGAAGCGCTCTGAGTATTGATCAGCACTAAGTCAAGATCAAATTGAGTCATTGTTACCTTGGAAAAAGCTGCTGGTATAGTTGCATCCAAAGCCAATCTATTGAGCAAAAAGGAAGCCCTAGCAAAGCATCCATTGCATTAAGCACCACGCAAAGAACCACGTTAAGATGCTTCGGCAATTTCGGAGTGAGACTGTCAGCATTGAACGATCACACCTTTACTATTGGAAGGGACTACCCACACAGTACTAGGAGCTTAGGTCATGTAAGAATTTAACTTTCTTCCAGAATAAAAAAAATCTTGGTAGGAGGGCCAAGACTGTGTAACTATAAGGCAAAATGTGGGTAGACCATGGCAGGACAATAGCCATCTTACTGCGCATTTCGGAAAAACAAACTTGACTAGATTGAATAATATAGGATTGCCTTGGCATATTGATGGTTCTCACCTTTTGTATTGAGCAAGCCAACCAAGAGCCTGGGCCATATCAATCTTCCGTTAGATATTGAAGACGGATGCGAAGAAGTGTACTTCCACGGCTGAGCGGATCACCTTAAAACACCATAGTAAATAGCATCTTTTGGTTCATCTATATTTCAACCAACAGGAGTTTTTCCGATTAGAATCTTAGAGCATGCATTTAGTGAGACACCGGAATAACTCACATAGATTTTTAAGCCATTTAGACTATCATTTAGATACGTTACCATAAAATACACCGTATTTTTGCACTTTCAAACTTGAATGTACATATCTCTATCAACACTTTAATTAATTTCCTTGAAATGTTTCAGTGAGCTAGAAATACTATTTAAATCATGAACCCTTGATATTTCATCATAAAATTATCTGGTTGTTAATATATGAAGTTGTAATTTATCGCATTTAGTATGGTGTTTTTTGGGTGATCCGCTCGGCCGTGTGATCCGTTCGGTCGTGAACTACGTAAAAGTGTACCGCTGAATCAAAGCCCCGGGGTGTGGTTTTGCCCCTCGGACTTACCGCTCCTATTTTAACTAGCTCGTCCGAGATAATCCGGCGTCAGGTTTTGAATGGCACTCGTTTAGTTAACAGGACCTTTTTCACATTCTTCACTCTTTATTCCCACCGCTTTCCCCTGTCTTCACAGGTCACGCACCCAACGAGCATTTCACGTCAATCTCCGCGCAACTCGTCAAACCGCTACAATTTTCCTTGAATACCGCGCTCCTCCTAATCAGGAGTTGTCTGATGGCTAAATGTCGCAAAAACCGCGGAAGTTTCAGCGCGTTTCCATGGCCTGTAGGTTCCCCTACATTTGATTGCTTTTTGTTCTGAAGTTCTGCACTTATTAGCTTGGTGGCCTAAACCCCGGTTATAAGGCCTGCATTTGCTAAGTACGCAACTTATGCAGGCGACTTTTGCAACAAACGCAGCATCAAATGCAGCCAGAGCGAGGACCCTTCAGCACGCTGTCGGAATTGCGTGGACTTTGATGTGCCCTGTACCTTTGATCGTCCCGCAAAACGCCGGGGTGTCAAGGCTGGCACCCGGGCAAGTGGTCGCAATCATCAGTTTGTGAGAGCACCAGTCAGTCATAATATTCCCACAGAGGCAGTGACTGCAAGTGACAGAAGAGCCTCCGACTCTTCGATTTCTCGCAGTCCATACTGCGCGTCGGTCTCCGCTGATCCCTGGTCTACCTTAAACCAGGGGTGGCCAACAGCCGAGGGAGATGACCATGATGGGGTGCTTCACGATTCTTGGAAAGCATTTGCCATTACTTGTGACCGGCAAATAAGGAAGCTAGTCCATCTTTATTTCGAGATCGTCTATCCAATGTATGTATGATGAGCCCCGAATTGCGTCTGGATGCCTTAATTGAGCTTATCATCTCTAGATTTCCCTTGTTTCACATGCCGTCATTCGTAGAGCAGGTCAACAGCAAGAAGCATCTTTGCAACCAAGGGTTCTTTGCATCCACGATGGCTGTCTGCTCCTTGGTCGCTGGTCGTGTACGTGACGGTGCGTTGTACTCTAATCGCTGGGACCGAGAAGAGCTTATAGATCCACCGTCCGAGACTTTCTTTGTAGCTGCTAGGGACTCGATTCCTCGGGACCTTGTCGCAGCCAAAGGTATTCATTATATGCGAGCGTGTGCCATACTTGCTATCGCCAGCATTCAAAATGGCCAGATCAAAAATATGCAGAAGTATTTCGGTCTTTACCACACCTTAACTTCATTGGATGGCCTGTATGACGAAAAGTTCTGGCCACAGGACTTGAATCCAATTCAGACGGAGGAGCGACGGCGACTTGTACGGAATATACCCATTCTCTGTGGTCGCTATACTGACCATATTGGTAGTTCTGGTCTATTTATACGCTTGATATTTATTCAAGTGTTGTATGGGGTGGCGTTATTCGACATCGTGAAGCCCATTCCTTAGTGCGCTATCCTAGCGAATTGGACGACGAATTCATTACAAACCGCGGCTATGGCGTGCCGTCTATATCCCCGGGATTGAACTCGCCTCTAACTGGCAACGTTACTGTCGTCTCCCGCCAGCCTGTACCCTGGCTGCGTGGTTGGAACTTCACTACAGACCTTTACCGCATTCTTGAGCACATAGTCGATGGCAATAGACGCCGCTTCTCTTCGGCTAATGGGATGACACAAGTTTGGCCTCTCTTTAATCGTTTATCCATCTCAGAGCCGGCGGTCATGGAGCAGGTACTTACTATGTACTCAGCTCTTCCGTCACAGTTTCGGGAAACGCCGCCCATCACAGGAGACATGTCTAAGAATTTATTCGGGTTCCAGTCAGCCAACATCCAGGCGACGCTACAACTTTTGCGGATGGTGCTCTTGTCTACCGAGGAAATTGGGGTGGAGAGGAAATGTGATGTAGCGGGCGAGCTGTTGAGCGGTTTTTCGAGTGTACCCATCGAGTACTTGAAAGCTATCAGCTCCCCTTTGGTATTTGCAGCCTCCATGCTTCTCTGGAATATATACTGATAAATCCCAGCTCCATCACCTCGGCGGAATTGGCTACATTCTTGGCTCTGTTATGGAAGGCAATTTGTCTGAAGTATCCTACACGCGAGCTCGCACATTACTGTACATTATGCTCATTCAGTGGTATCCATTTAAGCCCTAGCTGATATATCTGCAAACAGCCTTGAAATGGCGGGTCTCTTACAACGTCTCGAAATGGGCCTACATCGTGCTTCTGGTGCCGGCGAACGGCTGCGGTCCCAGGTTGACCGAATAGACGGCTACATGCGTACCTCACTTCCCGTGGATTTAACTTCACCAAGTGACGCGACGCAGATAATGAACGCAGATCCTGAACTTGCTGTTCCTTCCGCGTATGGACAAGGCACCCCCGCCGTCGGAGCCTCGCCCGGTGCTGGCCTGGACCAGATGTCCCAGTTTCAGCTGCCACCAGAACTCCTCTCAGATTGGCCATGGCCGTTGGATTCTCGCAGTGCCGAGGTATTTCTGCCTTTGCCGTTCGAATAATATCATTTTTTGGTTGGCGAGGATCTATGATTTGGCATATTATACAGCAACTGGGTGCAACATGAATGCAGCTGTATTTGATGTTCTACTATCCGATGCTTATTGCACTACGTATGATTGTGCCATGAGGCTAAAGACAACGACACTCTGTCCGAGATTATTTATTTCTATTTCCTCAAACCCTTCAATAGACCTGCCAGGCTCACACCTCAATTGATTACGTTATACTATAATTAACATTTCTCGGAAGATCTCGTATGAAACACCGGATTGCGTCCCTCAGTGGTATAGTTCTTGGATTTGCCTTTTCAAAAAGAGGAAGCTGAATATATCATAGATTAGATGGGCAGATCATGGCGTGCTCTCGTTCTAGGCACACGTTCTGGCATCTTCGAGGAGGGTAACGAACTGAGTTGGTTTCCTATTCAGGTTCGAAGGTTCGATGTCTACTACTCTCCTCACAAATGCTACCGCCTGGCATCCTGGGTCGTGGCTGGCATATGACGGATACTGGCATTTGATGGATAGTGAAACCAGACTGCGACCTGGCCACGCGGCAACGCGGTAAACCACCACTTCTACCCGGACACCGAAGGCCGCGAAATGCCGTAGGTGCGAAGTTCGCGTCGAGAGCTGAGCAAGAGTGCCCGATACAGAACCCATGGGGTCAGCCATGCCTTTTGATGTTGACGGCGGGAAAGTCCACGTTAGCACCGGGAGCTAAAGGGTGATTAGGGCCGGAAACCAGGTAGGGGTTGATTGGGCTCACTACTAGCCCTTGAGCTGCAACAAGGAGATCCATTCCGCCAGAGCTGGCTTGATGTCAGCATTACCGAGGATGACATACAACAGACAGCTCTCTCCGTGACGTAGCTGATCGATGGGAATGTACGCGGCGCTGCTTGCGAGATAATAAATATTTTGTAATATGGCGGAAGAACTAATCAGAAAAGCATTCGCCGGCTGCGTGTAATCTTTTATGGTTATATGTAGACATGAAATCCGAATTCTAATGCACCCAACCAGTTTTACACAGAAATTTCCAATAATTACCACTATTTTTTCTCCCTGAAGCCATTATTTACCACTTGTTGTTGAAAATTTTGCCATCGATATAGTTGACTAGCTCCGTCACCGGGGAGAGATGATCGCGACCACCACCAAAGAGCATACCTTGGCGCATGACCTTGCGGTAATTCTTTCCCGGAGACACCTTTCCAAGGACATATTCTTGACGAGTCTCCACGCGTGTGGGAACAGGAATGGAGCGGCCCACCACGGCCTCCATACCCTGCCAGGCGAAAGTGATTGCCTCCTTGGCGCCAGCGGGAATTCCAGCATCATCTAGCATCATGATACGGGTGTTGGGATACTCCTTCTGGATAAATGATGTAATGTTACGGTTATATGCACCGCCACCGCACATGAATATCTCCGCGATCTCTAGGTCTTTGGGGGCATAACGGCGGTAGTGGTCTACAATAGCCTGGGCCGTAACTCGGGTGATCGTAGCGACCACATCATCCGGGCTAAGACCCTTAGCCTCAGCCTTAGTGATAAATTCATGAGCAATAGTGTCACGGAAAACCTCGCGGCCGGTAGTTTTAGGCGGGTCTAGGCCAAAGTACGGGTGGCGTAGGAAGTCATCGACGAGCTCCTGGTCGACTGTACCACGCGCACCCATATCGCCATCTTTGTCATACTCGCGCTCGCCGTTAGAGTAATGTCGTACCACGGCGTCGATAAAAACATTGCCTGGGCCGGTATCAAAGTCGTAGGTTTCGTTAACGCCGCCGTGGCTGTCTGGTGGGATAAAGCATACGTTGGCGATACCGCCGATGTTCTGGCACGCACGCAACTTAGTCGGGTGGTGTAGCAGTAGGGCGTCAAAAAATGCAATAAGCGGAGCGCCCTGGCGTCCGGCAGCTTGGTCGCTCACACGGAAGTCCGTCACTGAGGTGATACCGGTTCGCGAGGCCAGGAATGAGCCCTCGGCCATCGTTAGTGCGCTTCGAGTCTCGCCTGGCTTGGGCATAGAAAGCAGCCAGATCGTCTGGCCGTGGGAGCCTAACACGTCGATCGAGTCAATATCGACGTTGTAGTCCTTGCAGAACTGGTGCACCGCCGATGCAAACGTCTCGCCCAGGATGACATTCACTTCGGATAACTCAGACGGCGAGGTTTGGTTGTGCAGGATCATGTTCATCACCCGCTTCTTAATGACGGACTCCAGCGGGATCTCTCCATACTGCAAGCTAATGTTAATTATCTACTATGAAAGTGGTGGAAATTATAAGAAATAATTACCTTCAACAGCTCGAAGTGCATCGCCGATTCCGGAGTGTCTTGACGGAAGCGGCAGAGGGCACAATCGATGCCATCCTTCATTCACTGTAAGTTTTATCTCCCTTGATTATGATCAGGAGGCTAGAGAAATCACTCACCATCGATGTCCCGCTGTTCAGACCAAGGACGGTCAGATCCAAGGTTTGATCGCCAGTGCTGTCGGCCATATCCGAAGCCAGAACTGATTTGTACCGGAGAATCAAATAGCTCTGTCAAAAGTATTTGGAGAGAATAGCGAGTGGGGATTAGGTCGTATTTAACAGGAGTATTAAACAGGACTGAGTTTCATCGCCGGCCGAATGATGAAGCCTCGCCAGCACGATATATAGTCGATCTCTGTTAGCCTCAACGGCAAAAATGCTAAACGGTCGGTTAAACGGGAGAACGGCAGGACGCTTTTTGCCTCCACGCCGTTGCCACTGAGATGCCGAGCGAAAGCCGGGAAAAAGCCGATGCGGATGAAATAGACTCAAAGTTTAGGATTATTTCTATGACATGATACGGCTACGCGCCTAAATGATTTGGACATCCCCCCCTGGGGTCCCCGCTTCTCCAGGTTGAGATCCATTCTGAATCCTGATCGACTGGGGGCGAATGCTATGCTTTATAAGGGAGTGCGAGCCCCCATATTTTCGATGTTGGAGCTAGAGCAGAGCAACAACGAAACATGGGCTATACAACGCTCTGGAAGCGGCTCTCGCCGCGACAGCTAAATGTCACCATCCAAGTGTTCTCGCTGATTTCTATATTCTTTGAGGGCTATGATCAGGGCGTTATGGGGGGCGTTAATTCCTCGCCCATGTACGTGACAGAGGTCGGCATTGGGAAGCCAGATGGCACTGTGACAGACACCAAGCATCAAGGTGGAATTGTCAGTGTCTACTACCTGGGTGCCATCTTCGGCTGCTTTGCTGGAGGATGGTTGGCTGACCGAGTTGGTCGAATCAATGGCCTGCTGGCAGGAGCGTTATTTGCCTTAGTGGGCGGCGCATTACAGTCTGCCGCTCAGAACTCAGACTTTATGATTTGTGCTCGAGTGGTGACGGGCATTGGTACTGGAGGTGAGCTCTTTATACCGCATCCGATGTTGTTTCTACCTTGTTCTTACCCGTAATGGTGCAGCCTTAACTGGAATCACCCCGGTCTTGGTGTCGGAAACCTCTTCTGCAGATCACCGCGGCGGGTTCCTGGGATATGTCTTCATTGCCAACTGTAAGCGGATCTGGATATCTTCCATTTGGGACCGCCTTGCTGATACTTTCCAGACCTAGGAATTTCAGTCGCATACTGGATATCCTTCGGCCTTGCCTTCCTCGAGAACGGATACTCAGACGTGCGATGGCGGTTCTTACTTGCCTTCCAATGTTTCCCTGCCCTGATTCTTGCCTGCTGCATAAAGATGCTGCCGGATAGCCCACGGTATCTCGCTTCAGTTGGTCGGATAGAAGAGGCGCGTGAGCTATTGAAGCATATTCGTAGTCATAAGGCCAGTCCAGAGGAAATTGATCGGGAATACTTGGAGATTGTTACCTTGGCAGGTGAAAGCCAGCGCAGCTCACCTATCCAATTCTTAAAGATCTTGCTCGGGAGGAGTGGAAAGCAGCATCCAAATTTGGGCAGGCGGGCTTGGCTGTGTATCTGGCTTCAGATCATGGCCTCTTGGACAGGTATTACGGTATTTTCATTCCCGTCAGCATTACTCTATATCGATCTCTAACCTTGACGAATCCAGGCTGTCACTGCATATTCACCAGTTCTCTTGCACCAGGCAGGATACAGCACCATCAAGCAGAATGGCCTGGCTGGGGGGCTTAACACAGTTGGCATCGTCGGTACCATAATAAGTGCGCAGATCGTCGATCGCCTAGGTCGCCGTGTCTGTCTTATGGGTGGTGCAGCAGTGCTATTTGCTGTCAATATGATTGTATGTCTTTACTTCCACGGAAATTGCGGTGCCTATATCTAACTAAATCCCAGGCTGGAGCTGTCTACGAGGGCTCATTGCATAATCCTAGCATGGCTGCTCATTATGCCCCAGCGGCTATTACTATGTTGTTCTTGTTCAATATTGGGTTAGTTAAACACTTCCGATCGTTATCTTGTTTACCTACGCAAATCTGACGTCTTCTAACAGTTATGCTGCTACATGGGGCACTGTCGCGTTTTTGGTCCCCACGGAAATATTCCCCTCTGACTTGCGAGCCCAAGGCAATGGCTTCGGCATCACAGGGTGGGCTATTGGGGTGGGCATGACCACTTTGGTCAATCCCATTATGTTCGACGCCATGAAGGTAAGATCAAGCCATCCTGTTGTAGATGACGCTGACCAATTTTTTCCAGAGCCGCACGTATTTTCTCTTCGCTGTCCTTAATTTGATCTGGATACCCATCGTGTATCTCTGTACGTTCCTGTACGAATAAGAGCATTGGAAAGACCAAATCTAATAACAGTTATAGTCTACCCTGAAACCCGCAACCGTTCCCTAGAATCGATTGAAGCACTCTTTTCCACCCCTAGTCCATTCTACTGGAAGATGGAGCAGGCATATGCTCTGCACGGTGATGTCCTGGTGGAACATGGAGTCAAAACGAATGATCACCTTGATTCTACTAAGAATCAGTTGACATTATTTGAGAAACCGGAGGAGCAGAGGATTGTTTGATGCTCTGAATCTGCAATGCAATTCATTGAACCAAGGTAAGAGAGTTTAGCAAGATTGAAGTTGAGTTCGTCTATCCAATTACACTGACTGATCCTCGAGGGTAGTCAACTTCTATCGTCCTTTGTGGTGTCCATGCCCAGAGATCTAAATCCCACAGCCTAAATGACGGAACAGAGGCAGCCAGCAGTGGATCCCGGAGAACTGAGATAAGTTAGTATTAATCCGCATGTATTAGTCATTATTATGCCCACATAAATTGCCAGATACGGGCTTTATAGCAATTCAGACTTGTTGATATCCAATTGGTGCGCACCATGATTTACTAAGCAGTATTTCTACATCAACCACCTAGTTAATCACTATAATAATACGATCAAAATGTAGCGAACTGAATCTGGTTTACTAGAATTAACTAATATTTAGTATACCACCCCTTTGGTTTGCGCAATGCAGCTATACGCCTAGGCATACTAAGAATCAGGCTATCAATCTTGCCCTGATCTAATGCATTCCAAGCAGCTTTCAAACACTCTATGAAATACTGCCAATTATCTCTGGAAACATGCTAAATAATTTGATTTTAACATGCGCCAGACCGGTTCAATCGGTTTCATATCACGCGAGTGTGCGGGCCAATCGGTACTTCAATGCTATGCGTTTCAAACCAATCTTTCACCATATTCGATTTATGAATCGTCGTTATCTTGTTGAAAGATAGTTCCAGGTGTATAGATCGGTATAAGACCCTCGTCGAGCGCAGCGATATAGGAATTCGCTGCATATCCTTGCCGAGGTGCTTCTTTATCCCGTTCCATAACCACTAATTCAGATCGACCACCAAGCCATATAGCACCCCATACCATCTGAAAAATATCGCGTACACGAGGGATTAGGTTCTCTAAATCACGCCTATATGCTTCAGACCAAAATCGCCAGACCCATTCGCCACCAGAACCGGTTGATTTAGAGTGTCTTTGAACGGAGCATTCATCAGAAAAGATCCACGTATTTCACGCGCGAAATCCTCAATATTTTAAAGCAAATCGATATCGCTGTCGTGCACCAAGAACAGATAAAGGGATTCGCTTCCTCGCACGGCGTTTATGAAGACCGTATCCTAGTAGAATCGATCGAATTGTTGATTTTGATAGAGGTTGATGTGATTGCGATGCAAGGGTGATATAGCTCCACTGGGGATTTCGGCGAGCAAGATGATATACCTGGCGTTTAGCCCGATAGCTAATTACGCTAGGCCGACCGCTACGAGGTACGGATTCAATCGATTAGTGTTGCTGAAAGCGCTTCAAAGTATCGTAGATTGTACTGCGTGCGCAGCCGAATTGGGTAGCGAGCACGGTAGGCGATCCTCCACCCTCTAGAGCTATAATTATAGCCGATCGCTGCTCAGTGGATAGTTCAGCCTTTAGTCTGCGATTACCACTGATTTCGGTGCCGAAACAGCGAACCATGGTTGCATGGTAGAAGAAATCAAATAGGTGGTTGAACGCGTTTCCTGAAAACGCGCTAAAATTTTAGCGTGTGTCGGGAAACTTATTGAACGGATTGTAAGATATTTTACCTAGGGAAGAAATAGCAGGTAGGTGAAGGGCCCCTCTACTAGGCAAGGCTATCCCCGTCACGTGACTACCACCGAGCTTTAGAAGAAATCGGGTTTAGTATTTCATCCTTAGTAGATTCAAATATATATAGTAAGGATATATATTCTTGTTACGATATAGCTGACATGAGGTTATCCATAAATGCCGGTGCCTTAGGCTACCAGGACCCTGGTAAGCCTCCAAGCTTTCGGTGGAGGTTCACTAGAGCCTCACTGCTAGTACGTGTACGGACTCCTGCAAGGAAGGCCCTTGTAGAGGTTACACAAGCATCGTGTTTCCCCGCTCTCATTCCCCTACTAAGGATACATCTCCTTCCTGTTTTGAGCGATATAACTGTATATAAATTGATCTATGGTAGAGTTTACATTCTTTGGGAACCAGTCTTTGACCTTTCGGAGCAATTGACTTAATTTCTTTGGTTGACAGGCCTCTATCCTGACTTATAGAGTATCTTTACAATTCTAGGTTAACTTAGTGACATTTATTTGGAATAGACTAGGTAGGGGGGTTCTAGAGAGGCCAGCCAAGATTGGCACTATTTAGCGTAACTATTGTGTTGATCACGCCCGATAGCGTGGAGAATGACGAGTTTGTGTATTTTGTGGCCCGACAGCGCATAGTACAACGGTTGGATCGGATCATGATTAATGAGTGCCACGTGGTGTTAAACTAACAGGAGCGATTCCGGTAATGACAAAATATACATATCTAGATTTGATGATAGATTTAAAGAAAGCTGTGTACTGCGTTGTGACCATGAAGCTTCTCAAATACAGTTATCAACAATGTGACAGCTACGGAGTACTTGGAAAGGGCTAATCAAAGCAACGGAATCGGAAAGGGGCGGTTGATATTGAATTGATTGAATGATTGATTGAAAAGAACCATGAAAATGAGGGCGCTCGGGGGGGTTGAAATACCCCCGAGCTTACAGTATAGTGGCAGGCCAAGGATGTTGTAATTCCCTGCTGCCCAATCTCAACCGATGTGGTTGGTGGTCGCCATACAAAAGTGTTGCCTTATATACATGCATGAATTTGTCATGATGCACACCGCTGGTTGCAATTGGAGCAACAACCCATATGGGTTGACAACAATCAAACTATGATCTGGTCGTCCTTATCGACGGCTTCAAGGAGATCCTGGGCTTTTCGAAATTGGATCCCTTGAAAATATCTCTCCCTTTGATCCTGGACCGTGGCATCATCAAAACAAGCTGCTCCCGTGACAGAGAAAAGTTGATATTCAGCGAAAATAGCGCCCTCACCTCCACTCATCGCCTCCTGCTCTATCTCCGTCACGTCTTTATAAGATACAGAAAGCGCAGGATACTTCTCAGTGAAGGTGCGACTAATTTCTGCCCAGGTTGTCTTCTCCCCGGTGATGTAGGTGTATTTGTCCCACTTGGCGCTTTCCAACAAAGCGACAAGACTCTTCGCTACATCCCGGGCACATGTGACATTGAACGGCTCGCGTCCAGTGCCTGGGATGACCATTGTTTGATTGGCGACGTCAATTGGAAACGCAGGCCCAATATCTTTGAGATATCGATTTTTGCTCGGGACGACGTAGTCAATCAACCAGCCCACAGAAACCAATGTCCACTCCAACTCGGCTTGCTCACGAAGCACTTTCCGTACAGGCTCGCGTGTGCGGAAGTAGAACTCGGGCTGATGGGGGTGTGTTTCAAGGTTTCCCCCAAACTCAGAGGGGATGAAGCGCTTGCAGATACGGCTCTGCTTGCACGCCTCTATCAGGGCAAGGTGTACATTTACATACCCCTCTGAATAGTCGAGAATCGTAGAGATCATGCCTTCGCAATCCGAAATCGCATTAAGGATTGACTCCACTGAGTAGTCAATTACCGCCTGTGTCACCTTTGGCAGACCATTCAGTCGAGGTTTCAGGCTGCGGGATAATACCACCACATCATGGCCCTTTGCGGTGAACTCCTCGACGAGATAACAGGCCAGATCACCCGACCCTGCGACTGCTAAGCGCATGTTGACAAATTGGTTTCCGGTTGCACAACCAGTATGATTTCAAGGTAGGCTGACCACACCAGTATTCACAGACCGAATACTTAGTGAAAGAAAAGGAAAGGTAAGATGAGCAAAGAGGACAGGTGGGAGGTTTGAGCGATTCTTAGCAGGGTGACAGAATGAGGAAGTGCTTGCAGAAAAAAAGCATGGAATTGGAAGAGGGTTCAGCGGTTTCTATAGTAATAAATGGAAACATACTGGGATCGAGAAAAAGGGTCAGCCTTCGCCGAAATAGGTAATACAGCGTGGAGATTTTGCTTGAATTCGACTTTGCCACTAAATCTACTCTCAAGGCTGATTAGCAATCTTCATATACAATCATCAATTCTTCCACATCAGTATTACGAAGCAAAGTGTCAATCTTATGGAATAGATGAAGAAAGTGGGGAACGATTGGTCATCCCATAGGGTCCGCGGATTCCGAAATGCTGCCAAAGGAGCAGAAGCAGAGATAAAAGGGTTAGGTGATTAGAAGGGATTTCTCGTTATATAATCTAGTTTTCCGTCTAGCTATGGTGTTCTGCCGGCAAATCTTGATATTTTTCGGTCGGATCTTTTGCATCTTTTAATCTGATAGCTAGTTCTACCTAAATGTCATATAATATCCTAGAATTATCAGGTGGAAGACCGTTACCCGATGGGGTTAAATTGGTAATTAACGGGAGTGAAAGGCTTGGCAGGAATCAGGCAGAAATCAGGCCCCACTAGGTGCGGCCAGCATTTCGACTAGGTCCCAACAGCGTCACCCTATAATATATATAGAAGTATGTAAGGAACACCTCTGCTATATCTTTTGCTATTATATTCTTTATTCCGATTAGAATTACGCCCTTCGTTAACTGGTCTATTATTACTATACAATTCGTTACTCCTGTAGGATTAAAGGGTAGTAACTCGGTGATAAAGTCTACTAATATTTCGGCCTAGATTCGCTAGGGGATTACTAGTAGTTTTAATAACCTATACTTTGTGTCTTGCTATACAGAGCGTCGTCTATAAACTATACAGTTCTAGAGGAAACGTTGTACGTCTTTCGCTGCTCCTAGCTAGAAGAACCGTCGAGATAGTATCTGTCGGATTTACGCCGTGTGCATAAACCCTAGGGGGTGTGCTTAGACGCGCACACAGGTCGATCGAATACCACGATTATGGAAGAGAGACGAAAGTGCAGTAGAGGTGAGTCGGCAGTGAACAGGTTGAACAGTGGAGGGTCAACACAATTTAATCAGAATTGCCTTGAGCTCTATTCGTGAGTGAAAATGGTCTCAAACTTGTTTTATTTAACTAGGGAAACAGGCAGTATTTATAACTTTGGATACATGGCAGAATGTCAAGGAAAAAGACTGATAAAACTCAGAGTAACATGGGGGAATACGAGAGTGTTAGGAAACTCGTTGTTCTTTCCATTTGATAAGATAGTTGATATCTTATCATCGCATTGTGTAGTGGTGATTATCCGACTGGTCCGATGTGTATCGCTTATCAACACGCTTAGTGCGGGGTATCGCACATCCACATGTTGACAGTGTATATACTTAGTCGCTAGAGGCCTCTTTAAGACCTCGAAGAGGCCTTTAGTAGGCGTAGAAGCAAAGATTCGTAAGGTAAGTATGATTATATATCTTCCCGGTGATAGAATCTATTCATATACCTAGTCCGTTTCAAAATTTTCGTAGGTGCCCCGTTAAGATTCGGATACCTTTCGATCCCCCTTACTTTTCGTCTTTTCTTTTTACTATCGTATCGTTGCCTTATCGTCGTCTCCTCAGAAATATCTCTTCTAAGGCCTCTAAGCGCTCTTCACGATACGATTTCTACTCTCCTAGCTTCAGGGTTAGCAGTAACACTTACACGAAGCGTATCAGGATCGCCGGTTCAATCTGAATCGACGCTAACGCCTACAGTACCCTTAACGCTAGTATTAAGTAGCTTAGTTGCCTAGTTACATTCAAATGCGCGATTCTCCTACCTTTCCTCGGTTGCCGGAACTGCAAATGCTGCTCGGTTAGCTTGGATATCTCGCGAAACTAGCGATAAGCAACCTCTAAAGAAAGTGGAAGGGAAAATCTAAGTTTTTGTTACCTTCTACTTCTAAGAGAGTAGAAAGGACATCGTGGAGCTTTAAGGTAAGTATAAAGCTCTTCTCTGATAAGGCCTTAATGAGGCCTCGATGAGGCCCTTAGGACTATCTACTTACTAATTTTATGGCTACTTCTAGGATGCCTCTTCTATAAACTCCCTACTGATAAGATATACGTGAGTATCCAATGTTTGGATCTGAGCTCCTTCACAGCCTCGACCGAAGGGCTTTAGAACAATCTGGTTATACTTAGAAGTCTGGAGATCAATATCTTCTTGCTAGTGGGGTTCAGCGAAAGGGCAAAGGACCGCTTTGTCCTGATTTTATCAGCGATTCTAATCCTGATATTGAAATATACGGTGACTTCTGTGAGCGATCCTCCGTTAACAAGGCAACTCGACGACGCTGTATATACGTGGTGATTCAGAGACCGGAGGCCTCCGCTGAGGATGAGGAGGAAGGCCTGCCTTCTCTTGAGGATATCCTCCGGATCCCTTCGGTGGCTCCGGTTGCTCTAGTGGCCCCTGGTCAGGGTGAGGATGAGGTTGCTGCAGTTGCTCCGATTAGGCGAGCAAAATCGTCGAAGAGACGCTAGCGGGCTGCTTCTCCTGTTCGACGTAGCTAGCGAAGGGTGCGCAGGAGGATTTAGAGGGGGAGGGTGCTTCGTGGAAGGGGTAGTTATCATTTTATCTGTCAATTCAAATCGTCAGTTCAAATTGCATTTGCGTAATATTTTGATCAAATAAGTTGTGGGGTTTAATCGGCTCAAATCGAATGACTTATGGGCCATCAAAATCGATGAAAATGGAGGCCTCTGATTGGCCAATTCAGAATTCCTTATGTAATTCTTCAGGCAGTCAGGCAGCTATGTGGCGTAGTGGGTTTTCTGCCGTCGAAAATGGAGAAAAAAACGCCACTTTCCAAAGGTGGCCGCTACTGGCCACCGTAACCGCCTAACAGATCCGCGAATGAACTCATCATCATTATCACACCATATCTGAGAAAGTCATAGCTGAAAATGGGGTTTTGTCAGACTCTGAGGATGCACTGCTGAATTGCCTAACGGATACGTATTTTGCAACAGGGATGATGATAGCGATCTATCGCCACTACGCAAGGAAGCAGGGAAGAGAGAGGAACAATCTAGTTCGAAGACATGGAGAACTATCTCTGCAGAAGAAAGGGAACAAAGGAAGGGAAGGCCTAAATAGGCCGAAGCAGAACAATCAACCTGGCCCTGAAATCATCCTCTAGGAGAATCCCGACCGGGGGATTCCCTCGAGGGAGATCTCTATCGGATCTCCATCAGATGACTTTGCCGTTACATCGTTTGTATCGATGCTTTCCCTACCAACGCATCCAAGTCGAGTGTCTGTCTTGTGATATTGGCCTCCAACATCGCCATGTATTCAAGGAGCCCTGCCTTTCCTGGACCAATCTCGTTTTTTGAGATACCTGCAAGCTCACTGTCTATCACGGAAGATGGGCTTTGGTCACCTAAGTACCGCATTCTACCCAGCTTACGAGACATTTCGTAAATCTCGTTTCCAGAGCTGGTGGCCTCGTTCAGCAAGGTGTCTGGGCTCGAGCTTATGGTTCCAAAGCAAATGCCATATAGGGAGCAGAAGCACTCATGCGGAATATAACAGGCAACGGAGTTTGAGGTCCCTTGAAATATCATATGCCATGTGCGCTCAAACACGCCACCAGCCTGGAAAGACTTAAGCTGAGTATCAATAATCCACTGCCGCAGTGCCTTAAGCCTATCCAGCGGCACCCCCGTGCAGTCTGGCGCGTTAGAGCAAACTGCGCCCCGTCAGGGCATCCCAGAGACAATGGGATAGGCTGGCTTGGGAATATAGCATCCCATATCTCCTGGAACTTATCATATTGGCTCTCTAAGCTTCCTTTGCCGTGCCTCTCACGAGTCAGTATATACGATGGGTAGCCTTGATCAGTTGCCTTGAATAGATTGGCACAGCGGAAGCTCTCGTCACACAGCAGGTTGACAAATCCTTGATCACGGACAAAAGACCTGCGGAGGCGCCGAACCATCGGCTCAGACTTGAAATGCAATATGGCATTATTATGCCATGAGGTTCTTCCAGCGTGCATAAACACCATTAATTCCGGGAGAGCGTCATAGTTATCGATCAGGTAAGATAGATATACCATTGCTTCGTCACCCTTATTCATGGGAATGGGCGCATTCGGGTCATCGGCAACGTAGATGACCAGGTCATCACCAAGCCGGATCCCAGATTGTTGTGCAAGCACCGTTAGATTGTCCCGTTGGACCGCTGCAAGGATGACAGTGAGAGGGCAATCTTCCTGACTTTGGCCAGGGACTTCGGTCGAGAACGAAGCGGGAGGTGTCCAGCATAGATTCCTGAGTAAAAGCAGAATTGAGACGCTCAAAACGAGGAGCCCGGCAATGTGCTTGCGTCGCCTAGGACCGACCGTGGGAATACTCATAGGGGCTGGTTGATTTGCGCCCCTTTATGGAGCGGTGGTAGAGATAACGCTCAATCAAAGACCAGCAGCTGCATACACCATAGGCGTAAAAAGAGGTTCCTAACTGATCTGATTCTATGAAGGGACTCCCGTACTGATATGACACAAATGTAGAAAAACATCAGCAGGAAAATTGAAGAACAGTTCTTTCCCAATACTTCGGGCAATAGTCAACCATATTCAGGGGCTCCTCAGGGTTCTAGATTCTGAGTAATGCTGCTTACTGTGCCCTCCGTTCCTTACTGGTTGAATTTGAGGACCCCTTATTATAGTCTGTTACCAACTATCAGGCCTACGACTCCTGCATAAGTCGGTGGCGAGCTAGAATTCCACAATAATATCGTAATGATTCTTTATGCTTGCTGGCTTGTTCGCTGTATTAGTTGGCTCGCTGTGTGGGAAGCTTGGTCTTAATCGAGAAGCTTTGAATTTTCACTAAAAACATTGAAAAATCAAGAAAGAAGTCCGAATCAACCCCACAAAGACCATTTTCAGCGACCTCACGACCTATAGATGGATTAGTTCATTGATAAAAACGGTATGAAACCGGTCAGTACCGGACTGGACTAGCCTATCCCGCGACCCCTGTACTTGAAAACAAAATAATACGCGCTAATACATAGTAAGGTTGCAAAAGTATCCAACGCCCCCGGAACTTTATTACCAATAAGTACCTAATTTCCGCCGGTTCAACCTCCAGTACCGGATAGCTACTAGCAGAAGTAGGCCGTTTGTGCGTAGTGGTGGAGGTTAGGGTATACAGCAGATCGATTATACGATGGTCGGTGTCAATGATAATGTTAGCGTGGTACTTCCACCCCTACTTCATGACTAATATTCTGCCACCCTTTTATTACGACTTCACGTAATTAAACCACTATAATACAATATATTACCGCCTAGTAAGGTGTATGACCCCCCTGCGCGTCGATAACAGCCTGGCAGCGCTTCTGCATCAGATCAATCTGCTGGTCTAAAAAGCTTGTAGGAATCGCATCCCAAGCAGCTCGCACAGCCTCGCGTAGCTGATCATAAGATAGCTTACGATCATAGTCTTTCAAATATCGATCACCGATCCAATCTTTTATCCAATCCCAAACCTTCTCAATTGGATTAAGATCTGGCGAATACGGTGGCCAGTCGATAGGGTATATCCCACGATCGTGAAGCTCCTCAATAGTTAAGAGATTTCGATGAGATGGTGCGCCGTCTTGCATTACAATTAGATGTTGATCTAAATGATTGCGAGCCAGCGAAACCATACCGTCGATAAGAGGCACAATTCGCTCTGTATATCGAGCAGCAGTAATAGTGCCCCATTCCTTCTCCCAAAATAGACAAGGGCCTTTCTTATTATTATAGAATGAGCCCCAAAACATCCAGCCAGGTGCACGAGAAATTCGCTCTCGTATACAAGTATCATCAAATTCCTCACCAGCCCGACGCGTAACATAGATCCGTCGATGATAGACCGATGTAACCCAGGTCTCATCAGTCCATAATATCTTTTCCCACTGCTCACGCGTCTAATTAACGTGCTCTAGCGCCCAGATTAGACGCAGTGCTCGTGTACGGTCGGACAAAGGAGGCTTTCGAAGGGCCTTACATCGATGATATCCACGTCTAGCTAAGGCCCTTCGTAAGGTGACAGAACTAATAGGGAGTTGTAGTTCTTCTATAACCCTAGAGTACGGCATCCGTCGTGTCTCTTTCGAAGATGAGATAAACTCGATTATCTCATCAAGCTGTTCTTCTGATAGCTTTCGACCTCGGCCAGGGGCCTTACGTGGTGTAGGCCTCTCATCAGTGCAAGCCTTTTGGACCTGACGCTGGGTAATGCCCAGTTTTGATGCAATTTGGCTATAGGTAAGCCCCTGAGCGCGCAGTGTACGCGCTGCGATGCGCTGATCACGACTAGCTTTATGGCTAGGGGTATGAGGGGCCTGGGGGGCCTGGGGGGTATGATCGGATCTTTCGTGATTAGTCTCCATGGTAGGTAGGTAGGTAGGAAGGTAGGTGGCTAGGTGGCTAGGTGGAAGGGTTTGAAACATATGGTATTGCCCTAATCCCTATTCGGAAGGCGGTTGGAGAGGGTATTAGTCATGAAGAAGGGGTGAAAGTACCACGCTAACATTATCATTGACACCGACCATCGTACTTGGAACGCCACTGTAATGAGAGGCAATTCTTGCCTTAAAATACGCCAAATTATGGGCCGCGGGTACACAGAATAACGTAGTTCCCGGCTTACCTGATAACCCGGTTAACCCGATAACCCCAAAACACCATACTAAATGGGATTTTTCATAATTTCATATTTCAACCCCAAAGGCCAAGAATGTCATCTTAGGGATACCGTAGTGTTTGATATACCATGCTAAGTATATTTATTAGGTCGAGAAATTTTTCCAAGTGGTATAATATTAATATATATATCTACATCACTGGACCGGAGTGTAATTTTGGTAATATAGGTAATTAACCCTTTTCAAAATATTTGAGTCATGCTACACCGTTTTTAGTGCTCAGAATTTATATGACACTATAAATCAAAGAAAGAAATGCTTCTAGTTGTTGATATGCTATGACCTAAAAAATTGCATTTAGTATGGTGTTTTGGGGTTATCGGGTTAACCGGGTTATCAGGTAAGCCGGGAACTACGTTATCGACTTTTCGGCCTATACGCCTAGATTAGTCAGCCCAATTAGGTCGGCCTATCAGTGTTTATTCGCGGTACGATTCACCTATACATGATCGGATCGATTATGTTGAGATGAGGGATAGGGTCTAGGAGAAGCAACAGCATATGCCAGCAATTGGGTAATATGTGAGAGATGTCTTAAACTATATAACCTCTGAGCGGAAGTGTGCTATACACATTTCCCGAAGACCCACGTTACCGTATGAGGCTAGTGTGCCTCAGGGAGGACTACCTACTATCTACTAAGGCCTCAGCGGCATTGAAGACCGCTGAGACCTCAACAGATTATATAGAACCCTGCAAACCATGTCTCTTACTCAAAAGCTGCAACTACGGAGGCTGTATGTGTTTTCAAAGCTTCTAAATAATAATGAACTAATATTCATACCATGGCCTGGAAGAGGACGTGTACTATCCACACCTATTTCGACAGGGTTCGTTTTCGTGGTAAGTCAAATAGTGTCATCACCCGATTTCTTTCCACTGGCGACACTCGGTCCCTTTGGATATCCTTCCGAGGCTGACTCTGGTTCTTATACTCAAAATATAGCCATTACCTCCTATAAACAGACCGTGACTCTTGCAAATTCAAGGCTTCTGCGGCCAACTTCATCGGCGGATAGCCATATCCTAGGCTGTCCCAAAAGGAGCCCCCTAATTTCGCCACCTAGCGATCCAGGCACCCTGAATGCCCGACGAGTATGTCCATGTGAAATAGCCACCGTTGAAGTCTTTAAAGTCCACTTCTCCACCAGTGTACTTGATAACAGTTTCTATACAAAGAAAATACTATCAGTTAGTGACACCATTACCAAACTTGCAGTCTCCCTTCACTTACCATATTTTTCCATGCCCTCAAACACGACACATTTGGTACCATCAGGGAAACCAGCCCATTCTGTATTGGGGTTCAATGCGCTTTCCAGTGAAAACCAGTGACCATCATGCGAACAGTGCACATCGGGGTAGCTGGGAGAGTGAGACGAAATTTCCGAATAATGTTATCTAAGGGCAGTATACGCACGTCGTGAAACTTTGCGCCGAAACTAGCGCTGGTAAAGCGGCAAGGAGGGCAAGGGTGAATCGAGCCATACTATAAATCGTTTCTTGCAAAAAGCTGAAATACTAGTTCTGCGGCTGTTTAAGGTTGGTAAAGGTCCTACATTGGGGATTCTCTGCATCATATATATACGGACAGAGAAGAGTGAATACTAAGGAGGCAAGCAATAACTCGTCAGGGGTTCCAGGTCTATGGTCGTTCTATTGGGCCTCGGGGACAAGGGTCGTCCCCGAGAGTTAGCGTGGATAGGGAGGTAGCGTTCCTATCCCACCTGCGGCCGCTCTTATCCCACTAGCGGCCGCTCTTATCCCACTAGTGGCAGTGCTAATAAATAAGGTTGGTCCGACCATACGCCATTAGCCGGCCGAGCATACTCCTGTTGCTGCCACTGGTCATGTATTCTTCGATGTCTCAATGAGTTAAGCCGCATGAAACCCTAATTCCTACTAGTGCTGACCTTGAGGAGACTAATTGTGAATTAATGATAATAGGAGTTTTATGAAATTTATCGCTCACGTCAGATTGGAACATCTTATGTGACCCGTGTTGCAGACTGGCGAATATTTCACTGGTCATGCATGGAGATTTACGCACAAAGACTATGTTTCACAAGGTGAGGGTGAAGGCTGAATGGTCAAGATAGACAAAGAGTAGTGGCGACCTCGGAGATAACACAATTGGCCGAGTCTGACGAGAGATTTTATCCTCGGTTAGAAACGATTTCAGACAAGAATACGTTGGTAATCCAAAGTGGTGGAGCTTTCCCACCGAAAGGGCATTTGATGCGGTTGTTGAGAATCAACTACGTTAAAATTAGCGTTTGTCTGAAAGAATTTGTCTAAGTTGATGTAGTTACGGAGTACTAGGGATTAGCTAACTAGAGCAACGGAATCAAAAAGGAGTGGATTGATATTGATTAAAGTAAAGTCATCCGAATTAAAGAAGAAATATAAGATGAGGACGTTTAGGGGGTTTAAAATATCTCCAAGTAGATAAGATAACCAAGGTCACTAGTCGTTGTGTTACTGTTGCTTTGTGCTGTGCGAATATTAAAATCTGCGAATATTAAAATCTATTAGGGATAGGGCGGCCGGTGTGGATTTCACAGATATCCAGACGTTGGCCACACGTTGGCCACTTAGACTAGCAGAAACGCCTTAGCAGCAGCTGAGTCGACCCTCCGACACCGAAGAACACCAATATCCTACGCCGTTTTCGCTTTCCGCAAAAACGCCTTGACCGATGCTGCAAATGTCTCTGGGTCTTGCAATGGGCTATTCAAATCGCTGTGAGATGGAGACAAGCACCTGTGAAGACTACAAAGGAGACAAGGAACTTACGCAAAGTGGCTAACGCCAGGTAGGATCGTAAGCTGCGAATTTGGGATCTACCCACGTCAGCATCAATTCTGCCATGCCCTCACCGATATGCCAAAACAAGCATAATTACCATCGCATGAATCTCAATGGGCGCAGTGTGAACAATCGCCTCCTCATAATCCCCCGCAGCAACAAGTACAAATGGCGCGTCACCACACTTTCCGAGAATGGGAATCTTTCCAAAATCCTTCTTGACAGCGCCCACGGCACTGCTGGCACAGGAAGCGAAGAGAGAGAGAGAGGGAGACTGAGTCAAATTGGTCTATCTAGAGCATGAAGACGAAGACGACTAGGAAAAAGGAAGAAGAAGAAGAAGCAGAAGGGAACAGAACAGGGTCTATAAGGCCCTGAAGCACAAAGGAAAGGAACAAGGCCTGGTCCTGACAGGAAAACCCCGGCCTGCTTCATGCAGGGCCAAAGAAGACGACAAACCCTGCAAACCCTCGAGGTCAAAGGGATCGAGTCATCACATCCCCCACAGGGCCTAGGCCGAAGTCACCAAAACCTTCTTGTGACTGAAGCAGTTTGAACACAATCTTCTTGGTGATAGAATCAAGTAAACAGGCTTAGGAAATACCATCTTTTGACAGGAAACAATAGTAAGAAATTATGCAGGAGAGCATTAAAAATGAACAATTTGTAAACATGAAATGTGTGAAAGATTGCAATTTGGTCAAATATGATAATCACCAAGGAAATCAATTCGTCAAGTCTGGGGGTTTCGTCATGCACAGCAATTTATCACGATCGTCTTCAAAAACACTATGCGGCTTTGCTTTCGTCAAGATATCCGCTGCATTCTTTTTGCTGGGAATGTTGATTAATGCAACGAGATTCTTTTTCACCAAATCGCGCACTAAGTGATATCGAGTATTGATCCATGACACTTTAGTGCTCAACTTGCCGTTGGTGACAATTCTTATCGCATTGTCGGAGTCACAATGGAGCAGGAGTGGATTCGTTTCAGGGTCATCTTCATTCCATGGCGGGGAGAGTGTCAAATCGGCAGCCAATTTAGCCAATGCAATACCCTCTTTGACAGCAGTGCTCATTGCACAGTATTCAGCCATTGTAGAGGATGTTGCAACGATATCCTGTCTATGGGAGGACCATGAAACCGGTGCGCCTGCAAAGAACCAAATGTAGGCCTCGGTGGATTTACCACGTTCAGCATCAGCGTATGACGAATCAACAAAACCTTCTAGTCCCCGGGTTGGGTCTCTTCCAAATGGTATTCCAAGGTCAATTGTGCCTGAGAGATAGCGGAGGAGGTCTTTGTATGCATTGGCATCTTCCTTTCGTGGAGATTTATTGCGCCTTTGCAATTTTGACACAGGAGCTGCAATATCTGGTCGCATTTTGATTGACAACCATCCGACCTTGCCCATTTTCCTCGCATAGTCGAGCTTGTCAATGTTGTCAACCACATCGTCGTCAGTTGTTCTCCAAGAGGGATCCATTGGAATTGAAGCAGGGGAAGCATTGGCAAAACCTTCGTCAGAAATCAATGTTGAAAGGTAAATCTGTTGGTTCATGAAGATAATGCCTTTCTTTTGGTCATGGAAAATGTCACATCCCAAAAATCTTTTGAATGGTAGGATCTTCAGCTTGCGCTTCAAAGCCATTGCATCGCGAATTCGCTTAATTTCACTGTCAAGGCCAGTAGAGAGTACATCATCAACGTAGATTAACACGAACGTGTTTTTCTCATGATTCGTGTAGATGCACGGTTCAGTCGGCAATGGTGTCAAGCCAATATCTTTCAAATCCTCATCGAACACGTTGTGCCACAGGTGGCCTGCTTGTCGTAAGCCATACAGTGCCTGCTGTAGCAATGCAACATATTCAACACCATCAGGGCTTTGGTATTCGTGGCCAGTAGGTTGTTTCATGAAAATCACTCGGTTATCCAATGCAGCATTGAGATATGCGCCCACAATATCCCATTGGTCAATAGTCCACTTCCTGGTAGCTGCTAATGTGAGAAACAATTTGGCAGCAGCATCAGAAACGACTGGGGCAAATCTCTCATCTGGTTGAAAGTCAATTCCTGGTGCTTGGCGGTTGCCACATACAACCCATCTAGCACGAAATTCCAAAACGTAGCCATCGCTGTCAGATTTTAAATCATAGACCCATTTCCCTGGCAAAATTGACGTGCCCTTTGGAGGATGAGGAACAAGGACCATTGTATTTGAAGCAGCAATTTTATCCAATTGGACTTTTTCGGCTTGTAGCCAATAGTCTGCAAAATCGGATTTCATTGCTTCCATGTGGGTGTTAGGGATCTTCACCATTCCCGTGCGAAAGCGCTCTGCTGCACAACAAGCAATCCCATCACCTACTGTTACTTCTTCAATTGCAATTGATGAAGGATCCAATGCCATTGGACCTTTCGCAGGATATTTAACCATACCGGGGCCAAGGTCGGCTGGTTTTCTTTCTCTGGCAGAACGTCTAGGTTGAGTTTGTTGTGTTGGCTGTGTTGGTTGTGTTGAAACAATTGCAATTGGGTCAACAGAAGATGTTTCTCGAATTAAACGACCAATTGGTGATTGAACAGAGTGTGGAATTGGGGATTCAATTGGTAATGAGGAACTTCTTGGAAATCCACCTGGGGCAATTGGTGTGGGTAATGATGGTTGTTGAAAATTTTCAATGCTTGGAATTGGTAAGTCGGGATCTTGCTCACGCACAACTTCACTAAACAATCTTTTTGCTGGCGTATTTGGCGGCAATCCACGAACTGTGTGAGGTCGAAGTTGTTCAATTGGGGGTAATGAAGCTAATGGAATAGCTGGACGAGTTTGTTGAATTGGTAAAAATGAAATATTTGAAACATTCTGATTTTCTAAAAATGAAGATTCACGAGAAGATGATTGAATTGGTGGAGATGGAGCAATTTGGGTTTCTGAAGTAGGTGGAGATGGTTGAAAATGCTGAATCCTTGCCTTTGGCAATGCAATTGGTCTCGTAGTAGTCTGAAGTGGTAGGGTAATTGCTCTTTGATGCATTGGTGCATTTGGTTGTAGCACCTCAATTGGCATTGGTGTCATACTTGGTTCAACATATTCATGAGCAACAGGACTCGAATGATGCGATTGCAATTGCGATTGAGGTTGAGTTGAAGGTTGAATTGAGGCTTGAGGGGATCTTTGTTCATGTTCAATTGGAATCTCATCTTTCTTTCTCGAAATTGTCAAAGGGTGGCGTTCGCGAGGTTCATGAGGTTTTTGCTGGTCAATTGGAATTGGATCTTCCAACCTTGGTAAATGGCGAATTGGCAATGGTTCTTCCCAAAATGCAACATCACGACGGAGAACCACCTGTCTTTTCGAAGGATCGTAGATTCTGTAGATATGGCCATTGTTGCCCTCGTATCCAACTAAATAGCCAATCCATGCGCGTGGTTCCATCTTTTTACCTTGCACCCTCTGTTCTTTGGGGATATGAACATAGGCTTTGGAAAACCAGACACGCAGGAAACCTAAGTCAATTGGGCCAGCTTCACGAAGTTGCAAACCGTTGTTCCACTTTTCTATTGGAGATTCAATTTCACCTGGTCGGCGAATTCGATTCAACACGTAGGTTGTCGCCATTGCTGCTTCTGGCCAAAGGTAGGCGGGCGCATTGGGTGCGGAAATCATAAGGGTCCTTGCTCCTTGCATCACAATGTGCCCAGAGGATTCGGCAACACCATTCTGTTCGTGAGTAGCCGGGGGAGAGATTGTAAACGCAGTACCTTTCTGCTTGATCCATGCAATGAATCTCAAAAAGCTCAGATCGCCATCAGTCCGTATTTCAAATGGCCAACAGCCCACAATGTTAAAGATTTGGGTTGCCCAATCAATCAAGACGTCGGAGGAACTGCCCTTCGTCTTAATTGGTATTGCCCATCTTCGTCGAGTTGCATCATCGCAAATAATCAGGGCATGATCAATTCCTCCAATCCCCGTTGGCTTACAAGGCTGAAGATCAATATGAAGAAATTCAAATGGTTTAGTTGCACGCTTCTGAGGTGTGTGTGAAATGATCTTCTTTGACTTAGCCAATCGGCAGGGTTCGCAATTGAATTCATGGTCGCCTTGCACTTCATCACCAATTCGATGATGATTGATTTTGGCCGTGGGTTGACCAACATGACCCAAACGAAAATGTGCTAGCTCTGGCGAAATTGTCGCAAGTGAAAAGGCTTGAGAAACACACTTTGGCGCAATTAATTCAGTTGACAATGATGGTCGAATTGAAATTGTGTGTAAAAATGGCACACCACGTTGACGAAATGCATATGCCTTGATAATGGATTCATCCCAAGGGTCTACCATCACATTCTTCCAATCTTTCCAAGCCAATGCGTTGTCGTAGTAGGCCCTGGTTGTCGAAAGCAAGTTGAATGGTCCTTCTGGCACATACTCACATTGTACGTTCAAATCAACAATTCGATCAGGGAGGACCAAATTGATTCTTGCAATTGCCTGTCCCTTAGCAACCAAAGTTCTGCCTTCTGAGGTTTGGCAAGTGTAACCCTCATTTGGTTTGTAAGGTTCAAAGTGGATGATTGCATCACCATCAACACAAATTGAGCGTGAGGCACCTGAGTCAACTATCCATTCGCCAGTAGAACGAGTAATTGTGGCCAAGGATGAGGGAAAGGGGAATCTTTGGTCAACTTCAAGGGTATTCAGTGCACAGGAGTCTATTCTACCCGCATCAAAATCATTCTCATCCCCCACAGGGATTGCTTCATTGAACCATTCGTCAGTTTCAACCATTGCTGTTGCAAAATGGTATTCAGGGCCATTTCCAAATGGTTCGACTGTCAAGCTTGAGTAGCCATGGGGGTAGTAATATGAAATTGTCTGGGCAGTTAAATCTGTTTGCAAAGAAGAAGAGGAAGAATCCTGTTGAACTGGTGGTGCATGTCCAATGACTGGTTGAGGGGATCTGTCAACAATTGACGACTGAGGATCAATCTTGTTTGAAGAAGAAATTGGTGCTTGGTTCAATTTTAAAGAAGAAGAAGGATTGGGCATATTGTGGTCTGGGATAGGTGGAACTGTTGGTGGAGTAGTGCCATCCTTTCGGATTCGGTTATCATAGTTCCAACCTTGGGGTTTTTGGCCATCCAAATTGTTTCTATTCCTCCATGGGAAATTGATCCAAAGGCCTCTTGTAGGTTTCCATGTAGGTGGACGCTTTTCATACACCAAGTGCATACAATCCTTTGCTGGGTGGCCATGCTTACCACAAAACGAACAGCAACCTTGGGGGGTAACTTGGTTTAGGCCTTCAATCCAGTCCTTAACCCATTTGCTGGCAGCTCCAACACCACCAGGAGGTTTATTCTTCAAAGGCCAAAATTCTGAATTGGAACCACCTGGATTGGAATTTGGATTGGCCCTTGACGCAAGTGCAACTGACTGGATAGATTGAAACGTTTCCAATTCGGTTGTGAGGTCTGTGCAAAGCTTGTAGAACTCACTGATGTTGAAGTCTGTCGCTTTCGCATATTTTTCATCGAAAGAAGAGTGCTTCGAAGCAACCATTGTTGGATTGTCATCACGAATTTCATGTAACAGAACTTGACGCAGGAGAATTGGATTGATTTCAACTCTCTTTGAGATTTTGGTGACGGTATCTCTAAAGGAATTGACGTAGTCAACGGCTGAAGTGTACTGGGATCTGCGAAGAGACCACCAAGTCACACAATCCTTGTTCATTGCATTGTAGCCGGTGACGTTCAACACATTTTTGAGGTTTTCAATGTATTCGTCAGCGAATTCAATCCGAAAATTGCGAGATGTTACCATTCGGTTGATATCCTTTGCAACGGATTGATACATCCAAATTTGCACATCTCGTGAGATCTTCACCCAGCGGTCAGCAAGTGGGGAGTCTCTTGGAGGTCGAGGAATTGAAGAGTCAATAAAACGCCAAAGGCCCTTTTGACGAAGAACGCGATAGACATCATCAAGCCAAGTGTCAAAGTCGTTGACATTTTCCAAATCATCAAGAGGATTGAGTTGATATTCATCAGGGGCATCAGTTGCCTGGTTTAGATTACCTTGCGAAGCTGCATTGGTAGAAACGTAGTCACTGTAGTCGACTTGTGCCGCTACAGACTTAGCGAACACAGGATCCTGGCGTTGTGCCATGGTAACAGGTTGATTAAATCAGAAGAAGAATCAAAAAGGGCTGCATAACCTGACAGCGCCCACGGCACTGCTGGCACAGGAAGCGAAGAGAGAGAGAGAGGGAGACTGAGTCAAATTGGTCTATCTAGAGCATGAAGACGAAGACGACTAGGAAAAAGGAAGAAGAAGAAGAAGCAGAAGGGAACAGAACAGGGTCTATAAGGCCCTGAAGCACAAAGGAAAGGAACAAGGCCTGGTCCTGACAGGAAAACCCCGGCCTGCTTCATGCAGGGCCAAAGAAGACGACAAACCCTGCAAACCCTCGAGGTCAAAGGGATCGAGTCATCAAATTTGGACACAAATCATGCGTAAATGGCGCTGATAGCAAGGCCACTTTGCTACTCCGTAGAGTGTCACCCTGTGCCTTGTTATGTTGGAATCCTGTCACAGCTGGCGAAATCTTTGCACAAACCTGCACTGAGGGCATGGTGTAATATGTGCTTATTACCACAAAACAGATGGCAGAGATGCCCGCGCAATGCTCTTGGGGGAGAATACAAGAGAGGGGGAAAAGTGAATGTGTAGATTGGTGTTTTTTCCATGGAACCTCATCAAATGGGAAAGGGGGTGGTTTTTGATTGAGACTTGATTAGATTACGACAAAATAAGCTGCCTTGAAATACAGTAGTACTCCGGAGAACGAATCATTGGCTGTCCGGGTCCGCCACCAGTTCAGGTCTACTTGAAGTAATGCGCTATGAACGAGGAACAACAAGATGTGATATTTACCGCCCACTAATCGACAGGCGTCCGAAGCAATATTCATCTAGATCTAGTTTAAAATGCCAATCCAAATATCCGCTACAACTAGGATGGTCGTGGCTGAGAAGACCACCCAGTACCAGTCGACCCTGTCAGCCCACCATCCATGACCAAATTCTGACCCGTAATGTATCTTGACGCATTACTTGCCAGGAACGCAACACAATTGGCAACATCAAATGCATCTCCCATACTACCTTGAGGCACATTATGCTCAGTGACCTTTTTGTAGATTTCCCGTTCTGCCGCAGACTCGCTATTGCCGAGCATCTCCAGCAACGGCGTGTACATCATTCCGGGGGAAACCGAGTTCACCCTGATCCCCTTACCAGCATACATAATACCAGTGGTCTGCGAGAAATGAATAACTGCTGCCTTCGCTGTTGCGTACGCAATCTGAGGTTTACCCAGGTATCGCATTCCAGCGACAGATGCGTTGTTAATCACAGAGCCAGATCCTTGCTTCTCCATGATAGGCAGCACGGCGTTACAGCCTAAAAAGACGGACTTCAAGTTCAGGCAAATTTGTGCATCCCAGTCTTCTTCTGACATGCTCCCAGCATCCCCTGTCAATGTTCGGCCGACGTTGTTGACTAGAACGTCGATTCGGCCGAAATGTGTCATCACTCTATCGACAACGCGCTTGATATCCTTCTGGCTTGTCGCGTCTCCTTGGATGGCTTCACAGATTCCCCCATCTGCGCGGATTCGAGCAGCTGTACGTTGTGCTGCTTCCAGGCTCCTATTGCAGGCAATGACTTTGGCACCCGATTCACTCAGGACTTTTGCGATTGCCGCTCCAATGCCCCAGTAACTGCTGATGGCATCTCCAGATTGGCCCGCTCCAATGACCAAGGCCACCTTCCCCTTAAGGTCGGGGTATATAGCGACTTGTCTGTCCATGCGAGTTAGATCGGGACTCAATCATATAGTATTACGGGGTTCCTACCGATGAATCATATTTCAGAGAATCAGAAGACAGGGTGAGTGGATTTACGTCCTTTTCGTCTGGAAAATTGAAAGAAACCCTTTTTCCATAGAGGGCTTGCTAGGTTTTATAAGGTGGGGTGAAGATAATCACAGACCACAAGAGGTGCGGCCGCACTCGCGCGGCCTAGCTCACCAATCTTGAAAAGTTGTTCCATCGCAACAAATTTAGGGCAAAATACCGCTAGACCAAAAATGCTCTATGGGCTACATTCTTAGTCTATACGGTCATTTATTCCTTTGACAGCTTAAAATACACATTTACGGAGGGCCATTTCACTATTACTGCGCCGACTCACCAGCTTAATTTACTAGTGGTAAACAGCAAAATTTGGTAGTTAGTGGGGCACCATAATCGAAGCTAATAAGAAACAGGGAACCCCGCCGACAGACTTACGGCGGTGTATAGACGCCATTCGCCAATGCATAATTATAATGCAGATTTCACCGGCAGAATTCTGATTTAGCCAAGTTCCATTAAAATTTGGCTAAGTCCCATCGCTACTGAATTCTTCTACACCACTACCTAATTTTCATGCATTATCACAAAGGTCTTAGAAATAGATCTTATGCACCCAAAAAAATACAATCAATTAGAACTATCTACTGCTGCTCTTTAAGTACATAGATTTAGGACATAGTACTAGCAAAAATGCATAGTATTCCTTATCTTCGACGTCGCTGACGCAGGTTCCTTTGCACTGTAGCTGGCGGGGGAGAATTGCGAGGTCTGCCCTTCTTTGATGCGTTCTGGCTAGCCCTGCACTGTGTAGGCTCTGCCACGATGGAAGCTGGGCCGTCCACGATGGAAGCTAGGCCGTCCACGATAGAAGCTGGGCTATCTACGATAGAAGCTGGGCTATCTATGATAGTAGCTAGGCGTTCCCTAGCTAGGCGTTCCTCTACTACGCGTTCTATATATATAGCTGCGTCTTTAGATTTAATTAATAGCGGCCTGTAGGTTAGCCTACCTTCCCCCTGCTGTGATCTTTGTATAATGATATAGAAGATAGGCACGCCCTTCTCCTTGCTCGCTACTTAACAAAGTTGCTAGATAGTCAACACTGTAGGATCACTATCACTAGTAAAACTAGTAGGTTCGAGCTAGCGCGCTGTTAATAGCCTAGTCTTACTAGTCGCAAATACGTCCTGAGCGAGTAAGGGAGTATCCTCGATATCCGCGGAGTAATCAGCGCTGCGTAAACCTTATAGTCGGCGATGTAGATCGGATAAGAAGATATATAGGGAGCTCTATTGCTGAGAGGATAATATATATATCGTAGTAAGGGTATCTATACACTAGTGATTAGTATATAAACTAGAGAGATAGGAATATAATTGAGAGAGTAAGGAAGATTACCCTTAATTAGGTGAATATCGTAACCTACTACTTTTAGGTAGTAGGTCATATTAAATATAATATCCTTATTAACCGGAGGCTTAACTACTAGTAGTAAGCGCCTAGTATAAGTATTTCGAGCCTAGCTTGTAGTACTAGAGAGAGCCGTAAAGTATATATTGAGCTGTAGCGGTGCCTGTGTAGCCGGAACCGATAGCGTACTAGTTAAAATCGATAATCTACTGCTTAGAATCGATAGTGTACTGTCACGGGTTAGACCCGCTTCTTACTATGTGGCCCTGCCACATAGCCTTCCCCGCACGTTCCGTTCTGCCACCGCCCTGTCTGCTTACTTCTATTGTTGTTCCGCTTGATCCACTCCTTCTCTTCTCCAAGCTTTTTGTAAACAGCATGTTGGCCTAGTTAGATTGAATCTAAGTCTTGCTTCAGCCTTTCACATACAAAAAGCTTCCTTCTCGTGATCGAGTCGTACTAGCCAGCCAGCCAGAATTTCGTTTTCCCCTAGCCAGACCCCCGATTCCCCGCCGAAATGGACCAGAACCAGCCCCTTTTTGCTTTAATTCAGCAACTCCAGCAACAACTCGTCGACCAGCAACGCCAGCTAGAGACCCTCGCGCCTACTCGCTCGCATTTCAGACTACCAGACCCGCCTAGATTCGACGGCCGACCATTTAGTCTAAAGACGTGGCTTCCAGCTGTTCAAGCAAAGCTACGGTCGGACGGCTTAGCCGGTCAACAAGCATTCGACTACGTATACGATCGCCTTGAGCCACCCCAGCAAGCCTCAGTCTTACATCTTCGCGAAACCAACCCGACACCCGAAGCAGTCTTCCAGTATTTCGAACGTCTTTGTCATAATCCTCGTGAGAAACAAGATGCAGTTCTCCGATTCGCCAATATCCGCCAGAAAGACGACGAAAGCCTAGTTGCCTACCTCGCCCGATTCGAACGTCTATCGCACGAAGCTAAGGTTCACCAGCAGGATCTACTTCGTACGATTACGCTACACCGCGGACTACGCCCCGCGTTACGCCAGATTCTTGAGCAGTCGTATGACACTCTATTCGATCTCGAATACGATGATTATATAGAACTACTCCAACGTCATGACCGCCGCCAGCAGCGCCCGGTCACCCAACGCCAGAACCAGACTAGCCAGAACCAGACTAGCCAGAACCAAACTCGCCAGACTCAGACTCGCCAAAGCCAGCTAGACCTAATGGACCTTGACCCAGTTCGTATAAACGCCGCCCAATCATCACCAGTTCGAGTGAAATCAAACCGCGTGCGCCTATCAAAACCGCCACTCCCACTAGGCTTTAATAACCCCGCTAATATCGCCGAGCGCGCGAAGCACGGGCTTTGCTACTACTGCGGTGCATGTAGTCACTGGATATCTGCGTGTCCTTTTCGACTTGCCGCGAATAAACGGTCTAAATCCCTCAGTTTAGATTCAGCAACGGACCAGTCCCGAAACGACCCCGATTCGTCGCCGTTTTGGAATTCAGACGGTTACGACTCAGATCACCCTTCTGACCTAGGAGGGGGGTAATGTCACGGGTTAGACCCGCTTCTTACTATGTGGCCCTGCCACATAGCCTTCCCCGCACGTTCCGTTCTGCCACCGCCCTGTCTGCTTACTTCTATTGTTGTTCCGCTTGATCCACTCCTTCTCTTCTCCAAGCTTTTTGTAAACAGCATGTTGGCCTAGTTAGATTGAATCTAAGTCTTGCTTCAGCCTTTCACATTATCTACCTCTTACTTTCGTCTCACCTGTCTATTACTTTCGCTTCATAAGTGATGGATTCGACTAATATTCAAGCCACCTGGCTTAACTACCCTTTGAAGTGCCACGCGCACTGGATCCCTTGGTATACTACGGTGTAAGACTATACACTATCGAATAGTGTGTAGAAATACACTAATCCTAATAAACAGCCTGCTACACCTCCGCAGGAGCCGATAAAGCCACAGATATCTGATGTGGTTAAACGACTATCGAATACGTTCACCTCCGACGAACCCTCACCTACGCGCCTGATTGATCTCACACCTGATTAGCTATCAATCTACAAGATTCTGCTAAGCGAGTACGAATCGTCGAAATTAGACTACCTTCGCTATATACGCGCAATTAAATTGCTAAAGCAAGGTATTCGCTTATTACTTACGCCTGAGGGAAGGCAAATCGTCAACGGCCTATCCCTACGCGAAGCTATTATAAAGCTACGTGCTACGTTCGCTCTATCAAGCCAATCGAAGAACCGCCAAATCCTACGCGATTAGGATATATTGAAGCACCAAACGCCGCCTACCAAGCCTTCTAACCTAGCCACATAGTGCTAGAAATAGGTGATTTGCCAAGCCGACAGCGAACAGGCTAACATTGCCTAGTTCCAAGATCCCTTATCACCAATTTATAACTTCCTAGAGGCTATTCAACCTTACGATCAAAGCTTCTACACGTTCTAGTATAATACTATCCTTCAGGGGATAAAGCAGCCTACTTTAACAGAGCTAGTCAATCAATTTATCGACTAATATCGATCAGCCCCGCTGTCTACTAGCGGAAGCAGATAGCAGATTGCTTATACAACCTATCAGGGCCGAGGGCCCGATAACGACGATAATAACGAAAAGCCATCGAAACCACGCCGAAAGGGCACCTGCCCTTGCTAGGGTCCTCCTAATAACGGCAACCACGATTTCAACAGATACCTATACATTAACCCACGCGCTAGGCCTAAGGGCTAGCAGCCAGACGAAGAAATTCAACAGACCTTCTAAAGGATCTGCGAATCATCACCTACATTTAAGACTGCGTACGACCTTACAGTCAAAAGACACCAAAAGCTAGCTAAATCGGGTAACCAGAAGTATACACACAAGCGCGAGCTAGAGCAAGCTCCACCAGACGAAGAAACGACGACTAGGGATACTTTCTCTGCCTATATCCCGAAACAGTAAGCTAAAGACCTCTTCCGAGCCGATAATAGGAAAGCTATAAGCACGATTTAGATCCCAGCTAAGAAGAACAACACCTAGTGCTATAATACTAAAGCATCTATCTATATCACGAACAACAGAGATCTACTATCAAACTATAGGCCAGTCGTTTCCTCTGTTATAGTAGGAAATACTAAGACCACTATCCTCGGATATAGAGAGCTTATCTTAAAGCTAACACAATCTCTTAATAGAACCAGTTTTCCCTTGAAGCACGTCGTATATTACCCTGGATTCTATATCAACCTGATCTCTGCAGAAAGAGCTGCAAGCGCTGGAATCTATCTGAACGGCAAAGACTATACGCTAGAGGAGAAGGATAGCACGCCAATATACCGATTGAATACGAAATCAGGCATTTATTTGATTAAATAGGACGAAATGTCTACTACCGGACACTCTGCTAATCACGTTTCCCTTCCTTCACCTATCTCTTAGCTATCTCTCACTTCCGATTCACTTAATGATGATATTACTAGCCAATTCGACAAGATTGCCCTATCTTCACACACGAAGAAGCCGCTAGATAGAACTATTAACCAATAGCACCGACGATTAGGCTATATCAGTCACGACATTATAGCACGACTACCAGAGCACTTATCAA